TCGGGGATACTACCTCAAGCGCGTATGTTCTTCCTTCTTATCCTTATTCATTGGATACTATTTTATGACCTGAACAGGTCTTTCGTCACATATTCACTGGACCGTCCAGTGCCATTTCTGCAAACACTCACAAAGGTACTAAGGCTCCAAAAGGTAGAATTCACGGGATGAAGTCGCCACTGCCACGAGCAATTGCATACGCAGCTGTACAGGTAAGCCTTGCACAAGATTTATGCACTTAAACTGATCACCGACGCAAGGCATATTTCCAACTCAGCTCTGCAACGCAATGGTGTCAGCAAATAGAAGATTTTGATCTCGTTCTTTTCTATGATCGAGTGGTCGATATGTTGGAAGGAAATACTAACAAGCAATGGGTGGAAGAAACACTTAACCATTGGAAGTTGTAAGGTCGTCCATGATTTTTTTTGTTATATGCTAATCCATATTTGGAATAGAGAGACCCCCGGACTTGTGCAGCGTGGCCGCTCCAGGGCTAGGGCAGAACTTTATGCATTTGACAGCGAGGACGACATGGACAGTTTTTTCGATTCTAATGAGTGTTCTCCTAATAGTGGAGAACAGGGCTCGCAAGGTACGACTGAGAGCAATGACAATGGAAACATCATGCATGGTATTCAATTTCTCCCTCATTCAAATCATGTACACAGCTGATGCGAGTCTGCACATCATGCAGCTTCAAGAACAGTAGCTCAGCCGACATGCACATCCCGCCAGAAAAAAAGACGCCACTGACTCCAATTCAACCTCGTTTATGTGCCCATATACGTTCTGATCCAATATTAACATGTTGCAGCATACCTGTACTGATAGTGCCACATTTTCTCGTATCTTTCTAATCAGTTTACTTTGAATGTAATCATGAATGAGCGCAGTTGAAATGGTATTTTGGAAGGACAGAGACTGGTCACAATCATAGCAAATGTTACGAACGGAGAAGCATGCGGAAAATGCCATTGTTTGTAATTGTAGACGATTCACAGAATTAACGGGTTCCTTGCAAGCAAGGTGATGTTGATTTCAGAACAATCCCTAATCTTCATTAAGCTTCATTCCATCAACTGACTCATCTGCACTTCATTTCGGATTTGTGCCATGCATTAGTACAATACAAGTGTACAATAAACAGCGCCCAACAGTACTAGTATGCCATGCAGAATCAAAAACATCCGAGCTGCAATCTTGAACTCGGTCGAGTGCACGGCAAAAACGACTACTGGGAAAGGTCAACAAGAAAGGGGCGGGAAAATCGGATGGATCTACCGCAAAATGTTTTGGTGCGCACAGTGGCGCGTTCCATTTCAACCCTACCATATGTATGGGTTTCGACGCTGCCACCATCTCTAGCAACGATGACGCTCTTCGACCTTGAATGCTGGAGGAAGAATTTCAAGGACAAACACGCGAATTTGGCCAAGAAGATGCATTTCATGTAAAAGGATTTAGAAGTATACTTGCGTGTTTGAAGGAAATTAATGAACTTGTGGTCTTTTCTTGGTGCGCAGGAGTGCCTTTTCAAAGTTCACTCTATGTAATTCTGACCCTGACATGCCTGACACATTTTTTTGTGTGGCTGAATTAGCGTTTATTCAACTTGTCCGGTGGGGCCTTGCCGATACCTGCTGGTTACAACTAATTGCGCCTCCCATGTGAGCCTGAAGAACCTTAATGTAGCCTTCTAACCCTGACATTTTGATTTTTTTCGTTCGTGCCTAATGTGTGTTAGTGCCACATGGTTCTGGTTGAATTTGTTAAGGCCAGGGATACCTACCTCCTCTCGGAGTCGCCGTGACGTACCACACCATAACTGTGACCACTTGGATCATTGGGTGTGCCGGCCAACTGTGACATAGTTTCTGTAAGAATGTTCCATTGACCTATCGTGTCGCACTCCTTCTCACATCTATACCATACACCTTGAGGATGGCCCTCTTCAATGGTGTACGTTATGTCCTTTCATCTTCAATACAAGTGGAACGGCACGAGGAACTTTCTGCCTTACTGAATCTCCACGGTGCAATGAATGCACCACCGCATACCCATCTTATTGCACTTGCTGGATCGCACACTCAGAGTGAAACCCAGGGATATCTGCATGTAGTATCGGACATGTGGGTACGACAGAGTATAGTCCTTGGAAAACTTCAACTGTGAGCCTCCTATTTTTCACTTTGGTACGAAGGCATTGACGGACAATATCTCAGTGAGCAGTACTATTCACCTGATCCAACAATGATTTTTTCAGGTGTCGTTGCATGCGCCACTGATGTGAGTGAACTGTCCTCGGTCATATCGTATGGCATTAATGTTGATCACAAGCTCTCCAGACCGGACCTTGAAGTTCTCTCAGCCGGTATCACCTCATTAGGAGGGCAGTGGCGAACAGCCCTTACTCGCGACGTGACCCATCTCTTCGCATTGCATGAACAGAGCGACAAGGTATTTGCTCTCTTTGCTTCATTTACTGTGAATCTAATGCTAATGGGACCATTTTTCACTGCACTATCCCTCATGGCGTAGTATCAAACTGCAATGTATTTTGCACCATATACCCGCATGTCCATCCTCACACCACATTGGTTCGACGATTCAGTTCAGGTTGGATGTCGTGTCCCTGAGATTCCTTACTTATGGCCTGATCCCGAGGTCTTAAGACCTGGTGTACTGCAGGTTACGATGGGTCACGATATTATAGGTATTGCAGAGGCGAGCAAAGTGACACTATCACATAGTAATGAATCAGTATCTGACCTTGTAGAATACTACTAGTACGGGCATATAGCCCCCTTTTTTTGTCGTGCCAGTGCAAATGCATTTTTGTGTCAATACATTCTGAGAACCAAGGGATGTGAGCCATCCATTCAAAACTATGGAAATCTAATTACTGAATATTGCATAGACTGGCGTGTCGCCGCGCGACACGCCAGTCTATGCAATATTCAGTAATTACAACATCAGCCGTCGGAGTATCAATGGAATGCGCCATTTGGTTGATGCTCGTAAGATGTCGACGGACATCCAACTCTTAAGCTTCAGATTCCATCGATTTCCATTCTCCATGCAAGGCCGTATCTAATTAGGAATGGTGTTGTACTCCATTTTAGTTTGTATTGTTTCTTTATTTCAGATGCAAATCAAGTCTTATGACCACTACCCACAGCCTCGTGCCCATTCCCATTAATCCCTACTATGACGAGCAATAATCAGCACTCGGTCCCATCACTCGTGTCCCTGGCAGTACACATGCACGGATCATCTTATTCTCCCATTAATAATCTACCGGGCTACACTCGTAAGCCATTCCGCATGACCCAAAACATGAACGTGCCACATACTACCACACCGCCAGCCAAATTATCCTCCAGTACTCTGAGTCCTCCAAAAACTCATATATCGGTACTCAACAAGCTGAAGACATCTCCTGGAGGGTTTTATGCTGCAATGCCTAGGCTTGCTTATCGTGCCGAGTATTTCGCAGGTGGAAGGGATGGTAACATCCTCATCACCAAGGGTCTGGACCATGACGAAGAGTTCATCATCCGTGGAGTATTCCAAATCAGTCGTAACGATTTCTTTTTCACACCGGACGGCAACTTCAATCCTGCAAATATCTTCCATGGCCGCTTAGCAGACTTGAAATTGAGCTGTCGACTCGTTGCAGGTCGTAGCAAGTCCTTCAAGTTCTCGTCACGAGATTTCCCTGCCGTGCTCAATAATCTTAGCGCCTTCGAGAACCTAATTCCAAAGGAAAGATACTACGAGACCCTTAGTGTTATTCAGGACGCTATTGGCCGCAGATCAATCAAGCTCACTCACCGCCTCTTTGAGGTGAGTTAGTTTTAGTGATTCATCAATCTTCTCTAATAATACTGAATGTTATCATACAATAGGCCAATGACGAACCTCAAGGTGATACTAGTGGCGAAGATGGTAACAGTTCAACCACTGTTCGTGAGTCAGGAATATTCCTTTGTTGTTGTATGAACCTAAGTATCCGCTTTAGCCTCCCCAGACAGCCTAAGCTCCGAATTTGACATCGCGACTTGGCCAGTTGCCGACCGATGTAAAGGCCATCTACAGGATGTCGCATCCAGGCATAATATTTGCCCATTACCAGCATATGATCAGAACCACGTTCTCATCCCACCACTCGAGTACGAAGCGAAACTTAAGGGTGCGCTTGTTGAAGTTCATATGGCTTTTTGCCATCACCACGTGAAGAATTCAAGGCGTGACATCTTTGAAGCTGTTTTACGAGAACTCATCGTCTTGTTACCACCTGCGCCAATGCCGAGCAGCCGCTTCAAACATCGCCGCCTCAATGATGGGCCTTACACTGAACAACATAACAAGGGAAATTAACTGGCACACCTCGCCTTGAATTGTAGTATGTATTTACTCTGATCATTGGCATATGTGAATTGACGACTTTCCAAAGTATTATTGCACGGCCTGTTCAAAAACATGGTACAGGGGTGCGTAACTGCCGGTGTATAGTATTTGATGAATCAACTGTATGAATACTGTATGATCCGCCACTGTTATAATAGAGTATTTGTTACTGGCCTCACTTTTGTTTCCTGGATGATTGATCAACCCGCAGGCCATTGACACAAAGTATACAAGTCAATTGTAAATCTCGAACTCGTTTCAAATCGGAGTTTCGAGTTGAAACAAATTTGGTCGTTTCGAGTTCGCATTGAGCCTCGACGGCAGCTATACTTAGTGAGGCTAGACTGCAAATGTGATGCATTGATGACTTAACGTTCAACCACATCACTACCTTCCTCGTTGGGCTCGATTGCCAATCGCGCTCGTGGCACCTGGACCTGGACCACCGACGATCAGCATGACTCGACAGGCCGGACAAAAATTGGGCAACACCGGTGAGTGTGCGTTCGAGTGTCACTTCACTCAATATCTGGCAGCTGTACTAATAGTACTTCACTACTTATTACCAGGGCGTGCAGGAGAAACTCATGAGCGCTCCATTCATGCTTATCGGTATGTCCCGTCTCTGTCTGGCCTTTGAAGACTCACTGAAGGCTGGTCCTTCTTTGTTGATCCCTGCACCAGGTACCGATGTGGGGCATCATGCACCCAGCATGGTCAACCAACCCTCTGTGGCCCCTCTCGTATGTTTGCCGGATCAGTATGGGTCAACCGGCCCCCTGTGGCCTCTCTCGTATATTTGTTGGATCAGTAGTATGCTGCACAGTACGGGGTACCCTCACTGGTTCTTGTGAGTTCATTCTGTCTCTTATGTATAATGCGCTGTTTGACTGTCTGACTATCACAGGCGAGGCAATCAACAACTTTAGTGAGCATAACAGGGCCGCATCATATTCTTCCATCCCCATTTTTCCGTCTACAATGTCGACCACATGTCCCGCATCCTCCTGCGGTCTTTTTCTCCATCTTTGGGCTCGTTCCTGCAGCTGCCTGGGGTCGCGCCCATCCTCAGTTTGGGTGTGGCGTGGTGTGGTGGTGGTGCTGCTCTGCACGCAACCCAGGTGATCAGTCCTTCGCAAACCCTACATTTTTTAATGATGCCCGTGCCACATCGGGAAAGTTACTAAAGCCCAGCTGTATGTGGCAAAGATCAGACGGAGCTCAAGAACTTTGTTTTACGGAACATTGAAAATCCATATCAAGATTCAACTTTCTGTCACAAGAGCCTGGATGACCACATTTCGCCATGCCCTATACCAGTACTGACTCGGACTCACACCTACCTGGCTTAAGCGAAGCTGAAGCTCTCCTCATAGTCGCTAGAATTGAGGAGTTGTGTGAAGGTGGAAGCAGCACACCCAGCACTCCACATAGCCATGATTATGAGCCGTGCCTCGGTGGCCAATCCCATGGCCAAGGCGCCCCCGTATACAGTTGCGGGTGCTACCGTCGCACGAAAGTTGAACCTGCACTTGCACTCGCAGATGCACTCGCAGATGTATCCAAACACCAGGAACTTGAACGGGTACAGTGGCCACCTCAAGATATCATACACCCAAATCTAATGGTTATTGTTCCAGGATGTCGATAGTTTGACCACACAAGTTGGAGGCCGTAGCAGTGACTCGGAAATTCGGCCCCTGAAGCACAAGAGGTCAACGATGGCCTCTGAGTCTGACTCCGTGGGAGGAACGGTGAGCTGGACTCATCATTTCATTTTTCACGTCAGTTGTTAATGGCCATATTGAATGTAGACACCACACCGCTTTGGGCGAAACCTGACCAATGTCCAACGCGCTCAATCAGTCCCAGCACTTGAAGCGCCAAAGCGTAGGAAGTTGGGAAGCCCCTTTTAATTTAATGGAGGTACGACTCATGAAACCTCAGTACTTAATGTTGTGAAATGCCTCGAAGCTGCCATTGACAGGCAAACAGAAGTGCTGTCCAAGATTCATCGCATTCTGGAGGGCAGTGCCAAGTAAACTTATCATTTATGATACCTTCTGTTGTAAACCTATACCATCACGATGTATATTCAAGCTCGATGGAAAGCTTTTGATGTAAGACTATGTACTAGTAGACTGCCATTGGAAAATCATGAAGGTCGTGCCAATAATCAGAAACCCGAACAATTCCGAGTCGGAGTGAGTCATGGCACGGACACGCAGGCTTAGTCCTCCAACTCACTAGCATCAGCACAGACATGAACCAAATAAACTGAATGGTGCCGCGTGTCATCATTTTCCATATCGGATCGCTGTGGCGTTAGAACACAATTTTCAGTGAGTTCCTCCCGGTCACCTGCCGAACTATGCAGAGTAATTCCATTGCTAAAAAAAATACCTGCAGCCTTGGCTTGACGTCGCATCGAAGCTCATCTCCTTTCATCGCTCACTAGGCCACTGTTGGTTTAGCTTAACTTGAAACTCAGGCTGACACTTCTGTTCTTCATGCGGTTATGATATGGTCGGATCTACAGTAGTGCAGGGTTGGCATCTCACATGCGACTCTGTTTGTTTGAGCTTCACGAGGTCACCGGCATTACACACAATACAACCGCACTATGTAAGTCTAATGCATTCCGGTCACAGAAGAATCAAGACTGACCATTAGGTCATCATGCATCATGGCTTATCCGCATAACGAGTTGCGGGTCTGATCTGTAGCTCCGTTCTTTTTCAGGAATGTAAAGTCTCAATAACCGTTAGTTTACAATGACGTCGACTCAGACTGGCACCGATTATGTGTCTATTATGAACTCATTTTTTACAGATTCAAATGGACATGACATTAATGGTATGGCGTCTGAGTTGGGCCAAATGCCTGTCCTCGGTTCCGTGGATAATATTTGCTCTTTGTGACCGCCGCTTATTTGTGCCTCACAAAGTTCACTTGTGAGTGTTTCTTCTTATATGAACTTGCTTTCATTCACTTGCACTTGTCCTCTCGCTGCTCTCCCTCCGCTCTCGCTCATCCTTGTATCTACTCGTTGGTCGTTGGTCATCGTTGGTCATTGGTCTTTGGTCGTTGGTCTTCATTGGTCGTTGGTCGTTGGTCTTCGTTGGTCGTTGGTCTTTGGTCGTTGGTCGTCGTTGGTCGTTGGTCATTGGTCGTTGGTCTTTGGTCTTTGGTCTTTGGTCTTGAGTCTTTGGTCGTTGGTCACCGGTCATTGGTCGTTCATTGCTCATTGGTCATTGGTCGTCCTTACATCTGCTCTTGCTCGCTCGTTCTGACTCCCGATACCTGTGGACCCATGGACCAGTATCCGTACCTGTGCAAACCCATACCATGCTACTGCCTAGCTGTAACCATGTACGGTTGCGGTGATTAACTCCAGTTATTAATTAGGTTCATGTTCGTAAATACTAGTATACAGTACATTGTCCACTATTTATTCTGCTGCCTATGAAATACCCGGGCCCGTGACAGGTTTGAACCGTCCGATACTAGTACCCGCATGTAGTACCCGTCCTGCTAGCAGTGATCGGTGACCCTTGCTGTATGCAGGGTCGCGAGTGGGTAGAGATATGGGGTAGTGTTTGAACTTTGTGTACCCTGAACGCCCGGCTGCAAGTCGAGACTAGTATATACTAGGCATGCCCGTGCTGATTCTAAAGGGAATATATTTTGGCCGATTTTAGTGATTGTACTGGCTGAATATGCATAGAAGTTTATTGGTATTCATTACCCACACCAGGGAGCACCAGGAAACACAAGATTTGTTGTATTATGTATGTCTACCGAGTGATACAAGCATGACAAGCCTTATAGGAATTTGCATAGAAGTTTATTGGCATTCATTACCCGCACCAGGGAGCACCAGGAAACACAAGATTTGTTGTATTATGTATGTCTACTGAGTGATACAAGCATGACAAGGATTATAGGAATTTGCATAGAAGTTTATCATCCATGCCAGGGACTGCCAGGAAGCACGAATGCTGCAAGATTTGTAGTAGTATGCGGCATTGAATTTGAAGCAAACAAGGGTCTGCCGACTGACACAAACATAACAAGGCTTGTAGAGATATCCATCAATTTCATCACTTGCGCAAGGGACCACCAGGAAGCACAATTATAACAACAGTTGTAGCGGCATGTATTTATTATCAGGGTCTACCAACTGGTACAAGGCTGGTAGAAGCGTACATAAAACCTCGCTGCATGCACGGACTTATATGGAAACTGACAAACTCAACACACGTCTGTCATGTGTTTGTGGGGATGGTAGCAATTGTGCACCTTGTACCGGCTGTTACTGGCTGTCACATGGGATGTACGGTTGCTGTTTTTTTTATGATGTACTATATGTGATAGTGTGAAGCAGGAAGGGTGGGAAACCCGAAATGCTGTGTCGCCGCACGCATAGACTTACTGGAGTCTTTAGTGAGCATCAAATTCCTCCTGAGTCCTGATTCTATGGATTTCACCGAGGTACATACGCTTTCACAACTTAGTAATTTTTGTCGTATGACTCACTCACACCAATTTTTCTAGTTACTTGTCGCTGTTGACGACAAAGCATCTGCCGAAGAACAACCTCTCCCCGAAGCCCTTCGTTCCACGTCCCTTGTAATGAGGGTACTCTGTTTTTTGGCATTTGGATGCCCCAATCTTCATGATCATTGGAATTCGTTTCAATCAGACCGAGCCTTCGAAACCGTTAGGACCAGAATGTGCTCTATCCTGGGCAGCACTATCACCACGGTAAGTTGTCCAACTCCGTGCGCGCACGAACTGAAATCAACGCTGACATGCTTTCACAAAGGCAAGCCTCCTCGCTATCAGTAGTGTTTTCGTCATTATAGTCTTTCCTGCGTCATACTTCGGCTATACACCATCCGTTCCCTATTGTCTACTCTTTACATCACTCATGTTTGCCATGTTTGCCATGTTGACATCTGGCTCGAGCATGATACGTTGGCTACACACCGATCGGCACTGGACTCAAGAAGTAGGTTTTACTAGTATTCTCGTCATGCTGATTACACCGGCTGACCTGAATATGATCAGCACCTCAAACAAGGCGGCTACTTCGTCTGGTCCTACCTGTTGTCAATAGTCACGCCTATGTTCTTCATTTTCTGGTCCCTGAATTGTTTCGTTTTTGGTGTGTTGCTCTGTCATTTGGTACTTTTCCTGGCCCTCATGGATTTCACCCCAGCGATGTTGATAGCAGGCTTTTCGTCTCAAAGTGTGATCTGCCGAGCCGTCACTGCGCTTGGGCTGGTTGCATACGTTGTCAACGTTGGGAAAATATCGATAGAAGCTATGTACAGGTATAGGACAGGTCTTGAGCACGCCGAATACCGCCAGTGATGTACAGTTTCCATGTGTTAGTTAGGAAGAATATACCGCCAATCTGTCCATTTCCCAGACGTTCTCATGCTTACCCCTCACAGATGAATCGTCACGACCTAAGTATCTCACTCAATTCTTACTGGCGCACATAACTTACAACCTCAATTAATGTTTCTAACATGTACCGTTCATTGCGAGGTCGCAGTTCTTTGAAAGCAGCCAAAGTTACGCCGGTCAGTTTATTTCTAAAATTATGTAACCACCCGGTACTATCAGAAGTATGTACTACTGTGATCCACTACTACTTGGAGGGAAGGAGTGAGGATAACGTATTCCGCTCGCTGTGCATCTGTTATCGTCACTCGACCGCCGATAGTCAGGATCTCCAGGGAACACTTTGACCGTGCTAACAATGCCTTCATATCTTCATGAGGCCAAGACGCATTGCGACCATTGCGGCGAGCTTCAAGCGTGCGCAAATTGGGGAGCGATAGAGCATTGAGAAGGTCAGATAGAGGGCGCGTGAGCAATGCGTCGTAAAGGATGCGCAAGGATTGTAATTTAGTGTGCGTGAATGATTCCAAGGGTTCTGTTTGGTCGAATGCTACGCGGAGGGTTAAGGAGGAGAGATTCGGACATAGCTGGAGTAAATGGAGGACAGCGTTCGGGTGACATACGGCGATCTGGACATCAGTCAAGTGGGCCCATACGGGGCTGAAAGAAGACAAGGGCTCGATGTCGAAGAACGGCCTCATGTCAATGAACTTGAGACTGCGTATGGTGGACGGCAGTCGCGAGATAGACTGTGCAATAGTTGGAATATCATATTTTGTCATCCCTAGTATGGCCAGCTCCTGAAGTGCTGGGAGGTCTGTTAAAAAAAGCTGAGTGGATTCGCCCTGGAAGGAGTGGACAGAGACACGGAGAGATGTGATATGAGTGATGTAAGGCTGAAGAAGGCTTCGTAGTTTGGCCGAGTGGTAGCGCCCGAGTGCTAACGAGAGCGGACGTCCTCGCGAACGCTTGAGCCACGTATCATAGCAGAAAGATGCCTGCTCCCAGTCTCTGTCGTCGGCTTCCACATACAGCCTGCACCATAAATCGGGCGTACCCACAGCGACCTCCCTCCATCGTCGGCATATTCTTGTTAACAGCATGGGGGCTTTGAGGGTTGACGGGGACAACAACAATCTGGTTTCGGGGAGACAGTAGCTAAATATATGGGATAGGACTTCCGTGGGCAAGCGCCAGAGAGCCGATACGAGTCCCTTGTGCAGATTCATCGACACCGTAATCTTTTCCTTCTTTTCGACGACTTGCTGATGAAGAGTTTTGACGTTATTCATCACGGCCTCCAGGCCCGAGATCTCATATAGGACTGCATCCAACTGCTGCTGGTGTTCGGCGATGATGTTGATAATGCTCTGGCCTTCGAGCCCGACGGTAGAGCGATCGGTATTGGGGATTCTGGATCATGGAGTTTCAAGGACTGGAATCTAGTAGTCATCGTCAGTAACTCGATATATATGTCGGAACAAACCAGGGAATAGACATACGATCACTTGCGATCGTGCGATCTGGAATGGGCGATTGTTATTCTCGGCTGACCCGAATTCTCATCCAAGAAACTGGGCACTTACGATGCTTTGTAGTGCACTGATGATATCTAAAACAGATTCGGAGATATTGAATTTTGAGTAGGCTGTCTGCATGTTGTTGGCTAAGGCGAAAAGTAAAGTTAAAGCGTCAGAGGAAGTTTGCGATGATCCATCGATGAGCTTTCAGCTGCTTTAAGGCCGTAATTCCCGGGCCAGTGATATATCATGGATATCTGCATCGATGATCATCGGATGGGAACTACTAAAAATACCGTACCATATCATACCAATTCAAATTACAAAGTTTACAGGTGCGGCAACTGCCAGCGGTAGCATTCGACACCAAAGTTCGAACAATGACAAAAAAAGGGCCAGATGGGGCTGGATTTGGTCGATGGTTTCGATGGCACTGGCAAATGGTCTGGTTTGAGAGGGTATCCATGGCCACCAAGTGTCCACTGTGCCTTCATATGTTAGTGCTTTAGCTTCCCGGGTGGAGATAATTCGCGCGGAGAAGTTCTCTGGCAGCAGCCAACTTGATCAGACGGGGTTCATGACGAATGGTGCGGCTGCTTGCATGCAGCGAAGGCACTAATTAATATCGCTGGCACTAAACCTACATCTTCTACAAAGTCTGTTAATGGGTCCGATGACTCGTAATTCAGCGGTGTTATCAAATGGTGGCAAAAATGGAGAAACTTCCATACAGCTGCAGCAATACTACCGAGTTTATTCCAAGACTCCAGGTTAAGTTCTTAGTAGCCTGGATATCTAGAAGGTCATGTCGTAGATCTTGAAGCAGTAGTCACAACTGCGAAGAGAGCGTCCATTGCAGTACTATGATAGCGTCGAGTACAGTGATCGTCTGTTTGAGCAACTAAGTCAACGATGTGTGAGGATCGAATCCGGATGTGCAAGAATGGTTCAAAGATTCTAGTTCCGTCGAATTGTAGGCAGATTGCTAACAAGCATAGGTTGCGACATAGCTGCAGCAAGCAGAGGACTGCGTCCGGGCGATGTGTGGGATTTCGAGATTTATCAGGTCAGCCAGAGCTCGAGGTAGAGATATGACTTTGTGAGCTTGAAACTGCGCGGAGTGGACGGGAGTCGCGAGAAACATTGTTTGGTAAGCGGCTGATTAGCTCCTGGAGTGCCGTGAGGTCTTTTAACAAGCAGTCGGGTTTGTCAGACAATGAATAGAGAATGATGAGATTGAATTTATGCGAGACTGAGGGAGGCTTCATAGCTGGGTTGAGTTTCGAACAAAAGAGCAACAGGTGGGTGCCAACGAGAGTAGACGTCATCGTGTTCTCTTGAGTCATGCGTCAAAGCAGAAAGCAGGTTCCCGCTGTCTTCCTAGGTCGAATGGCCGCTTCCTGACTGGAGTCTTATCCTACACTTTCGTTCCCTGTCTCCCGGAAGAAAAGTATTATCGCCCCATCGAAGCTGGCCTCTATCTTGTTGAAACTTGACCAGGATGTGTTGACGATGGAGGAAGGTGTCCGTCCGCGGGTGGATATCCGGGTAACGTCCACCCATGTCACACCCTAGACAATTCAAAACGGCTAGTGTCAGACGAACGATCACAACTAAAATTCAAACTCCGTGCTTCGCCTGCCAAGTTTTTCCGAGATCGATCAGTCTGCCTCACTCGTACGTCGCAGACTGGTCATGAATCTATGCAAGGTCGACTTGTCCTCAGATTGTCGGTATTGTTTAGATCCAGGGGCCGAGTCAACAGTTCCGAGTCATCGTTTAATGCATGCAGTAATGTACTGATTCCGATGCCAACACAAGTACAGCAACACTATAGAACGATTAAAACCGATTGGTGAGGTACCTCTGCCAAGTCAAGTGCTCAAACTTATACACACCTCCAGCGCAATATGATTACTCGTGTATTACAGTCAAAAGAGGCGTGCGTTTAACACGGCCGAAGTTGATCAAAAGAGGTTAATTACGCGTTCCTTGTGTAAACATAGATCCTTCCGAGTCTAAGCCTGAGGCGATTCAATTTGTTCGTTAGTCACCCGGAGCAACGCCTTTCTAGAAATCAATATTTCAGTCTATGGGACTCTAAAAATCAATCTAATAGTTCTGTCAGCAAGTGCACCTCAGTCTATTGGACTCAGATGTTCGACTCTCGCTGTGGTACCTTCAAATGTACTGGTGCGTGCTCACTAATCAGTTCACCGTACTAACCACGCAACCAGACTTACTCCGAGTCTATGGTGCCTGCCGCTCAAATGCTGTCCCAAATATTTACACCCCGATCGTGCCAAGTTCCTCAGTCAGAGATAAGAAGGTGCATGACATGTGTGCTCGGATCCCTTTTCTTCACTTACTATCGAACAAATTCAGATGGAGTATTCGGCAGTCGATATCTCAGCAGCCACGAGTCTGCAGCGATTAGCGGTGCGTCGCTTTCTTAATAACACGAGAGCAAGTTAACATACCATATTCCACCAGTACCTATACAGTACGTATTGTCTGAACGGCTTCTTCCTCGTTCTAACTTGAAAGCTTAGTGTCGATGACGACGTTCTGGGTAAGCTGATCCTGATCTTTTTCCGTCTGCCGTTAAACTTGTTTATGCAGACCTATGATTATGCATGTGCACTTCACCAAGAAGTAATGATTCGTTCCGTGACAATCTCAGTGTGTATACTAACAATACGTTGTTCAAAGTGGGAATTTCTGCGTCGGTCGCGCTGGACCAAAGTAAAAGCCCTTTACATCATCACACGACATCTCCCCTTTTTTCTGATCGCCATGTACCTATGTCGTGCGTCGATGAAGTCCAGCACAATCTTCCTGACAACAATTGACGTATTGTATTTCAGTGAACTTCGCCGCGATCGAAGACCCCAATGTATGTGGATATACAGTGGACTTACACTGATACTTACTGCATGAGTTCACCAGAAATGTCGGATATTGATCAATGTCTACTCATGTACGTGCACATTACATGCTCCATACGGGTCCCTGTCGAGCGCTACTCTTCCTCTCACAGCTCTCAGTCAGATATCAGCCATTTGCTCTGAATGTATTTGCTTATTCTTACATAACATATGTGCATTCCTCATCCGTTTCATTGAGGTTTTTTCATGATTCGAACATATGCGCTCTGGAACAACAATAGGATCGTACTCATAGGCCTGCTGTCCACTGCTTTCGTGAGTCCCATTCCCTCAATGCATCCAATCTCATGGTTACTGAATCAGCCAGGCTATGATCGTGACATCCGTCAGCATTCGTTTTGCCACCATTGCCACCTCATATGGTTTGTGACCTCACATTCTCCTGCTACTGCTCGCACATATTCACTCTGCCACTTTCACAGTTACGACTAGTGCGATCCCGGGCACCCCTAGCTGCCCCTCGAGGTCAAGCAGTGTTCTGTACTTCATGTCGTTTATTTTCTTATTTGTGTTTCAACTGGGTATGTTGCTGGATAGATTGTAAACACGTGCTCACTGACACTCGCCCCAGTATTGATCACACTCACACTCACTCGTGCCATACAGAGCTGGTGGTCGACAAAGGGCCCTCTGCAAGCCATCTTGGTGAAGCATAACATATTCTACTATGTATGCGGTCTCCGTGAGTCAAGACTTTGCATGTTTCATGTTTCCGTACTCATCGGCGATGACTACTGTTCCGAAAGTTCTCTCGGCCGTCAACATCCTCGTGCCAGCGCTATTTCCCAACGTGCGTAAACCAACTGGTACCCTTCAATATGATCGAGTCGTTGATGTTCCGCACACACAGTCCCCATACTACACCACCCTCCAAAAGTATGCACCTCCAACTTCTGTCGCTAATTCCTACTATACTAATAACACCCAAACACTTACAGCTTTCAAGTATCCATCCTTGCGATCCTTGCCACGCGCATGCACCTCCATCTCTGGCATCTCGACCAACATATGCACAGCTCTGATGCCCTCATATACATTTATATGTCCGACATGTCACCTGCAGACTATACGGTGTAATGTCTTATCGCGTGGCTTATCCGTCGTGGGAGGAGCAAGGTTTGGACTAGTAGATGACCGGTCGGGGTGGAACGCACTTGACTTTAATAATAATGAACTTTTGTCACATACACAAATATTATAACACGAAATAGTAGAGCTAATACGTGATCAGAGAGGCCCTGCGGGTGCACATCATGGCCATTCCCCTTTGATTCCCCAGGGGACACCGTGACCGTGTCAAAAACCCCTTGAACGCATCATGAGGCCATTCACCTACATTGCGAACCTCGACCGCGCGTAGATTGGGCAGCGTGATGATAGCGAATAGCCCGAGACTTCCGATCCAGTCCACATCCAGATTCCCGGATATGCGCAGGGATCGAAGTTTGGAGTGCAACGATTTTGCTGGCGTCTCGACTGTCGACCTGAAAATTCCAACTATCGTCAGTGACGAGAGGTTAGGACACAGGCGGAGCAGGCAGGGGAAGCAATCTAGCGCGTCCACCAGGATCTCGAGATTCGTGAGATTGACCCATGCGAGGGAATTGAAGCCAGACAACATTTTGAGGTCAAGCCACAGGTCCATTAACTTGAGAGTGCGCATGTTGGGCGGCAATTTCGTGATAGAGTGGACAACAGAGTGGGCGATAGTTAGTACAGGAACAGAAACGTCGTGTACATTACCAGTTCCTTCTCATAGATCGTTGCCCTTTCCTAAATTTGATGACCAAGAGAAACCCGGCTGCTAAAGGGACGTACTAGTAGACCACTATCGCAACTAAAGAGTGAATGAAGTTATTCGCAAAGATGTGACGGGACGGTTCACCTCATGATGTGGATAAAATCAGAGTCGTAGAAGACTCGGAGGCACTGTATGTGGGGTCAAAATAGGCACTCGGTTGGTGTACAAAAGTCTGGCGCTTCGACTAGGAATGTCGCGAGGCTGGACGGCCCTTGGAAGAGGCAGGAAGGGATAGGTAGGTTTCATTTGACTGAATCTAGAAACAGTACGGAGTTAAAAGGGACGATGCACAGCCATCCGGAAGATATAGCCATAAAACGCACCCATATGCTCTTCGACTTTGCTAGCATCCTGGTAAAACCAAAACCATATGAGCATCACGCATGGATGAACTGACGATTTATTTGAGCAGGCAACGTACGGCAGCTGTCGAATGATGAGAAAGACAAGTGATACAAAAGCAGGCATCCAACTAACCTCCGATGTCACACGCGAGTGACTAACTTTGATCAGGTTCATCCTCGTCTAGCAGCGAAGTTTAAAAGGACATGCTGTACGGTGCGCAGTCGTCTATACGATTTAAAGAGACGGAACATGCCTTCATGCTCATCAAGGTTTTTTCAGCTTGCTAGCATCTTGGAAAGACCGAAACCCATGTGAGCATCACGCACGAATGAACTAATGATTGATATGAGTAGGCAAAGTGCGGCAGCTCTCAGATGAGTAAGAGAGACGAGTAGCACAAAAAAAGGTATTAACTAACCTCCGATGTCGCGCGAGTGCACTAACTTTGTTCAGGTTCGTCCTCGTCTAGCAGCGAAGTTTAAAAAGGACATGCCGTATGATGCACAACCATCTGGAAGATTTAAATAGATGGAACACATCTATATGCTCATCATCGCTCTTCGACCTTGTTAGGATCCTGGTAAGACCAAAACCCATATGAGCATCATGCACTTATGAACTACGATTGATTTGGGTAGGCAAAGTGCGGCAGCTCTCGAATGAGTGAGAGACAAGTCGTACAAAAACAGGTATTGACTACCTCCGATATCGCGCGCGAGCGCACGGACTTTGATCAGGTTCGTCCTCGTCTAGCAGTGAAGTTTAAAGAGGACATGTTATACAATGCACAGCCGTCTGGAAGATTTAACGAGATGAAACGCGCCCATATGCTCATTATCGCTCTTCTTTTCTCTCAAAAAAATCCTCGTGTCATCGCTCTTTGACCTTGCCAGGATCCTGGTAAGACCAAAACTCGTATGAGCATCATGCACGAATGAACTGACGATTGATTTGAACAGGCAAAGTGCGGCAGCTCTCGAGCGAGTGAGAGTTGAAAACCGCGCACCGTCAGCCTAGCATTACAGAGCACAAGGAGGACCAACCTGCGAACATATCCATTAACCGACATACTTGCCAGCCTGTTTGACGAATACAACTGTGATGGCTTCCAGCTCGAAGCAGCTCGGTGCAGCAGAAAACAAATCAATTCTGACACCAGTCATGACCTTGGAGGGACATGGACTATGGAAATATTCCTTGCAGGATCCCGAGGAGTACAAACATATTTCGTGCATTTCCTATTTTTCCGACGGGAAGCAAATGATCAGCGGATCAGGCGATAAGACCATTCGGCAATGGGACCTGCGGGATGGTAAGGAGATTGAGGAGGCTCGGGAGGTTTGCGAGCATGGTATAGTATCAGTGAGGATATCAAGGGATGGTCGATGGGTTGTCACTGCCAGCAATGAGGAACTCAAAGTCAGTGAGGTTCAGACGGGGATCGTGAGAACATTTCACACTGGGAGAATCACCTGCATCGACATCTCGGCGGACAGCACATTGCTAGCGAGTGGGTCATACAATGGGACAGCGCGGATATGGAACTTGCACACGGGCAAACTCGTGTCTGGTCCATTCAAGTTTAGCGATGATATTCCTGGCTTAAGAGAACTTGGACTCTCAAAAGACTCTCGGAAGCTGGCGATGGTTCAGATATCAGATCGAGCGCACTTCCACTGCCTCCAGGTGTGGGACGTCCAAGCACAGAAGTTGGTTGTACAAAAATCTATCCCTAGCATTTCGGAGTCGACTTTCCCGATCTTATGGACAACAAAACACGAAACCATCGTAACCATATTCCAGGACGACCTCACTACAATCCACGAGTTTGACGCATCGACGCTCAAAGCCGTCGGGGCTCCTTTCCAACACACTTATCGCATCATTAGTCTAGCATTCTCATCTGATTGTGTTCTCCTCGCCAGTTCTTCCTACGACAACACCATCAAGCTATGGACCTTCGAGTCCCGCCAGCTCCTCGCTTCATTCGACGTCGAATTCCCCAGGACTCTCGTCATCTCGCCTGATTCCTGCCAACTGGCTTATACGACCTTCTGTGACACCAAGATCTACATATGTAACATCCCAGCTAATATTCTTACTACCATTGAACTTGCAGAAGAACTGCAACCTAGTGTATGCGTTCCCTCTATATATCTATCACTTATAGGCTAATATTCTTACAGCCCAGTAAATCTGGACGTCTATCCCATTCTGTTTTACTCGACGTACGTGGTTCCGCTCTTTCCTTCATCTTCATTACACTGTCCTTCATTACAGTCTAATGCAACACGTCGTCCCGTGCGCCGTAAACCAGTGACAATACCTGTCATGTCCCCCATCCCCCAAGCTTTGCCTACCAAGGACCCTCATGTTCGCCTCCGCTTTCCACGCAAGCTTTTTTCCTCCTCTTCTCGCATGGATGCGGTTTGCGCCGATCAGCCTCGTAATCCCCTAGATGTATGTTTATTTTACATGCTTTCTTCTCACTTGACTCGGCGCTTCCCTTGCAGTTCCCTGCTACATCCCCTTTACCTCATCCACTTAGGATGACACCAGACAAGAACGTGAGTGGGGACATCTATCATTGTGTATTTGACTTATGCTCTCTTAGTCTCGATCCATACCAGCACCACCCAATCCTCTGCCATCAGCACTTCCCCAATCCTCAAATCCCGCTTACATCGACTATCGACTTGGTGGCCCCTTCACACAGGTCCTGTGTCGCCGACCATCGTCGATGTCCCTCTCGCGCCGGGTAGACTGGTATGTACGTCTCATCCTTTCTCGTCGCATTCTAAATTTCATACGTCCATATATAGCGGTACGCCGCAGCGGGTGCTCCAAGAGATGATGATAGCCTGATACGTGATGAGGATTATGTTTCTCCTCCTCCTTCCCCCAATCCTGAACAGCATGGTCGGTTTTGTTTCTGCTTCTAAGTGAATTCGATCGGGTATCTTTCATTACTGTAATCGTTGCTCGTTGTATGCGTTGTCCTCCCTGCACTTATGGTCACTACTGCCCCTAAAGCGCTCAAGATATATCAACAGTCCTGATGCTCGTTCCTGTCCAGACTCTACAGTGGCCCGAGTCACGAAAGTGTTTTTTCGAGCAAACCACACTAAAAACAGTGCGAGGAGTTCACATACCTGCGTCGAAACTAGTGCTATCAGAAGGTCAGTCCATTCAAAAACATGACATTTCGATCTTTCGTTTTCAGGGAGCATCTCAGAAAAAAAAACCAACGTTGAAGTACCAAATATTCCTATGTCTAAATTCTGCGCTCGCTGAAACTGATGCGTGTATTGCATGATTTTCTGCTATTGCATGTGTGTCCGACAATCTACGTATCGATTCACGGTACTCGTCATAAAGAGCCGTGAATCGCTTGTCATATATAACTGGAATACTTACGATGGGGATTCCGAACTACTACTTTGAGGAAAGGAACAAGGGCGACGTATTCCACTCGTTGCTCCACAGTAATCACTATACCTCGGAAAACCAGGCTCTCCAGGGGACACGCTGACCTTGTCAGAAACGTCTTGAACTCTTCATGAGGCCAGATTGATGTATTCCAAACATGAAGCGCGCGTAAATTTGGAAGTGAGAGAGCATCGAACATGCCCCGTAATGGTTCTCCGGATGTCCAAGGCTCGCCATAAAGACGCAGAGATTCAAGCTTAGGGTGCGTGAATGGCTTCAAGGACTTCTTTTGCAAGAAATCCACGTGACTCGTTAATGAGGAGAGGTTGGGACATAGACGGAGCAGATGGAGGAATGCATCTTGTTTATCTATCGAGATCTCGACTTTTGTTAAGTGGGCCCATAAGGGAGCGAAGGAAGATAGTAGCTTGAATGTAATATGATTTAGAATGGTGAGCTCCTGAAGTGCTGAGAAATCTTTGAATACGCATTCAGGTCGCCTGAGTCGTTGAAAATCGATATCGAGAGAATATATTTGATGGATGTAAGGCTGGAGAAGGCTTCGTACTAGTGGGGTCCAGCAGCAGAGTGCCAGCGAGAGCGGATGGCCTAGGGTTCGCTTGAGCCACGTGTCATAGCAAAAGGCTCGTTTTTGCCAGTCATTATGCTCGACTGCCACACGCAGCCTGCACCATAAACTGGGCACGCCCACAGCAACTTCTCTCCATCGTCGGCATATTCTGGTCAACAGTATGGGTGCCCGTCTTGATGCAGGCGACAAGTATCTGTCTTCCGGGAGACAGTAAACGAAAATGTAGGATAGGATTTCAGTTGGCAAGCGCCACAGAGCCAATTTAAGTCTCTTGTGCGAATTGATGGACTCAATTATCTTGTTCTTCTTTTCGACGAGTTGTTGGTGAAGGTTTTGGATACCATTCATAATCGTTTCCAGGTCTGAGATCTCGTGCAAAACCGTATCTAATTGATGGTTGCGTTCGTTGATGCTCTGGTCTTCGAGCTCAATTGCACATTGATTAGGATTAAATAGTGCGGCTCGGGAGTACGGGGTGTCGAGGTCCAACATCTGCTATTTTTCAGATATCATATACAAGTAGATAGTATTGGCGTATTACAGTTGTTTGTGAATGTAGCTGAAGCGGTTGGTTATTATTCACAGAGTGACGTATTTAGAACTTTTGCAAGTACTTACCATGTTCTGTATTGCAGAAATGATGTCCGAAACCGCAGATAGATTTGGGTTCCAGTTGACTGTCTGCATGTCGTTTGCGAGACGTTGATGAATAGTAACTAGTAGCGATAATGTGACGTTGTTTGGTTCTGTTGAATTCCAAAGCTTTACCGCCACAGCGATGCGAACAGGTGTGAGTTTAAATTTTACCATATGATATAACGAACCCCCCGCCCCCCCAGACTCTTGATGATGGCGACGAGCAAAACTTGAGCTTCTGATATATCATGATCAACACTGGTACTAGTCTGTCTTCATATCGGCAGTACGGATGTTCTGAATCCCGTGTTTCGACCCTACTATATCCGCAGCATGCCACGGCTGCACATTTCTTGGTTTTAACTTTTCGAAAGAAAGGCGGGCCCGCACAAATGCCGCATTAACGCTTTAAACGAAGTTTACGCTTAATAACACTGAGGCTCTGTCCGGGGTTCCTCGAATTCAATCACTTCTCTGGCTTTCTCCCATCAATGTCCGACTGTTTCAGCTATCATTATGTGATCTTGCAGAATAATGCGGGTGAGCACTGGATGGCGTAAATACTAGCAGGGGCTTGACTACGTACGTTCCAACTTGAGCTCTTTTATCTTGCAGTTTAACTATCCGTTTACAGGTAATTATACATTGTTGAATTGATCAAGACGAGCACTGACGATCACACTCCGAATTTCTTACCCACTGGCAAGGCTCCACCTTCCAGAGATGACGTTTGCGAGAGGTGCGAGTCGGGACGGTAAGTTCCCTACTTCTGCACCAAACATTCGCGACTTACATCTGCTCTAGCCATATGCGGCTGCTACTATGCACCGCCATTGGCTCTTTGCTAATGAGATACGATAGGACCTCGTTTAGTTTCAGACCTAGAAGCGAATTGTTCAGTAAGAGAGCCCAAATTACGCCATGACTTCCCTTATAATGTCACTCCTCAGAACGAATGGCATTTTGGGCCAGCCATGATAAGGCGTAATTGTACTTCTTTGTAAGTACCAGATGGGCTTGCTACAGTCTACTTGCCATTCCGCCTGCATGCGATCCGACTGGGTTGAGTTATCTCATGACGGCCTCGCATAAGCAATCGATACAGCAACTTGAAGAGAAGGGATTTGAAGTTCGTACCAGCAAGAACAGGCTCGGATCATATTATGACGCCTTGTAAACGAAGAGTCCTGATTATTATAACCCCGGGTATCCTCTCGGTCTTATGATATGTCCGCGTGTAGTTGAGCGCTCATGTGTTGATCGAAGTTGACCTCCTGTTCTCCTCAGGTAGTTCGAAAGAACGTTGCGAGATAAAGTATAAAAGCAGTAAGCCAAGAAAGCTTTCGAATAGCCCTCACTCTTGCTTCCAACCATGCAGCCCTCACTTATTTTCACGATGCTCGTCACCTTTGCCACTATTGTTGTGGCATATCCCACACCAGAAATGGGGGCGGATTGTACTTGTGAGCACTTGCGCGCCACTCTAGTCAGTGGAAGTGATACTGATACGTTATACAGCTTTGGCTCAGCACGGCCTTCCCTGTAACATCGTTGTTTTTGACACTAGGGACCCTGGTTCTCCTGGTTCACCTGGTTCGCTTGACTCTCCTGACTCTCCTGATTCACCCGACTGCCCTGACTTCCCTGACTCGCCCGACTCTCCCGATTCTCCCGACTCGCCCGACTCGCCTTCTAGGCGTGAGGATGCTGAACCTAACTATGTCCACCAGAGAGGTAAGTCATTATATGCCTGGTGGATTAATCGATCACCCATGTGTAACACTTATCGCAACAGAGGCTTCTGGCTACCAGTCCAACACCAAGAGGTGTGACGACTAACATGTATCTAAGAGAGGTATTGGTATTGCTGCTCTTTGTTTCTACTATCATTTCTTATTGTTTTTCAGCTGTAAAATAGGCAATGATTCGCAAGGGGTGTTAGAACATCGTCAGTCCCAACTTGTACTAGTACTTGATGTAAACCAGAATTCGTATTTATATTGGGTTAGACACGATGAAAATTCTGGGTAGCTACGATGTCTCGTGAAATCTACTTTGGTAAAAAGACGACCATATTCGAACACCCAACCTAGTGTGTGAGAAACAAACGCAGCGTGATAGTACTTGGGACTATCGTAGGAATAATTTCGAGAAGACTGTTCACCATACATATATAAGATTGTGGAGCTATCGATGTCGATGAGGCATCACCCGAGCATTAATGAAGTAGATGCCATCTTCAGGAGGCGCCGTTTTGCCGTCAAAAACGAAGACAGAGACAGGGAGATCACCAGGGCTATCCTCCAGATCAAGAGACACAGGTGGTTCATTTTCGTCATTGAGCCATTCCACTCCTTTCTCACCGGCATATAAAATATAGAAAAGTTTTCTTCTCAGCTTCCCTTTCGCGTTGTCCGAGTCCTCCAAAAAATGGCTGCCCCAACCCTTGCAGGTACTATCAAGTACACGCACCCTTGGCAGCACTTTCCGACCCGGTTTTATGTATCACGAAATTATTCCAAGACACCTGCTTCCCCAGCGAGGTCCTCATCAAATTACCTGAGAGGCATCTTCCTGAATCCTCCCGATGCTCGCGCGCCTCCCCGTCATTTCTCTTGAAGATGTGTACCTGTCAAGTAACCCTCCTACTTTTCCTCGCCGCCTGATGTTGAAGAGGGTTCGCTTCCTTACGTTGGTTCTTGGAACTGTATAGTGATTCGCCATCGTCACTCAGCCACTGTTATGTAAGTATTCAGAATCTTATTGATAGTATCTCGCACATGTATCTTTTTCCACCAGCGTTTGTTCCTACTCCTCGAGGTATGTTCGCTCTTGTACATCGTGCCTAGACTCGTACCGACTTAGGGTAGACTTACTAATTGCTCTCTTCTATCAGGACTCGTACTAGATACGCTACCAACACGCCCTGTGACGGAGTCTGCGACAGTCTTCTCTCCAGAGTGTCCATTGCCCCAACATTCTTGTCTCCTCCGAATTGTGACTTCGTCCAACTCAGATTGAAGTTGAAGCAGCTTCAAACATACAGAATCTCGTACGTTTGGATGTTCTTCCTTGATCTCAACAAGCTCAACTTGAATCAGTTTACTGCGACAATGCCAGAAACCAAGACTTCTAACAGCCTCCTGCGCAATAACATCAATTTTCCAACATTCAGCGACCTTCCGCATGAGTATCATGTTGACCCCACCTACTACGTCGAGGGCCCATACAGAATTGTACCCAGACAACACTGGTGCTTCCTTGGCGAGATCGTCGGCTCCTACGGTCTCTTCCGAGTCTTATTACGCGTAAAGGATAAAGGTGGTCAAGTCGTCACCATCGGCCTATACACTGATGACCGCGGACACACGCTCACTCCGCAAATCAAGCAAGGTCACACAGTTGCTGTACTGTATGGCGAACAGCATGGCTTCTTAGACATGACCGTCGGCATACGCGTCGAAGAACCCTCCATTATCAAAATCATACCATGTTCGCTTGAGCAGCTGCTGAAGGCCAGCGATGATGTGGCTGCGCGCAACTCGAACACCCAATCAAGATGCTGTGGGTCTTGTGGTAAAGAGGAGAATACTTCTCATAATACGCACTTGCTCTTGTGCTCCCGCTGCAAACAAACGTCATACTGTGGAGAGGTAAGTATTGGTGGTGATACATTTTCATGCAAGTCATGTGTCTGACTCAAGCTTGTTCTTAGGCTTGCCAGAAGCAAGCCTGGGTGGACGGTCACAAGGCTGACTGCAAGGCACTTGTTTGGGTACAGTGGTTCGCGGCAAGAAACTGGGGAGTGTTTAATGGATATTTTAATTTCTGATGCTTTCGCGCTGATCAATTGTGGCTTTGCAAATGATGCTATTCTCCTGCTAGTCGCATTGTATTGTTCTACTGTCAGCCCAGAAACGTCATCTCTCGAGATATGTAGCTACCCAGGATTACCAAGAGTATGAACTATTATTGTGATTCGCTACTTTAAGGGAAGGAGTGAGGGAAACATATTCCGCTTGCTGCGCATCTGTTATCATCGCTCCACTACCGATAGTCAAGGTCTCCAGGGGACACTTTGACCGTGCCAAAAAGGCCTTCATATCTTCATGAGGCCAAGATGTATTGTAGCGAGCTTCAAGCGCATGCAAATTGGGGAGAGATATAGCATTGAGCAGCTCAGATAGAGTGCGCATGAGCGAAGCGTAGTAAAGGATGCATAAGGATTGTAATTTGGTGTGCGTGAATGATTTCAAGGGTCCTCTTTGGTCCATTTCTATCTGGGTGTTTAAGGAGGAGAGATTGGGACATAGTTGAAGCAAATGGAGGAATGCGTTTGGGTGAGATACGGCGATCTGGACGTCTGTCAAGTGGGCCCATACAGGACTGAAAGAAGACAAAGGCTCGATGTCGAAAAACGGTGTCATGTCAATGAACTTGAGACTGCGCATAGTGGACGGCAGTTGCGAGATGGATTGTGCAATAAGTGGAATATCATCATTTGACATCCCTCGTATGGCTAGCTCCTGAAGTGCTAGGAGGTCTGTAGCAAGCAGTCGAGGGTGTCTGCCACCGAAGTAATCACCATAGACTTGAAGAGATGTGATGTGACTCATGTAAGGCCGAAGAAGGCTTCGTAGTTTGGTCGAGTAGTGGTACCCGAGTTCTAACGAGAGCGGACGTCCTCGTGAACGCTTGAGCCACAAGTCATAGCAGAAAGGTGCCTTCAGCAATTTTTTGTCATCGGCTTGCACATACAACCGGCACCATAATCCGGGCGTACCCACAGCAACCTCCCTCCATCCTCGGCATATTCTTGTTAACAGTATAGGGGCTCTAACTGGGAGGCTCGATGGGGATAGAAAATATATGTAATCAGGGAGACAGTGTTTGAATATTTGGGATAAAATTTCCGTTGGGAAGCGCCAGAGAGCCGATAGCAGTCCCTTGTGCAGATTCATCGACTGCGTGATCTTCTCCTGCTTCTCAAGGACTGCCTGATGAAGATTTTTGACACTATCCATCACGGCCTCCAGGCCCGAGATCTCATGCAGAACTGTATCCAATTGCTGCTGGCGTTCAGCAATAATGTTGACAACGCTCTGACATTCGAGCTCGACGGTAGAGTGGTCGGTATTGGGGAATCTGGAGTATGGAGTTTCAAGGACTGGAATCTAGTCATCGTCAGTAACATGACATGTGATATGTCGGAATAGGCGAAGGAGTAAACGTACAATCGAGCGTGCGATCTGGAACAGATGATTGTTATTCTTGACTGACACGAATTCCGATTCAAGAAACTGTGCACTTACGATGTTCTGTAGCGTACCGAGGATATCTGAAACAGAATCAGAGACATTGAGTTCTGAGTAGGCTGTCTGCATCATGTTGTTGGCTAAGGTGAGAAGTAGATATGCAATAGGCTAGAACACGAGGGAACTCAACGAGTGAAACAAATGCTATAGGATTGAGTAATATCCCAGACTATGTAGGAGAGCATCAGGATTCAGTACAAACTATTATGTAACAAGACGGAGGAACTTCTAAAGTTTCGGTAAATTTCAGTATTTGTGCGCAATTCTTGTAGGTCAAAATCATGGTCTCATTTCGAAAAAACTTGTCAGCCCAGAAACGATATGTAGCCACTTAGAATCATCAAAATCATGAACTACTATGATTCACTACTTTGAGCGAAGGAATGAGGGAAACATATTCCGCTCGTTGCGCATCTGTTATCGTCGCTCGACCGATAGTCAGGGTCTCCAGTAGACACTTTGACCGTGCCAAAAATGCCTTCATATTCTTATGAGGCCAAGATTCACTGTAGCGATCGTAGTGAGTACGAAGCGTGCACAAATTGGGGAGTGATAGAGCATTGAGCAGCTCAGGTAAATGGTACGTGTGCAAAGCATCATGAAGGATGTATAAGGATTGTAGTTTGGTGTGCGTGAATGATTTCAAGGGTCCTCTTTGGTCCATTGCTATGTGGATATATAAGGAGGAGAGGTTGGGACATAGCTGAAGCAAATGGAGGAATACGTTCGGGTGACATACGGCGATCCGGATATCTGTCAGGTGAGCCCATACAGGACTGAAAGAAGACAAGGGCTCAATGTCGAAAAACACTCCCGTGCCAATGAACTTTAGAGTACGCATAGTAGACGGCAGTCGCGAGATAAATTGTGCAATGGTTGGAATATCACGATTTGTCGTCCCTAGTATGGCTAGCTCCTGAAGTTCTGGGAGGTCTGTAGCAGACAGCTGAGGGTGTCTGTCACGGAAGTAACCAGCATGGACGTGAAAAGATGTGATGTGACTCGCATAAGGCTGAAGAAGGCTTCGTAGTTTGGTCGAGTAGTGGTCCCCCAGTTCTAACGAGAGCGGACACCCTCGTGAACGCTTGAGCCACAAGTCATAGTGCAAAGCTGCCTGCTCCCAGTGTCTGCGGTCGGTTTTCACATACAACCTGCACCATAATTCGGGCGTACCCACAGCAACCTCCCTCCATCCTCGGCATATTCCCGTTAACAGTGTGGGGGTTTTAACTCGGAGCCTCAATGGGGATAGACATATTATGTTTTCAGGGAGACAGTGGTTGAATATTTGGGATAAAATTTCCGTTGGGAAGCGCCAGAGAGCCGATAGCAGTCCCTTGTGAAGATTCATCGACTGCGTGATCTTCTCCTTCTTCTCAAGGACTGCCTGATGAAGATTTTTGACACTATCCATCACGGCCACCAGGCCCGAGATCTCATGCAGAACTGTATCCAATTGCTGCTGGCGCTGAGCGATAATGTTGACAACGCTCTGACATTCGAGCTCGATGGTAGAGTGGTCGGTATTGGGGGATCTGGAGTACGGAGTTTCAAGGACTGGAATCTAGTAGTCATCATCAGTAACATGACATGTGATCGTATGTCAGAATAGGCCATTGAAGGAGTAGACGTACAATCACTTGCGAACGTGCGATCTGGAATGGATTATTGTTATTCTCAGCTGACACAGATTCTAACTCAAGAAACTTAGCACTTACTATGTTTTGTAGTGCACCGGTGATATCTGAAACAGTGTCGGAGATATTGAATTCCGAGTGGGGTGTCTGCATGTTGTTCGCTAAGGCGAGAAGCAAAGATGTAATAGGCTAGAATACGAGGGAACACAGCAAGTGAAACAAATGCTTTAGTAAGTACCTCCAACACGAGCAGATTAGGAGAGCATGGATGATATCAGCGAAGTTGAACTTACTCTATTACGTAATTCCCGTTACCTCTGTACAATACCACGTATTAGTACCAATGAAACAAAAACACTTCGAATCTAGTCGATGGCATACTCATGTACGTGATTCCTTTTGCAGGTCAAATTGATCTGGGTGAGTACAGTCTCATGCCAGAGGAACATACATGAAAGTACACTTAATTACAGAGACCACGCTGGTCGCTCATGACAGTGCTGTATCTCAGTGTATGTAGCTTGTTTGTTTGCCATTTTGTGCTGACTTGAAAGTATACTAGGTGCGCTACCTTGGAATTTTATCTGCCGCGTATGTTCGGAAGGCTAAAAATTTGGTGTTGTGCTAATCGTCTATCTCTTATAATCAGTCTGTCAATGGTCGGTGTGTCTCCTTAGTACATTCACTGTCATATCTTCTTTCGACAACGGTATTCAGACAATGTTCCGACCATCTCGCTGACAGATACAGTGAGTCTTCCGTATAAATACCTACCATTCCCCTCAAATTAACTGTGTTGTGCTGTAGCAGTGGGTGTGGTTCTTTGCTGACTTCTCAGTCCACTAACGGCTGCCACGCTATACTACCAACTTGAAGATGTGAGTCTGTTTGGAGTGTGTGCTACCTGAGACGGGTCACTGATCGGATTTGCCAGGCTGGATGATGTACACTATATGGGATTGGACGGCTGCGGTATTTGCGATGCTGTGGGGTGAACTTTGCACTTGCGAAACCTCAGTGATATTAGAATGACTGAAACATGCTGCAAGTCATCATTATCACTCGGTTGCATGCCATGTATCAACGAGACAGAAAGATCCTGATATTTCTCGTTGTCACCTTCCTGGCGATCAACACTTTTTGCTGGAGTGACAGCCGCAATGTCAACGATGCATACTTCAGGAGGTACACTTAATTATGGATGAAAACTAACGTGCATAGGGCTCATTGATGGATACCAGAGGAAATCATTCTCTCCGGCACCTACCTGTGCAGGATTAGCTATACAGGAGATGCTCTAGTTCTGGATTCCGCCACTTGGATACTCTACATTGTGTGGGAGGTCCTCACACTATGTCTCGCAGTCTGGATTGCGGTAAAACACTTCCGTGAACTGCGATTATATCTGGCAGGAGGGATTATCGGGGACTGTTTTACGGTGTTGATGAAAACTCACGTGGGAGGCAAGTTCATATTGTGATTCTTGTCCTTTTTCCACTGAAGGGTCGGACATGATAGCTTTGTTTGCTGTCTCTTGCTTCGACCTCATTATTTTATTCTCTCCAACATCATCAACGGTATGTCAATCTTTCACTTACCTCTAGATGTGACCAGGATCTATCATTTATATAGAGCCGATATCTCCTAGAAGATCAGACTTTGTTTGGCTTGTTTCAGATTTTGGAGGTCGTGATGTTCGTGCTAGGACCACGGCTGATCCTTGGCATTCGAGAATATAATGCTGAACTCGTGGCTGACTCCGAGAGCGTGTGCATATATCGACTGGCAGTGGTGTGTAATGCTCGATGAAGTTGACGCGAACCGTTGTCTAGTGCTTGCAGGGAGCATGGGCAATTTGTTTTTTGTTTCTATTCCAAGCCTCGTTGCAGTGCTCAAGTAGTTATTTGGTATCACAAAATAGATGTCAAGGAGACATAGGTTTAGCGTCGTAGTATTTATTCGAATCATTTGCTATAGGTCTTTGAAATTAACAATATTTCAACCAAATGTCCTGGATATCTCTACTGTATCAACGAAGGAAAGCAGTGTACAGAACGGGAAAGTCGAGGAGGGCGATGTCGCTGGAACGTTAGATGCAAGTTTCTATTTGCTCGTGCTTCTCATCTTCGAGGACAACTCATGATCCACCTCTCGTCGTATCGGAAGCACTATGGGATACTGACTTTCGTAATACGGTGTGGTTCCAAAACGGTTATGCCAATACACCCAGAATTTTTTCAGGGATGTGCAGGGACCATCACCAGCAATAGTGCAGGAGTCGAGCGTCTGCTGCTCGATGTCAAGTTGTGGAGGTGATGGTGACTTTGAGACGAAGGCAGCCAAGATGTTTTCAAAAAAATTGACAATGGGATCGACGTTTGGGCCCTGATTGAAGATTTCGAATTTGGAAAGCGCATGCGAGCGCCGAGAATCAGGTTATGGTCATACTCTGGGGGAGATTTGAGGGCACAGATCGAAGTTGAAGAAGTGAAGGTTCTATGATCTTTGAAGGACGTGAGTGCGGTTTAGACTTCGGTGCAGGTGTTCCTGCGCCACGAGGGAGTAGCAGAGAAGGATTTGGTGGTCCAGAGTCTTGGTACCCCGGGGGCCGGAGGTGGTGTAAACAAAGACTTCAAGAGCGACACATTAGTACACTTGCACGTGATTGCGGGATACTAAGTGCAAAGTGACAAAGGTGAATTGATGTATATCTCCGCAGTGCGATGGGTACGACTCGGATGTCTCCAACTATTGAATATTGAGTACTGATCGGCGTTTGAATCATATATGTAGATACCCAGGATTATCAAAAGTATGTATGAGCGTAATTCACTGCTTCAAGGGAAGGAATGAGCGAAACGTATTCCGCTCGCTGCGCATCTGTTATCGTTGATCGACCACCGATAGTCAGGGTCTCCAGGGGACACTTTGACCGTGCCAATAATGCCTGCATATCCTCATGAGGCCAAGAAGAACCATGGGGGCTAGTGCGGCTAACTTCAAGCGCGCGCAAATTGGGGAGTGATACAGCATTGAACAGGTCAGATAAAGGGCGCGTGAGCAGAGGACTGTCATGAAGGATGATGCATAAGGATTGTAATTTTGTGTGCGTGAATGATTCCATGGGTTCCTTTCGGTCGGATGATATGGGGACATTTAAGGAAGAGAGGTTGGGACATAGTTGAAGCAAATGGAGGAATGCGTTCGGGTTACATACGGCGATCTGGACATCCGTCAAGTAAGCCCACACGGAGCCTAAAGAAGACAAGTGCTCGATGCGGAAACACGGAATTATGTTCAACTTGAGACTGCGCATAGTGGACGGCAGTCGCGAGATAAATTGTGCAATAGGTGGAATATCATGATTTACCATTCCATTTATGGTTAGCTCCTGAAGTGCTGGGAGGTCAGTAGCAAACAGATGAGGGTGTCTATCCCGGAAGTACTCGACATCGACTCGGAGAAATTTTATACGCCTCATATGAGGCTGAAGAAGACCTCGTAGTTTGGTCGGGTAGTGGTACCCAAGTTCTAACGAGAGCGGACGTCCTCGTGAACGCTTGAGCCACAAGTCATAGCAGAAAGCTGCCTGCTCCCAACCTTCGTCGTCGGCTTCCACATACAACCTGCACCATAAATCGGGTGTACCCACAGCAACGTCCTTCCATCGTTGGCATATTCTTGTCAACAGTATGGGGGCCTCAACTCGGTGGCTCAATGGGGATAGCAAAAATATGGTTTCAGGGAGACAGTGGTTGAATATTTGGGATAGGATTTCCGTTGGCAGGCGCCAGAGAGCCGATAGGAGTCCCTTGTGCAAATTCATCGACTGCATAATCTTCTCCTTCCTTTCGACGACTTGCTGATGATGATTTTTGACGCTGTCCATCCCGGCCTCCAGATCCGAGATCTCGTCCAGAACCACATCCGACTGCTGCCGGCGCTCAGCGATGATGCTGACAACGCTATCTATCACGGCCTCCAGGCCCGAGAGCTCGTGCAGAACTGTATCCAATTGCTGCTGGCGCTGAGCGATAATGTTGATAGCGCTCTGGCGTTCGAGCTCGACAGTAGAGTGGTCGGTATTGGGGAATCTGGAGTATGGGGTTTCAAGGACTGGAATCTAGTTATCGTCAGTAACATGACATGTGATATGTCGGAACAGGCCAGGGAGTAGACGTACATTCACTTGCGAGCGTGCGATCTGGAATAGATGATTGTTATTCTTGGTTGACATCAATTCTGATTCAAGAAACTGGGCACTTACGATGTTTTGTAGCGTACCGAGGATATCTGAAACAGAATCAGAGACATTGAGTTCTGAGTGGGGTGTCTGCATGTTGTTCGCTAAGGCGAGAAGCAAAGATATAATAGGCTAGAATACGAGGGAATACAGCAAATGAAACAAATGCTATAAGATTGAGTGGTACACGAGCAAAGTTAGGAGAGCATGATGACAACATGATATCAGTACAATTGAGCGAGTTGAAATTTACTCTATTACGTAACCGTAGGCACGAGCGGAGGAATAGAGTTACAATATTTTTGTGCAACTCTTGTAGTGGTCACTGCGCCATTGCTTGCCTTCGGCATATGAGCTTGCTATGGGTCTCCTCATCGAGCTCGTATGTCTTCTCAGTCGCACTATCTCTCGGATATGCATCGTCAACCTTCCATGTGTCCACACCAGAGCAACGCAAGCAGAAATAATCAACATTTCTACGCAGGAAGATCATGGTCAGTCGCATTGTGTCCGAGTCTACTTCTGCTGGTGACTGCATACCGTCCCAGCAATCCATTTTCCAAAACTCCTTTTTGATCCAGGCCAGTCAAGAACTGACCACGATCTGCTGCAGCCGGATAATTATCTCCACCTGGACTTCGAAAAGACGCGCTCCCAGCGAACGTTGGACCACCTAACCCGACCCAACTCGACCACGCGCCGCTTGCCCCTCGCGTAATCCCTGTTTTCTTTGAACAACCGACCCCAACATAACGCATTGTATGATCGCTACGTTTCAGAACTTGAAATGCCGTATTCCAGATTTCCAGATACCGACCAATCTGCCATGCACAAAGACCAGAGTATCCGCGTCATCCCACCCTGCGTTCTTCCTTCATCTTCAGGTATAGTTGGAGGGTTCGCTTATCTTGCAGGAACAACCCACACTGAAGGAGAGAAAGACGATGCTATATGCATGGCCTGGGCTAGGCGGACGCAGGATCAATCTACGAAGTAGGCGGAGTGCAGAGGTGTGAGGGTCTCTACAGTGCAAGAAGTGTTTATGCATGACCTCTTGGTTTTCTTCGGTCTGATGCTGGTGAAACAGCCGTTGGCAAAATCTCCAAGTGAACCAAGTGTCGCTTTCGACTCGACCTAATCCGACGTCCCCACATTTTTGAAATCAGTCAACAAGGCACGTCGACAATACATATCAATAGCGATGTCGTTGTGGCCCCCAACACCACCTATACCAGCTTCGAGTCGGAAGAATATATTAATCGTGGGTGACGCAATACGTGAGGCATAATATCGAAAGTCTCTACTGATTTCATGTAGGTCGCAAGAATTCACATTTCTGCCCATAACACCGGCCCCATCACCATGCCCATAGTCCATATCTATACAATAGAAATCGGTCAGCATGTTCCAAAGTGCGCATTAGATAACCTTACGACGTTCAATGCTTTAACAAAAAGCATCGGGTATTCGTAAAATGGCGGAGCGTATTTACTTCCAGCTCTGGGATGGGTGAATAACACCCAAATGGAGTAAAGCGCTATAGCAAGAGAACTTCGTGCCAGCAGTAACGGAGATTGAGTGATCCTAGGGGATTCCGGAACCAGATGAGCGCGATTGTGACAAATTATCGATATATTATTACTGACCCGGCTGCTAATGCCATTGGTATTTCGGAATACTCGGGACCTTTCCCAAAGAACTTGAATGCTCCTTCCTGCATAATATCGAATGCCTCGCCTACGCACATGGACAATCATAAGCCTTCGAGCATTCGACAGTTAATATCGGCGTACCATCGGCTGCAAATAGGCCAGCCCAACTCATGCTCATGGTATTGATAGTGGATGCGAGCGGTTTTCTCATGTGGTGCCACTTCCGGAGGACAGCTGAGATTTCATCCCAGTTGCCAAAGTTCTCGATGTCGGCCAGGAGATCAGAAAGGATGACTGTGTCGTTCAAGGCGACCGTCATTCCACCCGCAGTTAGCGGGTGGCGCATGTTTAACGAATCTCCCAGTAGAAACGCGCCTGCCTTGCTAGATTCTCCCTGCTTCATTGCCGGAAGATAATAATGCGGGACTCGTCGCAAACGCGACGTTTCCAGAGCATTGAGAATGGGCGCGCGTACCGATAACGGAAGCTGAGGAAGAACGTCGCGCAACATATGCTCCTGCAATATTGATAGTAAGAGAGCAATCACGATCACACAAGACGGAATTACAGACCTTGAGATCTGGCGGCGGCTCCTTCATTTCGACTAGCATCCGATACTCGTTGTTGGGGAGCTCAAAAAGGATGACCGGTCCGGCGCCTTTCAGGACGATCATGGTAGCATACTTGGGTACCGGCAACTTCAGGTCTTTCACAATCAGACCTGCCAAATAACCCTTTTGCGAAGGCTCATACGGCATGTTCCCGAGGACGGCAGTTCTAAACTTGGATGAGGAACCATCCGCGAGAACGACAAGATCAGCATAATATGATTCTAGCTGACCACCCGGTTTGGAGGCCCGAACACCTATTACGCGATGTGTGTCCTCGCTCTCGATAAGACCGGCTACTGTGGTCTCAATCACGTCAACATTGGACGCGCGCCGTGCGCGGTCGCGCAAGGCCATGATGAATGCCCCATGGTCGAAAGCTCGCGCATCATGGCCTTGAGGGAATGAGGCGCAAACGCCATTCTCCTGTCGTAGAACGTAATAACCTGACAAAGAAACGGAGCCAACATCTGCAAGGCATGACTCTAGACCAAGCTGTTTAAGCGCAGTAACGCCGCCGGGCTGGAGCAATTCAGCGACAATACGGTCTGGCTTTGACAAGGACCGCTCGAGTAGAGCTATCCGCAAAGGAGTAGCACGCTTGGCATATGTCTTTGTGGCGAGGGCATGAGCAAGGGCCGGCCCTGCTACACCGGCACCAACGATGAGTACGTCGTAAGAAGGAGAGAACGGCATGATGGGATGAAAGATTATGACGACAGGCAATATTGCTCACCGGGTATTTATCATGCCTAGACCTTTTCTCTTTGGGTAATAACCTGCACCATGCGATAATTCAAGATATTGGTATCGGATGACTTTTCCGCACAGGCTTGAAAAATGTTGAATAGATTAGCATATCCACATCATAACTTTTGCCACATTAGGCCTAGGAAGACGTGCCGCGCGATGGCGCTGTTCATTTCCAGTAAATTTGCAAATGCAATGCTCTTGCCCCCCTCCCACTGTAATTTCTCAACCGCGCTATCTTCTCTTTCATCCGGATTCCGTACTAATACTGCCAACTCGTGCCTTGCCTGTCTTCGCTTGTATACCATGATGCGGTATCATCGTTGTTCGTTACATTATGCGGAACTAATCGGTGGCATTGCGTTTGGCCCATCGGTGAGACTCGAGTCTGGTGCCAGGCCCACGTTGGTTTTCTGCATCACAAGGGTCGGAATGATGTGTAACCTGTTAGCATACCGGCTCTCTATGTTTCACGTACGTTGAGGTGTTTGCCACTGATGTAATTGATGCGTTCAGGGACTCGTGTTTTCCACCCTGTTGAGAGTCGGGATGCTAACAGGGCACTACAACACTCGCGGTGGTTGAGGTCTTCGCCACTGATGTAATGATATTCAGGAACCACCTTGTTAGAAGCCGAACGGTAACAGGGCACACAGCTCTTTCTAATTAAAACTTGCTGATTGGCAGTGCCCACAGTGTGACAAGTTACATGTAATTATTGCCCTTTGGAAGTACTTCGGCTCCCAAATGTTGACAAGAACGATGTACGTACGTGCAGTGTAACGGTAATGACAACGCGCCTCTTCAACTGCAAACAGTGGGTCTCTGACCTACTCGAGTAGTAGGAACAATGGCGGCCAGAACCTCTTGGCTATCAACAGGACAACGTTCTGGACCTCACCAGCGCCGATGTGAACGGCATCGACGATCCATCTATACGAAAGCCGCCACTAAAGCTTAAACCTCAATTAACTCGACCTAGAACTCGGGTTGTTATTACCCATCTCTTTGGCCAGGTCTATCCAGAATACCTGCCATCCGCACTCATCGAACTCCTAAGACAAGTTTCATCAGTGCATACGCCTTCCACCGCACCAAACGTTCGTCACTTTCGCTGCCCTCGTCCTTCTCCGGCGCCTTTTGGTGCTCACGCTCTCGTATAATCACCATCATCCTTGGACATGTTGTCCGTTTTGGGATCTTTCGTTGAAGTTCGACGAGCTTCAAACGACATAGAGACATGCCTCCTTCATGATTTTACTTGGATATATCATTTTTTGATGTATCCTTATCTTGTGTGTAGTCTTCCTTGAATGGCCCATCTGTTATTTGAATAAATCTAAATGAGCACTCCGACATTTTCGTAATGGCTGAGGAGGTTTTCAGGGGTAAGGTTGTAGTTACAATTGAGCCTAGTGCGGGAGGGTAGTTTGGTGAGCGGAGGGAGACTGCCAGGTTCGGCGTGGTGGGCAGTAGGCCGAGGGTCAGAAGGGTAACAGGCACCGGAGCCTACGACCCCTTGATGCCTTATTACCGTGTCAGACCTAATGCTCACTTGCAGCAACGTTCCATTAAACGCAATCCAGGCTTAGCGCCAACCCCTGTCGCTCGTGAACTCCGCTGTAATTAATGCGATGGTGGTCTGATAGAATGACGAGAACAGCAAATATGTCTTTAGTTGGCAGACCACATGCACGAACGCCTATCATACTATTAATACTGAGATGTCGGGTGCCTGCAATCACAGTTATGTGGGGGTCATGGGGTCGAAAGCTCGTGCGATCCTGCTCAAACTAATTATATCGATGATATACAATATTAACGAACACTGAATTCGCAAGCGAGAAAAGGTCGAAGGTGCCTGACGTTCGGCCGCGTATGTGTTGTTAATACACCAGGTAGGAGGTACTCCTTGGTGGTCAAGCTCGGACTACACCATTGCCTCCGAGCACGTCGGTCAGCGTTTTGACAAGTCAAACGCGGAGTTAAAAACAAGACCGCTCGCGCTTACCGTAGAGATGGCCAGGTACTTCATTTATCCATATTTATTGTCCTTTTCGCCCTTTTCGCGAGGGGCTGACTCCCGCTTCACTATCTTGCCAAGTACCTGTCAGCTCATGCCAAGCCCATGCCACTAGTAATCCAAGTACCCACCTCGATCTAATCGGATCAGACCTCTCGAGAAGACCTGTCCATCAAGACCATGGCCCATGCGGTTTTCTACAGCTTCTACTACGCCGACTGCAATCTCCTAGATGGACTTTGAAAATTTACCCAATAAACTGTTCTATATGAAGACCAAGCCTCAACCGAATACCCCAATGATATCAGCATCACGGAGCGCTGTTGAAAATCAGATAGAGATAACAGTAATCGACGAACAAGAAGCTCCACTCATCGTGACGACGTTGACGTAGTTCATGGTATGTTCTGGATCTGCAGCAGACGTGTAACCAAAATAAGCAAACGTTAACCATATGAAATCCGCTATCCTGTACCAGGGAGTCATGCAGGATGTTGTGGGTCATAGTACCAGCCTGAGTGCACGTTGTATGTTGTGTGTACAGCTCCAGTAGATCGCTTGCTCGTGACAGCTGTCAGCCACATGATCAGTTGAATCATTTCGGGCGACAGGTTGATCTAGACCTCATCTTAGAACATGACACTTTGTTCCCGCTAATAAGACTGCAAAATCATTCATTCCTATAGGATATGATATCTTAAGATGAATTCAAATAGGTATCAAAAGGGAGCTTAACCACGTCTCTTTCTGAGTCCTCGGGTCCGAAACCAACTGGAAGTAATTCCCTAAGAGTATGTTCTCCTTCTCAGTGTAAGAAGATGCAACCAGTAGGATAGGCATGTCGAAGGGACAAAATTCGTGAATTACTTGACGACAGATCCCACAAGGCACAATTGGTGAGGCAACGTCGTTAATTAGTGCAAGGTTTGGAGCAAGGACAATAACGACATACCTTGTGACAGCGAGCGCTGCAAACTAACCCTTCATTCTGATATCGAAACATTTTGTCAAGCTCAACGAATGCTACCAGATAAGGTGGACGCACCGCCGCATTTTTTGCGCTCTGTATAAATCGTACCACTTATGTATGGTAGCTCTCACATGGAATTTGGAATAAGGCTGTCAAATACTCATGAACTCGTTGTGCTCGTTCCACTTTTAGGGCGATAGACTCGTACCTTCACCTGCAGCTCGGAGGAGGCGATCGCGGTTTGAAGCTACGATATTCGTTGGTTGGGATAATTCAAACCAGAGGGTGTCACTAGCCGCCAACAAGTAATAGGCCAAGGGCACTTTGTAACTTGGGACCTGCTGGCATTATTGTGGAAGACGTCCGAGGCGTTCCAGAAACAAATTCATACGGACAATGATGCAGAAGAGTCATGGCACTCGGACTGAGCCGTGGTAGTAACACGTTCTCGAAGTACTCAGACGTGGCCACGTTGCGCTGTCGATGTGGTTCTTTTTTCGACCCATCCTGGCGTGTGTCCATGCGGACCCGGTACATCGAGGGCTCATCTTCCTACATGGAAGCTGGGGACTCTACATTCTATGGAAGAGCTCAGGATGGATTCCCGCGGAGATCGTAGGATAGTATGGTTAAGACTCGGATAAGGTGGATACGTTGCACATGCACCATGACATGCATGACGCTCCAGTGCGGAGTCTGCGGACTCCGGATGTAAGTCTCAATCGGCTCCGAGTCTTTACAATTACTCCAGAACGTTCAAAAATATGATTACTACCGGCCCCGCAAAATTTGGAACGTTCGCAAAACGCAAGAAGAAGCAGATTCTTGTAAATTCGATTTATGGGATTTCTCGACCGTCCTGGTTCTCGATCCAAAGCCTCGATGTTGTCACACTCGATCCGGACCAACACTTATTCTTCCCATCAGCCCTTCGTTCGGGCAGGGGATACCTTCATACGTACTATCTTTGAGAGGATAAGCAGAAGCTCACTCAGACTATACGAGATGCCTTTGGGAGGTCTCAAAGCGGAGGAGAAAGATGGAGGCATGGATGTATCTGTTCGAGGGCCGATTGCGGTGGCAAATACACGAGTGTGGTATCTCCAACGTGAGTCCGAGAGGAATCTAGCAATGGACTTCGATGCACCAGCTAATCATCTTGTTCCGCTCTCCCCAGTCATTGCCTCTCTTGAACCTAGCGCACTCTGAGACAAGCTCCTCCAGGATCGAGTGAAGGTGATCCTTGTACCGCTATCCATGCAATATCGCGTCATCAACGGAGTCCTTGACATGCTCGAGCAACTTTGTGAGAGAAGGTGCGTGCATGCAACGGAACAACCGCTTACTCCGCAAGGAAGGAAAGACCACCTGGTTGCTGTGCTGTGTGACGAGCAACTGCACGCAGAGGCCAAGATGTAGCAGGTCTTGCTGGGGAGAGAACCCCTCCGAAATTCGGGAATTGGGCTTGTGCTCCCGCTGCATACACGTGTCGTATTGGAAAGACGTGAGTGCTAGGTAGCTGAGAGCCTGGATTGGCAGTCATACTGCGGAATGCAGGGACTGGCGCTTGTGGTAGTACAGCGCTTAGTTCGTGGCGACAAGCTGGGGGCAGTTCCACGACCAGTTTGGTTTCTGGTGTGTCACCACTGATCACAAATACAAGAATGCAAACAGATCCTCTACTAATGATATCTCGACGGAAGGAAGAATATCAATGTATTTCGCTCGCACCTCATCTGTCATCGTCGGCTTCCCGCGACTGCTAAAAATCAATCTCTCCAGGGGACACTTTGATCGCGCCAAAAATCCCTTCAGCTCCTCATCAGGGTATCGGACACTGCCAGAGCAGTAATTTTCAAGCACCCGTAAATTCGGGAGCGATAGAGCATTGAATAGCCCGGATAAATAGGATGAGGCGTCACAGCGAGCTAAGACGCGGAAGGTTTGGATTTTGGTGTGCGTGAATGAATCTAGGGTTTCGTTTGTGTCGAATTGTCCGCAAAATTTGAACGAGGAGAGATTGGGACATAGCTGGAGTAGATGAATAACTGTACTCTGGTGCAGCAGTGTGGCGACATCGAGATTTGTCAGGTGTGACCCTGCGGGACCGAAAGAAGTTTGCGTGGTGTTGAAATACCATTCAACGACCTTGAGACTGCGCAAAGTGGCCGGTAGTCGTGAGAGAGACTTTCCGATGGATGGACTGTGTCTATTCCTGTTTTCTTTCAGGGTTCGTATGGTCAGCTCCTGAAGTACTGGGAGGTCGTCTAACAAAAGTTCGGGTTCGACCACATCTTCGTGAAATATGATAGACAGAGATGAAATTTGATTGATGTAGGGCTGAAGAAGGCTTTGGAGCCTGGCCGCATCATCTGCCTCGCAGACGAGCGATAACGAGAGCGGATGTCCCCGGGACCGCTTGAGCCATACATCATAGCGGGAGGCTTGTAATTCCTCAAGGTAGTAGTATCGCAAGTTGTCAAACCCCACAGATACCCTACACCATAAACTGGGTGTGTTTACAGCAACCTCCCTCCATCGTCGGCATACTCCAGTCAACAAGACGGGAGCTTCTAACGCTGATGGGCGGTTTGATTCTGGGAAACAGTGGTCCGGGAGACAGTGGTGGAAAATCTGTGACAGGACTTCAGTTGGTAAGCGCCAGAGACGCGATGTGAGTCCCTTGTGCAAAATCATTGAATGTCTAATCCTGTCCTTTTTTTTGAGCAGTTGCCGGTGAATGTTCTTGATACCATCCATCACAGATTGCAGGCCTGAAATCTCGTGCAAAACTGCATCTAGCTGCCGTTGGCGCTCGGCAATGATGGCGTAGATACTTTGGTCATTGTGGGTGACAGACTGGTCGGTATTTGGAAACCTGGAACATGATGTTTCCAGGTCTGGAATCTAGAAATTTAATCATCAATGAGACGATATTTAGCATTAATGTCGCCATAGACATACGGTCACTTGTTCGGAACGTGCGAGCTGAAGCGAACAAATATTATTATATGTAGATACGAGGTGCTATACAAGTGGACACTTACGATTGTCTGCAGTGCATTGATGGTGTCCAACCCGAATATTTGTGTGATCCCCTCCATTGCCTGGGGCATGTTGGTTGAAGCGAAGACCAAGGTTAGTCTCCCAAAAAATATGGAAGCCGAACGTTGCGATGAAAGGTGATATAGCATCAAAATAACCATAGCCACTGCGCCCAGACTTGAAAGTCAGATCTAATGATAGTCCCACTACGTAATAGACTGACTACGTAATAGACTGACCACGTCATTCAATATGATTTATTCATGGATGTCATACAAATTAGTCGTATCATGATGTCGTCACGAATGTGTATGTATCATTTATATATAACTGCAGCTGGCCTCTGAGTCAGACGGGTGAAGACGCGGTGGTATCTGCCTGGTCCCACCTAGAATTTTGAAACAATAATTATCTTGTGACTTATTGCTCCAACAAGCACCTTGAAGTTTCGAAGTTTTGAATAAATCCAGTGATCCGATAAACTGGTCCCCCACAGATCCTCCCGGCGACATATCATATTCTTCCTTGCGCTTGACAAGTACCTTTAAAGTAAGAAGAGACATGAGTATATTACAAAGCTGATAGCATACAGTAGCAGTAACACAGAGCATACACCGTAGCCCTATTGATCACCGTGGAAATCTGCAACAACCAAAGGCATACAGAAGTGTTCTTGCACTACACATTTGAAGGATGGAACAAGGGCAGGCATACTCACTTGTGTTGAAGTTGGGCGACTACAGTGCCAACGAGAGCGTGCATCCTCTGGAACGCCTGAGCCATAAGTCATAGGAAAGGGCTCGCCACTCCTAGTCTTCGCGCTCAAGTCTCACAAGCAGATTGCACCATAAACATGTCTATGATAACATCCCTCCATGGCTGGCATATTGTGGTCACGTTGACAATTTAGAGGAGGTGATTGCTTACGATACAACACTGCAGAAAGCGCCGTTCACCTCAGTTAGGCTGAGGATGGTTCTGAAATTTCTATACGTCTGATTCAGTGAGCTATCAGTAGTGAACGAATGACTCTGTACACACATTGTATCTCGCGTTTTAGAATATGCGTCAAGGTGACGAAGGGGGTTTAAGAGTCAAAGCTCGCAAGTCTTGATCTCGTCGAAATTGACTGCTTCAGCCGGCTTATTCATGCTAAGACCGTGCTTTCCAGAACATCTGCAATGCGCGCTTGCAAGCTCACGCCCACGACCGTGTGTTGGGGGGTGCTATTATTGAGCTCGATTGATGGTATGCACCTTCGAGCAACCTGATCACCTTTTGAGGGCCAGTGTATCTGTCGTCAGTTCGAAGGGGTGGAAGGTTGCGGCGTCGATACTGAGGACATGTCAAGTCTTCTTGTATTATGCAATTTCTTGGCGTGCAGAAGAGTTGATGATATCCAAAAGAGCTTCAAGCCTCTACCTCATTCAAGTTCGTCATATCCGGAGGTGTGGATAAACCATGGTTCCGCCATCATAATATATACTCTCGAACCACGAGAATGACAGGGAAAACCCCGATCATGAAGACAAAGCTCTCCTAGGCGTCAGGGATACTCTCGAATAAGCGGCCTAAACCGCATGTAATCATGGTACGCGTGACATCGACGTAGCATTACCTAGATGTGAGATTTTATTAGTCTTGAACCAAACTGATTTCAGCTGAGCACACACTAGCACAACCCTGTGCCGTTTCGAGCGACATGAGATGCCCGTCAGGCCTACACCAATACCCTACCTTCACACGTACCGTCACTTTTTCATTATTGTCGAGAAACTAGGGGGCGGCGTTGCTGTCTAGAACCTTAAAGTTGGTCAGACAGCTGTGAAGGATCCAAATCGCGCCTGGTTGAGAATTTTCCATACTTCATGATCCATCAGGAGTATATGGCGAGCAAAGGCCGTCACCAACAATTGAGTCAATGTCACCAAGAGCCTGTGATAGTAGAAGTTGGAACAGTTGATTGAACACGTGACACACGGAAGCGTTTCGTTCGTCGGAGTTGCAAAAAGACTTCAAACAACGTTATGCCAAGTGACGCATATTATTATAAGGGCCGTTCAGACTCAACTTCAGAGGCTACTACTTCAACTTTGGCCCAGAAGACTGGATAATTTTGATACTCACGCGCTGCTGCAACTGGTTAGGTCGACAGTGACATCCTCCCAGAGTGGCCCGAATTTTGACGAACAGTTTCTACTTGAGCCCAGTATATTATGCTCAATGCTCTCGATAAAATGACCGGCTGCTGGGCCCTGGCGGACTAACGTAAAATGTCTACGAATCAGATCATGTGCAGTACGCCCATCGTAATCTTTGCATCATTATTATATCATGATCATCCATGGAGGCACCCTCACGTTCTAGATGGTAAGTTCTCGCTGGTGATTATGTTGATTGTTGTGCCTTTACAGGGTCATATGTTGCTTTGTATTCCAATGTAACGAAATCCTAATCCTTTCCTATATATTACGGTGTATGTCAATATTTTCTCCTCACCAGTTCTCTGACCGAGTCACAGTACTTATTGGCAACTGCTTGCTGCAGACTTCTACTCACCCGTGTTGCTACTCGAAAATGTTGGTCTCGGACACCTTCGGTTTGCAGTTAGCCAAGGTACTTAATCTGATCGTACTTTTTGTGCAGCCTTTTTCTAATGTCTCTAATCATTGAAGTATACTAATAGTGAGTCAGGCTGATCTAGTTTTATCATTACTCACGACTCTCCCAAAGTCGCTGGATTAACAATCCTAGTAAGTTGTGTCTCTTCAGTCCCGTTATAGCTCTGATGTATGACCAGATTTATGACTACTTTGTCACCTTACACTCTGAAGTCAGACAAATCAGTCACTCACACATCGGTGCTGATCTTTCTAGTAGGTCCAATGGACCTGGGGACGGAAGTGGGGAATCACTCGGACCGTCTTCACGTTCTCACGATATGGACCTTTTGCTTGTGCGCTTATGACCTCGTACTGTGAGATACGCCGCTATGCGCTACCACGCGAAAAGCTCATTCCTAACTAGCCGCCCTCAAGACATGGGGCACGCAAGATGTGAGTGCACGATTTGTGCAGTGCCGATTGCAACTCATATCAACATATAGTGTGTACCTTTTAATGATGCTTTAAATGGTTGGTCCAGACTGCTTTCACGACATGACTTGGAAATGACATTTCGCAGGCCTACACTTCTTGAGCATCATTGCCGCAGAAGGTTGACTTTTGCATACCACGTTACAGCGTGCATTTACACTCGCGCGACAGTTTTGTTGATTTTCAGGGTCTACGCCTTCTCTGGCAACAAAAAGGCTTATCTTATAAGTATCCTCTCATTTGGTTTGGTACAACAATATCTCTATTCCCCTGTGCACCACTGACCCATACGGCGCAGGTCATCTTAGTGACGTCTGTTGTCATAAGTGCTGCCCCAATCAATTGGAGGAGCCCAGGAGGCGAGGTCTCAAGTCTCACTTCTTAGTCTTAGTATTCATCCTCTTTCGGTAGGTCCTCCTTGCGTGTTTGAAGGGGCTCATAGCAGCGCCCTCCCGTATGCACTCTTGTTGTTCTTCGAGATAGGTGAGGCGACTATCTGATTCCAAATTCCTTCATTGATAATCTATTTTCAGTTCTCATGTCCACCACTGCATTCTTGAGATATCGACACTATCTGGGTTCTCATAGTGCGTTGATGAAGTGTGTTTATCATGATGGACTACTCTACATGTTGTGCATCACAAGTATCAAGGCCATCGTTACCATTTATTTCATGCTGACATCTCTGTAGTGATATCTACAATCAATGTGATCATTATCGCTGTGTTGCCCGTGAGTTCTTTCTTCGCTTTGGTCGATCTCAAAGAACTGAGTAAAACCCGTAGCTCTCGTACAGCGAAATGCTAAACACGTTAGTCTGGTCAAGTATATATGTCATCGAAAGCTCAGATCCCTCATTTCAGACCTCAAATTGTTGCGCACAGTGTTCTTGCTTCTCGAATACTATTCAATCTCCAAGAAAGCATGGAGCAGCCGCTCATACCCACCTACCGATCGGCGGCTACAATTGAATTCAATGCGCGACCTGGAGGCAATGAGACGGCTGGTCAGGTAGATGAAGCTTAAACTCGCTGATAATTTTGCAAGTCATACAAATAACGCTTGCCATTTGAGGTTACTGACTATGCTCACACATTTCAGCTTGTGTTTTTCGTGTCCTTCGTATTTTAGTGGTGAGCTACTCAGGTGTACGTGTTCTTCGTGCTAACAAACACGTCAATAAGGAAGTCTTTTTTGATTTGTTGCATATGTGTTGTATGTTGTACAAGGAACAGATCGTGATGCCATCATGCGGCAGGTCAGTGACACTCGGAGGGCCATATGTCAAAATACAAATACTTGACATGCCAAGGACAATGTGCCATTTCAAATTTCAAACCACCCAACACATGAAGCTTTGAAGGCCTCGCGAAATAGAAACTGGGAATCGTGACAACTTGTGTGATACAGCATTGCCGGAGTTTGAACTGACATTGAAAGTACGTATGTAATTGCGGTGCCTGCGCTCATCAACATCTTCTAGCTGGAGACCCACGAATGCCCAATCAATGATATATTACTGATACACTGCCGACTAGACATAATATATAGAACACGTCAATCCAACAGAGACATTAGCTTATCGATATCCAAAGCCAACCCCTATCATTGTCATTAAACATCATGGGTTGATATCAGCAGCGAACATGACAAACCTTCAAGTTCATTCGCCCCGACATTCAATGTTGCTCCTGTCAATTCTGAATCAAAAGACACCATGCTTTGGTTGATAAAGATATTGATTGTGAATAAGCTGGGACTAGGAGATGGCGCTCTACTTTGTGAGTGCAAAGGTATAACTGAGATATCAAGGATCCCGTTGAGTTATATCATGGGTGATGATTTTGAAAACATACTGGTGGCACTACCATCATCATCATCACCACCACAACCACCACAACCACCACAACCACCACCACCATCATCATCGAACTTGATTCCAAGTCGATCCAATATCGTAAAGGCTTCTTGTACTCCTTGTTTTGTATGTACATCTAGATGTATATCTTGGGTGTCTTTGTTTGAAGAAAGACCTTTGGCTGATCCGCTGTATGTGAGATATGGCAGGGACAGCATATTCATACCGACCTGAATGATTGCCTTGATCGGAGATGAGTTTGATGCTCTATCATAGGATATGACGATACGTACCTTCTACTACATCACACGGACTCCTGATTGAACCATCCTCTTCATCTAGGAGAGAATCTTCACGCCGACCAGGATTGTCTTGATCAAAGATATGTTGAGTGCTCTCTCAGAAGATGTGATAATACATACCTTCTACCACATTACGTGGCAGACTCTCCTTATTAACAGCCTCATTGCCTTGGGCAGACACCCTGAGGTTTCCTGACACTGGGTAACAGATTGAAGTCAGTAAGGGGTTTTTTTTTTGGCTTTTGGCGTACCTAAGAGTGCATCAATCTCTGAAACCAATATTCTGTTCAGGTCATCCGAAGTTCTCTGTCGCAATTCAACTGCAATTCTAGGGGTCTATAATGCGACCAGTCAACTTACTCTAATAGACGAATAATTCTCATGTGTGACTTTGTAAAAATGCTTCGTACTTGACTGGCGGATGAAAAGGTTAACAAGAAACTTGCAAAAAGATTTCTTTTGTGTCAACAGTTTGTCTCTGATCTCTATCATCCTGTGGATATTGATGAGTAACGCCATTTGGCTGAATGAAAAGCCTACTCTTGGGATAGAATCCGGCCATCCCTGTAAGCTTCAGCAAAGGAAGCTTTTTGATTTTCTGAAAGGCACTTGTGCTCCGACAAGCTGGCAAGCTCGTCCAAGGTTTCCAGCGTTAATTGTAGATAATGCTCGCCCTTTTCATAATTTGTCTTCCGCCGCGTGGTGGTCGTTGGGGGATCCATTGGTTAGCACTAAAGTTGACGGAAGCTGGTATAATGTGTCGCGCTGATGGCCTTAGTTATGATATACAAGGGGTGAAAAGTTCAGAAAGCCAGCAGAACAGGTCAATTTATCCACAAAAAGGTTATGCGAACATGACAACTGGCAGTGCCAGTGGTGAATGAAGGTGACTGTTGGCACTTGAGATCCAGTGAGAACTTGCTTGGGTTGTCAACCAAAAATATGTAATCCTCAATTTAAATATCGATGAGATATAACTTGTCATTTAGGGAAGTATAAAGGTTTCCTATTGGGGGACTTTGCAGATATTGTGCTGTATGAATTATTGTGCCCGCTTTGATCAGCCTATGACATAAATTATGTACTTAAATAAATAGGTAAGTTTCTAAGTCCGCGAGGTGCCGGGCTCCGAATTGCCTACTTGCTCCGAGTGCTCGTTCTGTCTGAATTGATACAGACAGTTTTCTGAGGATGGCCTCAACCTCCGCTGCTCATTCTCATCTTTCTGAATTTGAGATTTGGTGGAGGGACCACTACGACTTCCTTAAAGACAAGGGCTACAAGCTACGAAGTCGCTACAGTCCAGACTGGGTGCCCTCTTGGACGAACACCAAGAAAGCTGGCATAGAATGTGAGGATGGAATCAAGCCACGAGTAAGTGCTTCTCTAAAGCAATGCAAATCAACTACAATGCATCCTTTAGCATCGTTCTTTGCTAGATGCACGGCACACTCAAGACGGCGCTCGCGTATCACTCAAGCGTATAGACGTGTCGCGACACCCTTATGAAATAGAAATTGGTCGCCATTTCTGTGACGCTCCTCTTGGCGAAGACCCAGCCAACCATTGCGTGCCAATATACGATGTTTTGGAGGTGCCTGACGGCAATAATATTGCGATAATTGTCATGCCATTACTTCGAAAAGTTACAGATCCCTATTTTGACACAGTCAGGGAAGTGGTAGACTGCATTCACCAGCTCTTGGAGGTAAAGTCTCAATTTACTCACTTATCGTGACTCATTTTTTGTCTTTCCTTTGAAGGGGCTGCGCTTCATGCACATACATCACGTCGCTCACTGGTACGTGACCTAGTTGCTCGAGTGATTGGGTCTCATGACCTAGGCAAAGGGACTGCATGCAGCTAAACATACTGATGGACGGCAGCATGTTCATAGACGCATGGCATCCAAGCGACCAATATATGTCCGAGGACTTCAAACGCCCTGCTAGGCATCGCACACGCACACAGTCTCCGCCACGATATTATTACATCGACTTTGGCATTTCCCGCAAATATGATGCATTCAATACCAATCCACTAGAAATCCCCATATATGGTGGAGATAAAGGAGTTCCAGAGTTCATGGAAGCCTACACCAAACCTTGGAACCCTTTCCCAACTGATGTTTGGTATCTTGGGCACGCTATCCAAGAAACATTTCTCGATGTAAAGTGTAGCAGTTGCTTCTCATTTTTCATACTCTGATTTGGACAAAACAGTGCTACTTAGGTGTGGAATTCTTGCGCGATTTGGTAACGGATATGATGCACTCGGATCCAACGCAACGTCCGAACATGGACAATGTTTTTGCTTGGTTCCAGGTTCTGCGTCAGGGTCTCAGTAAATGGAAATTACGTTCGCGGGTGGCTCATGATGATGAGAGGTCTCTTTTTGATTTCTTGGTCCACTGGGCCCGTCGCATCCAGTACATAGTATGCAGAATTCCCCCAACACATACCTCGCCGTCATAGAGTGGACTCCTTTGTAACCAGTCTCCTACAATGCACGAGTTTTCCGTCCCTGGGTCTTTGCATTCATAGAGTGTGAGGTGTCATGCTGACTTCATGCTACACCCTTGACTGCACAGTGTCAGATGCATTCAAATCAGTGAACTGGCGAGTTCTTGCTGGCGATTATGCTGATTACCGTGCTTTTACATTCTCATGCATTGCTTTATATTGTGATGCCAACAGAGTCCTTTCCTATATATGATGATACAAGCGATGACTTTGGTCGTTGTGTTCTATTTACAAAAGCAGAGACTTGTACACTATATGTTTGCTGTATCTCTCCCTTCATTTCCTGCTGAAAATAAGCACAGTGTATCCTGACGTTTTTTGACGCGAGATAATAGCACAGTATATAATTGACCATGCGCAAAAGGATCTGTTCTGAGAGCGATTCACAGTCCAGCTAGACCGATAGGGATGGAACGAAAACGTGATACGCGGAATACAGTGGTTTTCGAGGTTGTGGAGCAGTTGGACTTTGACAAATCAACGATGCAGGGCAGTTATTCGTACACATGCATTTCTCACCAATCCTTTTTCCACAGATATGTTCCGTTGTATCACGCATGTACAGTTTATTTTGAGATCCAGTCGATGCGGAGGCACTCCAGGTGCAGTTAGCATTGCTAAGTAGTCTGGGGTTTGTTCTGAGTGTGTAGTGCCCTGTTAGCATTCCGAAATAGATCGGCTCCCAACAGGGTGGGAAACACAAGTCCCTGAATGCATCAATTACATACCTGGGCAGGACTCCAGCCACTGCTCCTGCAAGGCTGCAATGTAACAACTCTATACCAACGAAGGCTAAGCGAAGGACTACAAAAGAAACATGCAAGTTGGGATGTGTGCCCTCAGCGCGCTACCCGCAAACCGTAACCTGCAGCTATTACATTCCTCCAACAGTCCTATCTCTGCATATCGTGAAATCCCTCCTCCTGCCGCAAGGGTTTGCAGTATGTCAGCATCAGCAGCAGACAAGTCTCCATGGTGATTCGGTGTTCCTCTGTGGTTTGCAGCCTCTCCCAGTGCTACTGATGCATGACGGACATAGTTCGTGATCTGTTGCTGATGCATCGGACGTCCCATACGGCCCATACCTAGTCACATTTTTTATTAGTAGTGTTGTGCAAAATTTAATCAAGTCTTACCAGAACAATGACGATGACTCGGATGGGCAGTGGTGTGACTACGGACTGGTCCAGCACCCAACAATGATCGTAAACGAGGGCTGCCGCAATAGCCTTCAAAGTAGGGCATGAGCTGCGCATGACCAAATGGTATAGCAGCAAGTTGTCGCTGAAATGTCCGTAGCAACCTCGGCATAGTGAGATGAAGGGATCCATTTTGACCTGCATTAATGAGTGAGGAAGAAACAAGGCTGAAAGTAAAATTTACCTTGAGTAAGGATGTGACGATAAGTAGACTCGAGTTCTGCAGTGTGTCGCGCTTCATTAAGGTTCACTCAAAAAAAAATCAGAAAAACATAATAGATAACAACGAAAGATAGAACTCACGCAAAAAGCCACATTGGCTTGGGTTGTGGTGACAAAGGGCCGTAGAATGATGCATGTCATTAGAAGAGAAGCAAACGGGAACATGCTCATCCGTCACAAGAGCGCAAAAGCACTCCCAGATGACATTACGGCACACGCACCATGCTTGAAGCCCATTAGGGACAACACACACCACTGTATACCTACAGATAGGACTATGCTGAGTCAGTAAAATTAGCATTCTGTGAAGAGTATGACTTACTAGGCGATCTCAACAGCACTGCTGGCTTCACGACAAAAAATCGAGAGTTCTGTGCTGGCACGTTGGAGTCCAATGGACACCTCAAAAATTTCGGGATAGACAGGCATGATTAGTTTAAGGTGGGTAGTGCAGATGAGATAATGAATGTACACATCTTTTATCATAGTTTTGGGTGGTGTTTGAAAGTTCAATCCAAGTCCTCCTGCAAGGGTTGTAAGGATGAATATTGCAATGGAGAACTCAAAATGATGGCGTCCAAAACTTTGATTCTCCTGCGAGGGTTGGTAGGGATGAATATTGCAACGGAGAACTCAATAATCAATGGTGTTTGAATCTTTGATCCTCCTGCGAGGGTTGGCAAGGATGAATATTATGACGGAGAACTCAAATTTCAAAATGATGACATTTGAAACTTCGATCCTCCTGCAAGGGTTGGTAGGGATGAATATTGGGACGGAGAACTCAAAATGATGATGATCAAAAATTTTATCTTCCTGTGAGGGTTGTGAAGAATGAATATTGGGACAGAGAACTCAAAGACCAGTAGACAAGAGAAATGGCAATGTGACACACCTGAAAATTTGCACCATCCCAAATCTCTATAGTGACAACTTGATTCCATCCTTTGCAAAGGCAGGGACCCTGACTCAGGATGTAGATACAACAGCATCTTGGCGGCCAAAAGATTGTTTAAAATTGAAGGACCCTAGAAAAGACCCTTGATTGAATTTGTTGGTGTCCATGGTTGATTAGAGCCCACAATGTGAGATGAGTGGTGACACCAGCTAGAAGCCAAGAAAATAAACTAGTCCGTGACTCTAAGTGTTATCTCACTGACAACTGGATGCATTGCAGTGGTTGGAGGTGAGCGCTTGAGCAAAGAAGCGAATGTAAGTTACTGGATATGGTAATTATCAAAGTGTTGCAGTGCACTGACAGCGGCTCGCTCAACAGTGAAGTCTAACATACTCGAAGTTAATCACATCAGCAGATACTCACAGCATTATCTACAGTTCGAGTGCAATTCGCTGTCATGAGTATATAGTAACATCTGTGCCAGCAGGTGTGTTTCAAGCTCACTGTCATGGCATATCTCACTGACTTGCAGCGCTCTGCTCTTCAGAGTGCCCAAATACTTCTTGATAATGTTGGTCTTTCTCCACGCGATCTTGATTCTACATCATCACTACCATCTTTGAGTCGCTCTCCAACACCCAGTGTCTCAGAACAATCTACTCCAAGTTCTTGCAGCCTTGGATCACTTCCCTCGTCTTTCAGCCCTCAGTGCTCAACTGTTCTTGTTGCTCGCCACAACCCACCTGCTGCCCAACTTTTCACTCAGGATGATCTGCTGCACGAACGTCACCGTTTTACTTGAAAAAGTGTTGCACATGCATTTGTCGAGCATCCTCTTGGTGCTATTGTAGAATATCCTCAAACTGGCGATGCTCCTGATCAGTCAATTGCACATATCTTCAACATCGATCCCACAACCTTTCACAGTTCCCAGCACCCCAAGGCAAATTTTCAATACTCGTTGGGCAATGTACATGGAAGTCGTGATGTGTCTAAATGTCTCATGCTACGAGATGGTCAAGGACAACCAGTATCCTGTTCTAACCTCAAGACATCCTGTAAGTGTCACTTTCACTCCATTGCACTATATCTAATGCACACCCAGGCAAAGGGCTCAAAATTTGCTCTGCACGACCACATGACACAACAATTCATCATTTCACCAATATTTTAGAGGTCTCTTCTTTAATTATCGCTACCACTACTGCGGCGAAATCTGTAAATGATGCTGAGAAGGAGGTTTTTCAGAAGACTTTTGCTTTTTTCATTGCTCTTAACCAACATGGGTGCACATTTGATGCTGAGCTCAACTCTGACACGTCCGAGAATGGTGATGTGACAGATATCACTGATAATAGTGTTGATGATACTGAACATGGCCTCACACCTGATCAGTATCTTGACGAAGCTACACTCAACTCTGACCTCAATAATGAATGCTCACCTTCGAGTTGACGACCAGTGAATACATCACAGTGTCAACGGAAGCTTGTCATGGAGTTTGACAAATTCAATCAACCTTATATCCGGTGAGTGCTCAGCCCAAAAACTTGGATTCGGAGTTAGACAACTTTTTTCATAGGTGCAATGCATGATCACGACATAGCCGTGCTCATTTACTTATCTGGAACATTCAAGAGTGCGACACTCAGTATCTTCGAGCCTTACTTGAAGATGACAGGCATACCATCTTGGAACGTGAAGATCTTGCCAAATCTCGAGGATATGGGCCCCTTATTCCGTGTAACTATGTGACAAGTCCTTCATCACAAAGGCAGCTTTGTCATAAGTCATTTTCTTTGGCAGATGATTAACTGTAAGATGTTGATGGTTATCACTCAATTTTCAGCTCACTGGCATCATCAGCCAGACGGAAAACTTAAGCAGGGTGTGCTCCAAAAATGGGGGCATAATTGTAGTGCCAAGTACGACATTTTCACTCCACATGACCTACATGCATGTCCACGTATCCTCGTTGTCTGTCGAAACCCCCATTCACACCCACCACCTGCACCTGTCAAGACTCCACCAGGACTTGTCAATTTATTTTACGGATTGTTAGCGCTAATGAAATGGAAACTTGCTGATGCAACACCATGTCGAATTTTCCTGGACACTGCTTTCATAGAAGGGCTTCATGATGCCCTTGCATGGGACTCAACACTGCATGGTAGAGATGCAACACTCCAGGATCTTCATCCATCCTTGGCCAACTTAGACCATGTTCGACGTCTCATCACAACATTTCGGAATGAAAAGTACCCAAGTGGTACAGGCTTTGAAGGTACGTCATCTAGTTCTTATTTACTACTCATGGTCTACATTCTGAGGCATTTCTATCATAGGTGCTCATTTGCTTGCAAATGAACATGCAAGTCTCCCTCCCAAACAATGTTATGTTCATTGTGCTGAGGTGCACCCCATTGAGCGCGGAAAAGAGCTCAAACTGGTCATATGTATGACAACGAAGATGTCACAACACCTCTTACAAGCAAAACACTTATCTATAGATACATCATTCAAACGTGCACAAGGCTGGCAGGAATTTGAAATTGAATCATGGGATGTTGACCATATGAGATGTAAGTTATTGAAGTCGTCTTTATTGCAGCAATACACACTCATCTCACTACTTAGCTGTTGTTGGTGCTCGAGCTTTCACGACGTCACAAACTGCAAAAGCCCATGTTATTCTTTTCCAGCGCATCTTCGAGATCGCAAGTACTAATACAGGCTTGCCTATCATGTTCCACCATATTCATGGCACTGGCTTCAAGACTATCATTGCTGACAGTCACAAAGGGCAAGGTCTTGGTACGTACCACTGATGTCTTCATACTGTCTACATGAATAATGACTATTCGCGATGCAGGCCTTGGGATGTACTGTGTGCAACTATGTCATTCAGTCACTGCACAGTGTATCTATGAACCACATTGCCGCATCTGTGATCTCAACCCATATGATCATTTACAGCATTTTTTCATATTTGTGTTGCGCACTACAAGAGAAATGTCCTCTCGCTGTGCACCCACATGTCACAGGATGTTTTTTCTGCAATGTTAAGTTTAGCCACGTCAGAGTGTCACCCAGACCTCAATGCAACATTGAATATCATTCGGAATGGAGGATCAAAAGCCTCAGGTGAAAATCACATTGTACTTTTTTGCTGACATTGCTAACTTGTTCGTTGACAGCCTGGCTCAGAGATAAGCTTGACAGCACAAAGTTTGCACTCCCTGCAATCTACCAACCATCCAGCCTCATTCCGCTGCACTTGTGGAGGGCTTCCCCAGCCATGACAAACGGAAATGAGCAAGCACACCGCAATGCCTATCGTGAAGGCGTTCATCTGACACTACTCGCTGGTCTCATGAAAGGAATGAGATACGATCAAGGTGCAATGATGAACATTGACATGCACACAAGCTTTGGTATAGCAACACGGGATCACGAGGCCACACACGTTCACCGCACAACGAGATGCGTTAGTCGTCAAGGTTCGTGCTATTAAATCGACAACAGTTTAAGTTAAACAAAATGATTAGTCACTGTGCAGCGCCGCCGCATTACAATGGAGAATACTTCAAATCCACGGCGCAATGCTATAGCACCCCCTCACCCTCGTCAACCAGCTGTACCCCACTCAAACACAACTCCAGCAGCACCTGATATCGTATTTGATCACCACGAAGCTACAAATATCATCAATTTAAACAATGCTGCCCACTTTTTGACCTTACATAGGCCACCTACTGTAGTGCAGCTCAGCACATATAATTCGTTGTCCGCAGCATTGGTTTTCGGAGCAAGCATCAAAGACTACTGGCCACCAAAGGCAGCACCACCTCCAATGGCGAGTCCTGAACGCCGGATTATGACATCATCATTTAGCACACTTGCTGGTGCACTGGGAGAAAGGAGAGAAACGGTTGTTGTGGGAAGGCCGTGTCCGAGTTCATCGAGGAATACATTGACAAAGGGTTTGGAGAGGAAGATCCAAGACTTTTGATAGGTGTTTTCGAGTAGGGACATTCATAGGCATCGAGCAATAAAAGGGTAGTGAATTCAATCAGGATCTACAAAAGTACATGGGCTTTATATATGGGAGTGAGCGGTGAGGCATACCAGTGGAAAGTGCAAGCAAGTGTTATTGAAGGGTGGTTGAAAGATGGAAGGAGTGGCGGAAATATCATCAAAGAGAGAAACACAAAGTGGCGGTAACAATGAGATATGGACAAAGGCGGAGAACTGAAATGTAAAGGAATGAAGTAGGAAGAGAAAAGATAGACAGTGGTACGTACTATGTCACAATGGTTGAACAAGTGTTGGTCCGAGTGAGCATCCAGCGCCAAAGCCATGGGCTCCCTTACACAGTCGAGGAAGAAGAGAGAAGTAGTCGCCGTAGATAGTTGAGAAGGGAGAGAGATGGCTGCCGTGCTGGCCGGTCATGATGCGCTGTTCCAAATTTTTTTGGACCAGCAGCGACGACATATTCATGGTGAGGCAGGCGCGGAATTGGTGTTAAGGGTTATATGGAGGATGTAGAGAGGTGACGCCATTCATGAGCACTAGGGTTGGAAAAAAGGCAGAGGATGCAGTTTGCAGAGACTGCGAGCTCGATGGGTAGGACAACAAAGACATGTAATTGAGACAATGAAGACAACAATACATAAAAAAAAGATTCATACCTTTCTCCGGCACAGTTTGCAGGGTCCAACCTTTACTAAATAACGTCAGTTGAATGCTAACATGGTTTCTGAAACATAGAGAGCCGATCTATTTCAGAATGCTAACAGGTCACACATCACTCATTTGTTCTGGTGCGTCGAAAGGCACGTGGTCCGCTTCTTTTAAAATATCGGAACTTAGATAGCAATCTATGCCATTTTCAGTTTTCATGGTGTGCACTATCATTCATGACTCACGGTAATCACTAGGAAGAGATTCCAGAATTTTCTCATTGAAATCGTCAACTAATATGTTTCGTGGCGAGAGAAAGGCGCGGTCGAGGCATGCGCAAGCATCTGCCAGGATGTGCGCAGAAAAAAGAAAAGCACGTGCTTCGTCGATGTCGGTGGTCTTGTTTAGGAGCAGGAGGCTCTGTCGGCTGCCAGTCGTGTCCATCAGTAAACTACTTTGCTCTGTACAGTGTGCCAGCCTGACAGCTTGGTCCCTATTAGCTAGCTCACCACAGTACCAATTCTTTCTGTGAGATTCTGTGCACACACTCCACAGACACCCAGAAAACGGCTCTCGTACAATCAAATAACATTATGCTCACTGCTCAACTGTCCACCCATGCACAAATAAGCACAAATGATCACAAAATGCATAGTATTCAATCAGATAACGCGCTAGCGGATACATGGTACTAATAGAAAAAAGACACTCGAAATAAACAGGGCAATAGGACAAAGAACTCCGAGACCTCAATCAAGCACGAGTTGCAGATGACGATGCCTTGATGCATCATCCAAGTTGCTGTCGACCTTGTAAGACTCCATCCTGTGTGAATTTCAATTAGTATTCAAAACTTCATAAAAAAACGCGCAGCTTGCCATCCAGCTTTGGCCCACGAACAAAGCTGTCGCACCAGCTTCGGTCCATGATAAGGATCATCCATGAGTTGTCTCAGTAGTTTGAACATCGACTCATACAATGCGCCATACTCCTTGGAAGTAAACTTCGGAATTGATTTGCCGTTACCGTTCCTCTTTAAGCCGTCGAGGACACAGTTAACCTAGGGAAAATAGTGTCAGTAGATTGTAAAGTAATATACAAACATGAAAAACTTTACTGCCGTACAAACTAAAGCAAGGCACTCCAAAGGTAACTGCTTCTGAAATATGTCAGGTCTCCTGCGAGTGACGCGATGAGAGCCGGTGTAGAAGAAAGCAATGACAGCCTCGCGCAGCGCCGGGTGAGCTGCATTTTGAGTTTTGCCGAGTTCATCCACACCATAGCGCAGAAAGGCGGAGTCCTCTAGCAACATTGTCACGGCCTCTTCAACCCAGGCTGCACGTTCTTGGGGAGGAATGTCAGATGGCAGGATGAGGTCATATAGGGATGGCGCAATGCTAGTTACGATCTTCTTGAGATCTGAGCGCCACATTGATAAATCTTCATAAAGCTAAAATAACAGTGCATTAGTAGAAATCAGATGCACGACAGTAGACTGCCAGATGTACATACCAGCTTTGCCATGTCATGTTTCCGATCAGGCCACACACCTAGTAGACTCCCTTGAGTAAAATGTCTTGAGGTGGAAAGAATGTGTACCCTCTTCAACTTGCTTACCCCCTTCCAGCCACTCTACAAGTGAAGACATGAGGGCCTCATTAACAGAACCTGGCAAATTGTCGACAAATTTTGGGAATGGGTTCTCTATCGCATGTTGGACATGGCACTCTCCCTTCACATACTCGAGAAAACTCTTCCAACAGGACCGTACCATCCCAACTGCATAGCCTTCGGCCCTTCACGTGATACCTTTGATTTCGATTTGACCTTTGGTTTCGACTTGAGATCTTTTGTCTCAGCCTGACGTAAGAAATCGAGGATTACAGGGTTGGGAGGGCGGGGACGTCCGTTTCGCTTGTGGTGAAGGTGTAGGACATCAGCAGGTACAACCTTCAACAAAGAGAAGGTTAGCAGATAGCAAAAAAACATATAAGACGTACTGGAGTTGAAGCATTGTCAGTGCTGGATGTGACATCGGCTACTAAAGACTTCATTGCTGCATTATCATCTTCGTCACGCGAGTGTTGAAATTCAAAGTCAGTGGGAAGGGCGGTAGTGATAAGAGGTTGTGATGATTGAGCTTCTTTTAAAAAACCTGTCTTACATTCAGTATAATCACCGAGAATAACTATTGGCTTACCGGGATGAGCACTATGGCATCCATATGCTGCACCCCATCCCACTTCTTGGTCTCCATGAGCGTCCTGACCGACGTTGTCGTCATCGCCACTACTGCTATCCTTGTTGTTGTCATCACTTTCATCACCATCGTCAGTAGTCTCAGAGTCTGAACTTTCAGAAGCAGTGTCTCGCGATTCCAAACATACATCAGCGGTTGACCACAGGGCAGGGTCCAGATTCTTGTCAAAGTTAGTGTCAGCTTGATGCATAACTGACGTGGATGTGGTAGGTGCTTTTGGCATTGGATATATGGGGGGTGGAGGATGTGCTGTGGGGTCTGAAGGCTTCTTGGTGGCAGCTACGAGTGTATTGTTAACCTGCAAATGAATGTCTGTGCCAGAGGGGGTGAGGGACTGCCCGAATCCAAACCGCGACCCAGGTTTGCGGTGCGAAAAGCTGGGTTGGAGATTTGGTACCTCACAGCTACTAGTAGAGGCAGGAGCAACACCCTTCTTCATTGCCTTATCCTTCTTCCCCTGCTTTCTAGAACTTGGAGGATCCACTGTCTCTGAGGGGCTGTATGGAGGAGGCGGAGGGGGTTTCTGGATAACATTCAGTATGATTATCTATGGCTGTAAGCATGTTTACCTTTGAGCGACTCCCGCGGCCCTTACGAGGCTGTTCTGGAGCGAGAGGGTTCGCAGGAGTGTTTGAGTCAAGGGAAGTAGTGCCCTTGCATTGGGTGGTGCGCATGTGAGAGGCATCTAAAAGAGCACCAATCTTCTCTAGTTGGACAGCCCTACCTCCTGTTCCTGCGCCTGCACGCCCAGAACGTCGAGTGGCCAGGGTGTTGTCCACGAACTCTGGCTGCTGTAATTGCAGGGGTATCTCGGCCCCAGCCCGCAACTTCTTGGTTGAATTCGCTTGCCCGTCAGAGTCTACAGCTTTACGCTTCGATCTCTTTTTCTTGGGGCTGGAGCGAGACCTAGAATGTGACATGACTGGTCCAGGTTAAGGCCCAGGACAGAAGGAATGCAGTCTGAGTAGCACTGGTGAGTAGCAAGAAAACCATTTGATAAACACACACCGTCTTTTAAGTGTTGTCGCATAATTCTAAGCGAGTATCTCTCACTGCCGGCAGGCAGATATTTCGAAAAATGAGTCGACTGGCGCTGCCTACAGGCAGAAAAATTCGTAAGTTGGATCTTCACCGAGGTAATAAGGATGATGACTTGATCAAGGACGTACACAGTTCAACTCGGAGTAATTATATTTGGCATCTATAACTACATGGGGCAATCATGTGACTCGAACTTTTAGGTATCATATCTGTATGAGTATAACACTTTGTAATACTACATACTACTATTACTACTCTATCCAATCTTGCTCCTCTTCGGTGAAGGTACAACAATTCAGAGAGTGAGTCTGAACAATGTTGGGTCTTGCAGAACCTAGCTGCTATTCGACCCTAAAGGGTTTCTGGACCAGGCTCAAGGCTCAGAGGAGAGGAAATGTCATAAAAACTGCTCAAGACTCAGACTCATACTGGTCACTGGTGAAAAAGTAACTTGCTTATGTAAGCTACAAAAGTGCCAACATAAGGTAAGGTAAAAACAGTCTCTACAAGCCCAGCCAGAAATGAATCCCTACATCTCATGGGAACTTTGAATCATGACTGTCCCCAGTCATCTACCTATGCAAACCAAAGCTAAGCTAAACTAAGAAAACTACTAACCTGGGGGTCCTCAAACACCTTTTGTTTCCTTGACGCGTATGCCAGGTAAACTGCGCCAGTGAGTGAGGGTCAGGGCAATCCAATAAAACGATGACCCCAGCACCTGTTTTCCCTGACATCTCTTGTGCCAGGCGAACCGCATCAGTACTGGGGGACTGGTAAAACGATAAAAACGATAAAATGCGAAGTGGTGGTTGCGCGGATGACGACAGGAAGTAGACGGATCGAAAGAGGCGAACGAGGGCTTCGAAATGAGTATAGGGTCGACTAGGTTTGGTGAAGAACTGAGGGAGATATGAAGGAAATGGTGAAAACATGCGAAAATAGCGAAAACGGCGAGTAGCGAGGGCGCGGGTGGGCGTATTGGGAAGCGGAGCGGATGGATGGAAAGCGGCAGTGAATGCGGTCAGAACGCGCCTAAGGCGATGGGCGCGCGATCACGGGGCGCCGAGATATAAAGAAAATGCAAAAAATGGGGCAAAACAAATGGGGGGAACGCGAAAATGCGGATAGCGAGCGAACAGCTGAGCGCGCGAAGGCGCGGATATGCGCGAATGAAAGCCATGAACGAGGGCTTCAAAACGGGTATAGGGTCTATGGGGTTCCGATGCGAAATGGGCTGGTGAAAGTGCGAAAAAGTGCGGAGGTGCAAGAGGGAGGAGGAGGAAGGGGTATGATGCAGGGCAACAAGGGCTGGTCCTATCAAAAAGCGGATTGGGGCAATGGACAGAGCCACTGAGGGATGGTAAATGGCCAAAAGAGCTAGATGAGACAGGCCTTTGAGCACCCAGAAAACCCTTATCTCCCCTCAACTTCTCAAAAACACCAAAAACTCAATAACTCCACAACTACTGCTCCAAATTCGATGAACCAGGGCTCAAAATGATCGGACGGATGTGGGGAATACGACCCTAAGTTTGCGAGAGATCCGCTCGAAAAACGCGTGGGAAAAACACCTATCAGTGCGCTGGTGAGGAGGACAAGATGCTGAAAAGTGGGAATTGTGGGAGAAGCTGGTAATGAATGACTGTGGTAGGATAATAGGCGAATTTGGGGGATGATTGGTGAGCTGGAAGAGCCTAGAAACACAAGAAACCCTCGCGGTGGGCTCCAGTTGAAGGTACAACAATTCAGAGAGTGAGTCTGAACAATGTTGGGTCTTGCAGAACCTAGCTGCTATTCGACCCTAAAGGGTTTCTGGACCAGGCTCAAGGCTCAGAGGAGAGGAAATATCATGAAAACTTGCTGAGTACTCTGACTCCTACTGGTAACTGGTGAAAAGATAACTTGCTTATGTAAGCTACAAAAGTGCCAACATAAGGTAAGGTAAAAACAGTCTCTACAAGCCCAGCCAGAAATGAATCCCTACATCGGCTTGGGTAGTATAAGGTCTGTCGTCCATCGGTGTTCAATAACTCGTTTCTTTGATGTCTCATCTACAGATGGTGTGTCTTCTCCGTCAGTACTGAGAGAGCTCGCTGATGCTGAGAGCCCCTGGAGCATCCATGTCGAGACTAAAAGCCCAGGGGACGGCTCATTCCACGGAAGGTTGGCAAGGTGTTTTTCCAGCATTGCAATTACATTGTTGAAACATACTGATACCGGATCTTTGATTAGGTTGTACCATTCCAATGCAAGCGGAAGGAGATCCCGGAAGTAAGGATCAAATTGTTTGGTAAGTTGCACGGTGTAGTGATCGGAATGGTAAAAGAACCGTGTTTTGCTGGCACTGCACTGCTTGTATGTCCTAGACCATTCACGTGTGATCCAATTCAAACCCTCTTTCGTGCGCTTAGGGAGAACATGCTTCATGCCAAGAGGGCCCCTGTACTCGATACAGGTCCAGACAAATACGTAAAACATCGATTCAAGATCATCCTTGTAGTCATGCTTGATCAGGGCGACTGGATATGGTCTCGAACCCGACGCACGCTTGCCACTGCGCTCATCTGATGTATCCGGTGTGTGAAGGTAAAGATTAAAAAGAAGCGACCACGACATGAAGGGTAATGTGCCCTGGGGTGATCAACACGTTATCAATACTTACTTGTGCCCAAAAGTAAAATAATACTCACAGTACCACCAACAACATATTGCTCGCCTTCTACAATATCAACCGCGAACTCCCAGTCTATCAGCATTCCATGGGAGCCATCACCATCATCCTCGATCATCGCATTGTTCAGACTAGCATCACGGTGGAGAACCTTGCGCTTTTCCACCGCTTGCCTCTGGACTGAAAGATAATGATAAGTACTAGTAGGACATTTATTTGAAATATATTACTCACTATTCACGATATCCCGTATTGCACCTAAGAACTCAACCTTTGAGCGGAATTTATGCAATGGTCGCGCGCGGGGCTTCAAGACCAGGCGAACGTGAATATGGAAGGTGTCCTGTATGCTACGTGGAAATTTGTAACGATACGCTCGCGTGTCCTCGACCTCGCCGGGTGCAACTTCGATGAGCCAATACTCAACAAGTTGAGGAACTCCACAGACCCCCTCCATCTTCTTCATCATGTTGATCTCATTCAGCACTGCTGTTTGGCCCCCGAGAACACAATGGTCTTTTATGATATACTCCTCGTCGTCCTTCCTGGCCAAGTAGCACACACTGCCACGACCAACGAGGCCTTGGGTAGAGAAGATGATTTCCAAAATGTTGTATGTGTTCTTATTGACACATATTTTGCCGATTGGCTCTAGAAACTGGCTCAGGGTTGAGAGGATTTTCAGGGACTTCTACTACAGGGGGTACATTGGAGGGTCACCAGCTGCGGGGGTGGGCACCATGTCCTCTGCGACGGCAGGAGGGAGGGAGAGCTCGTTCTCCTCGAGTTGGGAACTCTCAACGACCTCCTCTATCTGTGCACTCTCTATGAGATCCTGTCTCTTGGAAGGCAGGTCCTTGGTAGGGCGGGAGCCGGAGAGTTCGAGCGTGTGGTGAAGGGTGTGTTTTAGTATGCTAATGGTAGGGTCGAATCCAATGCACTCGAGATTCCCGAAGACAATGCATGAAAAAATGTGCAAATACTTATCAGGCTCCTTGTCGATATTAGTGCACGGACTCACGACACCACCGGAGTGGTCATACAAGTGGATGCGAAGATCATGGTACCCATTGCAGAGAGAGATAAATAAAGCGAAGCGTCTCCAGGGTTGATGCTTCAAAAGAAGGTAGGCTTTGCTGTCGAGAGTTTTTAAGAGGGTCTGGGAGGGTAGGTATGGACTCGCAGTCAGCTCACACACTGCTTTGATGGTGTCCCACCTAGCCTCCAAATCGTCAAGTAAGGTAAGGTCTGGTTTTCGCGCAATTTCTTCACCACAAACTGGGCGTGAGGAGTTTGCTGCACTCCACTTGCGTGATAAGTTATGTTTGTGAGTGAGATTAGGTTCCTTTAAGAGAAGGGCAGGGGTAACGGTGTTGAAAAAGGACCCGAAGATGGCCTCGGTTGTCGATGGTTTGGGTTCTGTTTCTCTACTAGTAGTCTCTGCCAAGTCTGAGGATGCTGATGCCAGTGCCTCTTCGTATCCGTCAGGAGATGTCTCCCAAGGGTCCCCAGAGTCCCCAGAATCCCCACTGACATCAGTCATGGACAACATAGGGTTGTCCTTTACCGGCGAGTCTGAATTTGTCTGATCAGTGGTGGACTCAGGCTGAGACTCTGACAGATCAGCCTCTGTCCTGTTATCGGCGACCAACACCCAATCTCCCAGCTCCTTGTTCGTGCCACCTTTCCTTCCTCTCACCCCACTACCAGCACAACTAGCAGATTTGTATGATGTTGGAAGGGCCCAATTCCATTGACGAGTTTGGCCATTATATAGCGGTACTGTGGTTTCCTCATCTTCAATGTCCAGAAAGGTGTTGGTCCTAGAATCGATGGGTATTTTTTTTAACGGAACAGTGAGTTCTTCTGCCTTTGGAACATGATCCGTGTAGGACCTGAATATCAGCGACAATAGATGTCCGAGCTCATCTTTGTGGTCGAGGTGATTCTCTTCAAGTATCAAGCGGCTAAGCTCCAAATCGGTGAGTTTATCCATGGTCGTTACATCGTGTACTGCGGGAGCTGACATGAAAGATGCTAGCTTCATCCCGAGGCCAACTGAATAGAAATGTCTGCCATTTGGCATGTTGTCGTAGTAGAGTTCTATGTTGGTATGCAGGAACAACTCATGGGAACCATACTACTAATGCATATAACTACCCTTTGACTACCTATACAAAAATGGCCTTATCTTTGTGCCAAATATTACCTTGAAAGCACAAAGAACGTGGTTTTGTCCCAAAACTCATTCAACCAAAACTCCGCGGCATGCTCCATGCTGTTGTATGCTGTTAAACGGACATCTGCAATAGCGCCAAAGCGCAGGATTAGGTTGATGGGGGCCCTCATTTGAGAGACAGGTATGACATCTCCCATTCGGTTTCCATTTGAATGCTTGGCTCGCTTGAGCAGATGCAGCTGCGTAGTTGGATCTCGATCGTTCGAGATGTCGAAACGTTGGACATAGGTGAGAAATTGGTCTTTCCATAACCATCGTGTGCTGCTCTTACCAATAGGTCGCATGATAAGTCTTATCTGGGCGACTGTGTGACCTGTGAAAAATGGGAGGTTTGAGATAAGGCATTTATCACAAATCAAAACAGAGATCGCACCAGAAAGACCACTGTTAGGCCATGTGTGGCTTGCGTCAGTCTTGAAGATGCTCGTATCATAATGGCCTAGGGTCCAGGGGTTGTTGGGTGGTGCACAATTCAGCATCTGAGCTGATCTAACAGCGTGAGCATCATATAGCTCCATCTCTTGCACACGAATTTTGAACCAGACTTGAATTTTGTCAAATGGAAGGATAGCGGTAGGCCCAGCCCTTCTAGGACCGCCTATCGCATGAACGTGTGCATGTCCATAAGTTGCCTCCCATTGGAGGAAATCAGCAATGGCTGGTTGTAAATCCGGTAGGGCGAATTTAATGGTGGCTTCATCAACAGTAATGTTCTGAATGGAGGGATCATACACAAGATGAAGGGCAGTGCGCTTGATGACGAATGAGCAAAGTGGTAAAGGCACTGAACCCAATTCTCAGCACTGGAGCAGCTTAGAAATTCCAAAATAGTTTGTGATTGGGCGTGATCGTGTTGCGCTGATGAGAATATCTTGCACATCAGCATCATCAACATCGGTATCTTCATCATCAGGATCTAAATCTCCAAGCTTCCCAACACTCTCCTCACAATCTAAAATGCCAGTAGCAAGCTCAAATCGACGACACTTTTCGGCACGATCAAGATATCGGCAAATCTGAGGGTTGTAGTTGTTGTTATTGGTTGATCTTGCGGGATCTTTTACCTCAGTGATGTGAGCATGTTCAGTAACGTCAGCAGACCATTGTCCTATGATGCCAGAGTTGCGAATGCTGGCAATGATGCTTTGCATCAGTTCCAGCTTGGGTATATACCATTTGTTGATGACTCTATTGCCACTCCCCCGGCGAACCCCAGCAGCAATGATTGCATCCTTTTTGGCATGGAACTCAGCTAATGTGCTTGAGATACGCTTCAGATTCTCCTCATCAACATGTGGCAACTGCACGAGATATCGGAATTGCATGAGTGCACGTACAGCAGCGAGAACATCAGTAGGTACTCCATCCGCACTGACGGCAATGATATATCATTCGATGTCCCATTGACAGCGCCCAGTGACTTGTTTCAGCTTCTAGATGCCTCCACGAAAGTGCCGGTAGCCAGTCATTGGCTGTAAGACAGAAAAACGGAAGTCTATCTCAGACTCTCCAACAGCACAAATGAGCCATTTCACGTCATGGTCATAGAATTGCTTGTGAATATGGTGGAGTGATTCCGGCGTGAAAAAATGGGAGGGTTCCGCTAGTAACCAGTCCCACCAGAACGGTTTCTCAACACCATTCAGTCAGAACTTCTGTGCTTCACGGAAGAACACCTCAACATCATTGGGATCGGCGCATGACTTTGCAACAGCAAGCTGCGCAAGAGTAGTCGATTTTGTCCGGGGTTCATGCTGGAAGGGATCTCCAAATTGCTTGTACATCGCCATAGTCACAGGCGATGTTTTTCCACCAACAGACGCCAGCATCATTGCTTCCGGGGTGTCAGCAATATAGCTTGCGAGAGGGGTGAAGCAGTAATGACTATGTCCGATGGGATCCAATAACATGATGCCTGATCGAGCAGCTTGCTTTAAAGGTTCAAGAACGATGTCGAGGCATTGGTGCACGAGGCGATCCTCCAACATGCCCCTCATTCTCTTCTTCTTATGGATAAACTTTGGAACGGGTAGTAGGGCTGTGAGAACAAAAGCATTGGATGACAATTTCAGTCATATTTTCATGTGAATATTTGCGAGGCTAATCAGGAGTGGATGAGCCACACGATCCCCTGTTAATGAAGTGATATTCGTCTTGTCGGAAGAAAGAATGGTGCCAAGGAGAGTCGCGCCACTAGGGATTGCCGACTTCGAGGATACATCAGCTGCAGACTTCGAAATTTGAGTTGTTACACACCTGCATGTCCCATGCGTCATTTTCTGTCATCCATTCAGTAAATACGCGACACTTCTTCTCCGTGGTGGTGTACACCCTGCGAGGCATGAGGTCGATATAGTTGTGGAATAACGGATGGTTGAAGATCGCGGCTATGCACTCGATAGGGTCACGCCAGTACAGAACCACAGGTGACTTTGTAGGGTGAGACGTTGGAATTACTCGAGACTGCCAATGTGGACCACTGGGCAGCATCTCTGCTCGACCCCGTAATTCTTTGGCTGAACGGAATGATAAGGGTAAATCCTTGATCTAAAAAGTCATATATTCAAGAGATGACAGCAAATTTGAAGTCCTGACACTGACCATTTCGAGTGATAAAAAAGAATCAATCTTCCCCATGCTCAGGCCTGAACGTAGCAGCCATGCTGCAAGCTGCCAATCTCTCCGACTGCTAAAAGGATAGTAAAGGTTTGTTTTCTGATGTATGCTATTTTTGTCGGAGTCAAACAGGCCTAAGAATGTATAGCCATCCTGATAGGCCAGAGGGGGATTGGGAAAGAGGTCTGTCACTTCACCAGTCAATTCACTATTGCGCTCACGCTCACTTCCACCTCCATGCACTCTTGACACATCCTCTCCTTCAGCACCAAAATCACCAAAGTCATAGAAATTGTCACTGAGTCCTTGAAAGGGTTCAACGTCCGAGCCATCTGCTGAGTCCATGGGATGATCTTCATTGGATAATGTGGTGGAGTTGATTAGGTCTTCCAACCAGGTGTTGCATCCAGACCGAGGTTGGCTCATGTGCCGAGCAACAGAGGTATGGTCTTGAAATGTTTTTCCACATGAGGGACAATGATGAGACATGCTATAGTACGACTCTGTATGAGTCAGTTGTTCGAGGGATATGCATAGTATACCTTCACGGCATTTCCCGATACCAACTTCTGCCAAATGATGACCATCGCTACCACTACTCTACGAAAATTATCAGCAAGCGCATCAGGCAAAGTGGACAACCTTGATCCACGTCGTTGGAAAGATGATGCAAAAACAGGGATGTGTGACTTGTACGAAGTTCTTGATGCTGTCAGTTCCACGGTAAGTCAATAACATTCATTTTTGAAGGCACCTTACATTTGAACAGTCGATACTGGATCCAACGGACTCTGAAGTGTAAGAGCCAAGCGCGAGGTTCTTGTCGTGCAAAAGGTGCTGGCAGAGTGTATACTGCATGAAAATGAAATCCAGGCCAGCTTGCTCAAATTTCAAGTCGACACCACGGAGAAGAAGTTAGACAATACCGACATGGGCTTGGGGTACATGAGAGTTGTCTTTAAGAAGTACGGCTGGTCTCATATTTCTCCTTTACCTCCAGGACACGGGAATCATCTACACGCTGGTAAGTTCGTGATATGATGGTGCCATATGGAGTCCTGACGAAAGTTGTCCACAAATTAGAATCTTCGAGGAGCTGTCATCACCTCACTCTATGGCTTGATTAATCTTCTGTTCCTTACACTTTCACATTATGATGGTCAGTTCTTGTATTATGGTGTCCTTACATGCATGATAGTGTACTATGTTTATGATATGTTGAATCATAAATTCTGTAGTAGACTCGTTGAACTTCAAAATGTCATATGCTTTCTTTCACCCTTAGCAAATTTAATGACTCGGCGCCGCTCGAGTTGAATTGACAAAGTCAATAAATACAATATTACTACTACACTTGTATAGTAAGTACTCAGTAGTAATAGTGCTAAGATGCAAGTTTGCTGCAAAAGCCTGCAGGTCCTGTAGAACTGTGAGCAGTTGGAGTAAATGTATACTTTGGGGCCACAGCTAACTGTGATATTTGTGCAAACTGTGGGGTCTGTGGTTGTCTGTGCAGAGAAAACGAATTTTAGACGTCTGTGGGAAATTTGTAGTTTACTGATGTCTTCGCCAATTTCATCAACGAAGTGGCGAATTGAGGATTGGTAGCTGTGCGCACGGGAGTGTGCAATGAGACGATGAGAGCATCAGAGCTGCACAGCATGACGGGGTGGACACAATTGACACCAAGCCGGTGGCTATTCGTGCTTATATATGTTAGATATGAGCGAACGTGTATTGTAGAAGTCTTTCTCATCCAATGAGCTACTGGCCTGGCGGAGAAGCTTGCAAGGATCATTGCGATCTGAACAAATATAGCTAGATATAGAATGCATTCTATCAATGAAGATGTGCCAGGGTCACCCGGTATCCTCGCGTCCTCGTCCGCAACGAGAACGCGGTGTACAAAATATGCACGTGATTTTTATCAATGTTAGTGTTTGCTTCCGAATTAGTGATGTGCACGGCCCGGCTTCAGGCCGTGGGCCAGGCCAAGCCGGGCCTGAATAGGCCAAGCCAAGCCGGGCCAAACTCACGGCCTGGTGACGGCTTTGGCCTGGCTTGACATTATGAAAAGCCGAAGCCGCCGGCTCGGGCCGCGGCTTTTGAAACTGTGCCTGAGCCTTGCAGCGCCCAAGCTCAACTGAGAATCTGGTTTCTATCTCGTCTTGTTTTAGCTTTTTAATCACTTCCATCGTGCTTCACGTCTCTTAACTATACCAACTATCGACATCAAGCTGTAGAAACCAGCCAAGATCACTCCCTCTTTGCAATACCCTTCTGGCTTTCTGATTCAAGTGTCCGTCACGAGTGTGTGTATAGATCTAGTACGCTCATTCGTCCTTGTAACTAAAATCTGAACTTACTATCATATCTATTAAAGGCCCATCATGGCTCAATCAGGAAGACACTGGCACCCCAATCCACAACTCATGCAGCAACATTCTATGCCACAGGGTTGGCAAGGCACCTGGCCCCCACCAGCTGGTGTTGCTCTTCCTCCAAACTTTCCTGGTCCACCATCCATGCCGCCTGGCGCCAACACTCACCCACATTGGAAAGCTGGCTTTTGGCAGTATAAACCTACCTCCAACATGAATGGTGCAGGTCCCGGTGTTTACTGGGCAACCGGCATGAGGTGGGCTCGGAATGTCCCTGCTAACTTTAATCCTTACAAGCGCGTCCCCCGTCCTGCAAGCCCGAGCTACTGGAGGACACAGCTCTCCGAAAATGGTCTTGGTTTTGGAGAACATGGTCCCTGCAAGGTGTGTGCGTGATTTGGCCTCCAAACTACGTTCGCAAGATGGAAGGCGTATCGAATCTAACATACGCATGTCTGAACTCGGTACAGTAGCACTCTTCCTTTAGAGTCAAAATTCACCACCGCAACCCTCACCCGTGCACTTGGATCCAGTGTTCCCTTTCTACTCATGCATCTCCCTCCACCTCCGTCAATCTCTTCGGGTAACGCATGTCACGAAGAAACCGCCACTCTCGACTGCCGCGATTTATCTGCAGGTGAGTCATGTGGTTGAATCCTGGTTTCACAACGACCTGCTCATGCTCACTTTGTCAGAATCGCAAATTCCCTACTCGAGCCGCGGCTCAGGCCAGAGCCGGGCCAAAGCCAGCCGTCATTTGCAGCTTTGGCCCGGCTTGGATTTTTTGCAGGCCAGAGCCGTCTGAAGCCAGGCCAAAGCCGCGGCTTTTGGGCCAAGCCGGGCCGGAACATCACTATTCCGAATCAGCTCCGCAAGAACTAACAACATTGCGCCTACGACGTTTCCGAGTTGAGATAAGTTCAACTTAGTGAACGTGACTTATAGTGGGCCCGTTACGTATCCGATAATCACCACTAGGGTTCGGGATAAAACTCCTTGCTAATTAGCGTGTTATTAACTAGCTAATAGCCTGCTAATAACTCGTCCCCCAAAATCACATGGCTAATAATGTTAATGACTCTCTAAGCCGACCCACCGGCTAGCTTCTACTGACATATCATTGACTTATTTGGGTCAAATTCGAAAGAGGGCAAACGGAAACATGATGCAATGAACAGCTTACTGTCAACCAACATCAGGAAATCATGAGTTTACTTAATCCTTACTTTTTTGAACTTTTCCCACTTATTTAAAATGTACCTACTTTTTTTCTGAAATTTGACAACTGTTTCAAAATTGAGTATTCCAATATGTTTGTTGGGCCTGAGAGACATGTTTCATTGCATAAGAACAACAATTAGTGACTAGTATGAAGTTTAAGTAACACATTAATGCTGATGATTTTCTTTTTTAAATGTTCTCTTGAGGTGCTATATTGCAAATTGAGAGTTCAATAATTTTATAGCACACATTTATAATGATGGCTAACAGATTCTGATAGTTCATTTGGGACAAGGTAATGATTTAAGAAAAATAAGTAGATCCATTTGAAATAAGTGAGAAAAGTTTAAAATAAGTGGGAAAAGTTTGAAATAAGTAGGAAATAAGTAAACTCATGATTTCCTGATGAATAGCCGTGATGGTGATGAAGAGATTGAAGAAGACGAGGCTGGTACTTGGTTGGATGATGTGCAGGAGAGTTCCACGACACTCGACGACATTGAATTCGATGCAGAACCCGAGATAGACTTGAGTGTTGATGGGTTCCTTGTGGTGTTGGCTGACTCGGCTCCTGACGGCGCAGGGAAGAATAAGGGTAAGGGTAGGGCTGAGGAGATACAGGTGCTTGATAGTGGTGATGACGAGTGGCCAACGGAATGGCCTTAGCTAGTCTCTTTTCTGCGCTGGCTAATTAGCCAGAGTTTTTAGCGACTTCTTAGCTGGCTAAAAAGCGGTGTCACGTGACTGGCTAAAAAGCAGCTAAAAAGCCGCTAGTTAATAAGACCCTCGAGCCTACCTGGCTAAAAAGCTTGCTAATATTTGGCCGAATAGTTTTATCCCGAACCCTAATCACCACGTTCCTGCAAGTAACTGACAAGTCGCGCCATTTCTCCCCTTTAGTCTCACCAGCGCAAACCACATGACAACAGTCATTCCTTCTTAGCGGCCATCTCCCTTTTTTATCTACCGAGACAGCTTCGTGTCTATCTCCGCGACCACTTAATCCATGAGTTATTTTTCACGGAATTCAAATTGATTGGGCTTTATACCAAGATTGGCTACCGTGCCATCTATTCTTGCGATTGTAAGTTCGTGCATATCATATCGTACGCCCACTTACATACATCAGTAGGTCCCTCAGGAGGACAACTTCTAAAAGTGTTGATTCGCGCACACAGAAGAACCATGTTTCGGTCCGATTCCATAGGCATCGCATAAAAAACTCAATTGTTCATCAGGCTTCAATGCATCTGGAATCTGGATATATGGTAAGTTTGGTTGTTAGTTTCGCATGCCAGTGCGAAATCCCTCATATAGCACTCCTTCTTTCCATCCTTATACGAGCATCTCTCCCTCTCCGTGCCACAATACTCACAGTTCATCTTGCCTACCTTTTGTCTTAGATCGAATGTCAATTTCTATCTGTCCATCATGGTCCGAAAACATGAAAAATCAAACGCCATGTGAAGTGTTCCAGACGGTGAACAAGAGGTGCTCATGTATATGTAAGCCCTCTTCAACGGTTTCATGGGTCAGCGCTTAAATCACTCTAGACCCTATCATCTCCCCCGACTCTTCTGAGCAAGCGTTTATCCCGAGTGGCTTAAATGTGACTGCATGCACATGGTAGGTTCTCAGTGCACATATATGACTTTGTAAATAACGGTGTCATGATAAACAGTTCCTGGGCGAGTTACAACCTGTTTAGCGCCTGTATGTTCTGTACTTCTTCATCACCTTCACTAGTGAGGTAAGTCTTTCGAGTTTATTAGATGTATATATGAGCCAACAGAGTGCAGCTGGGATGAGTGGATAACCAACTGTCCCACAAATATAACGTCGACAACAACGTGAGTTCAACTGGTATGACATGGCCCCTGATGATCCGATCTGAAGCATCTGTCAAAGATACTTCCCTCCGGATGCAGGAGCGCTGCCTTACAATATCTCGATGCCTTGTTACGCGGGCTCCAATCGTACGTCCGTAAACCACTGACCACTAAATCACCCTTTCATGGGGACTGTCCCGCAGCTCAAAACTGGCCAAATGGGACATTTAGTGCAATAGCTGCATCTGATATTGCTGCCATATGTATGTCTACCTTGTTGAACCCACGAACGCATGCTGACTTCAATAAGCACACTCCGATTTGACAGGAGCCGCTGGTTCCTGCGCTTCAAATACATCATCAAGTTCATCATCAAGCTCATCATCAATCTCATCGTCAAGCTCATCATCAAGCTCCCATAAACCTCCGGTGGGCGCGATTGTTGGGGGAGTCATTGGGGGAGTCCTTCTGCTGTTTCTGGTCTGTGGTTGTGCACTGTTCTTTGCATATCGCAGACGCAGAAGGGCAAGACCCTCCCCTGAAATTACTCTGTCGGACAGTCCACGCTTGAACGATAAGTCAGCCAAAGACGTGTATCTGTCTCCTCCGAGTCCACATGATTCGCTATCTTCACCAGAATCTCCCAAGGCAGCATTGGTCGTTGATTCTGGGGGGAAGCCCACGTGGGCGGGAATTACAGACGCGCCTCCGGTTGCCACATCGCCTCGTGAACCGGCAATCGACGATGCTCCGGCGGATGGTCTTTGTAGTGCCCCTGATTCGCACAAAGCACCACCAGGACAGACCGCTGGGGTACGCGCTTTGCATGCGAGCCCGGTTACAGATCAAAACGTTCAAGCGATTGGTGTTCACGCGGGGGCAGATCACACTGAAACAGCGATTGCTGATTGCACTCCTTTACAAGAACAGTCTACCGCAGTGGAGTTTGTGCGGGGAGATGAGATCACGGTTCCAACTCTAGAAGGAGCGATCGAAAGCGTTCCCTTGAAGGCGGATGTCACAACGTCTCACGAAGACCATCCATCGCGGGCACTGAACTATAGTCCAGCACCTACAGAGGAGCTTCTGACCATGGCTCCAGTGTTAGAGCCGGAGGGTATCGAAGATAGCAGGGGGTACCTCAGCGATAACAGTGTGTTCCTAAGCGATGATAGGGAACTTAGCGATGGCAGGGAGTCCCTCAGCGATGGCAGGGAGTCTGGATTCTTTGCTGTACGTATTATCAATCCTTTTCAATGTCCTGGACAACATCATCCATCGCTCCCAGATCAGCGACGTTGCCCCTGAGGCTGCCCAACCCGAGGCTGAACAAGTCGGAAATCTCCTAGCACAGCTTTACATCGAACAGGCCCCGTCCACCGCCGTCGTTCATGATGATTCTGCAAATTTCAGAACGATATCTCAAGCAGAGGCAGAGGCTGTACAAGCTCTCTTAGTTTCGGACACATACGACAGCCCGTCAACCTCCATGGCCTATCCAGTCGGAAGATCGTCTCTCCCATATATAGAGACAAGGAAAGCACCTGTATCCGCGGACCTGGTATGTGTTTTTCGGTATGCTGAAAAGAATACATGGTCATTCGATGTCATACATAGGTCAAGCGCGTGGTATACACGTATCTGATGGATCCTGCAACAAAGCAAAATGTACCTCCTTCGCGTACACATGGCTTTAAGCTGTGAGTGAGGCTTCGTCCATTTTCCCATAATTCGAGACCGTATAACTTCTGTACAGTGACTTGCTATTCATCCTGGATCTCACTGGCAGCCAACAACCATACATAGACTCAGTCAAATCATCCATTAATACCATCTGCGCAGAGATACTGGGATCGGATCATTTGAATTCAGCTCACCCAGGCAATCTTCGCGTCGCATTTATTGGGTTCCGCGATCATTATCCCCAGGAGGACTCTTTCGTTACCCGCCAATGGGACTTTGTGTCAGATATCGCTCGAATTCACGCAAATCTGAGAAGTCTTCCTGGTGCTGACGGTGGTGGAGATGGGCCAGAGGCCTCAACGGCGGCTCTAGCTCGAGCTTTAACGATGGGGTGGAGGAATGACTGCAACAAGGTCGCTGTATTAGTATCGGATGCTCCGCCCCACGGTATTGGATCTCAAGGCGATTACTGGCCCCACGGCGTACCAGGTGGTGAGAACTCGTAGCCGTTCGTTGTGGAGAACTCCAGAATTCTGAATGAATGCATACATTCCAGTTCCGGACCCTCTTGATCTGGCGAGAGAGATGCTCCAGAAGAAGATCACTCTAGTGGGTGTTTCTCTTTCTCAACGCATTCTATTTGTCAACATGCATTTTTTAGCACTTCGTCGCTTGCGAACCAAGCTTGAGTCGCTTCCATGTAAGAACATACCAAGGTCCATGATAGACGTAATCATTCAATCTTACCTAGAATGCGCTTGATTTTTACCGTGGTCTGACCCGCATAACGGCGTAAGTCTCTTGCAGAGGCAGACGATCCGTTCGGCTGACATCAATTTACTCAAGGGGCATTGTAGTGCCACTACTTGACGCCAGGGTTATGTCGACCTGCATCATCGGTTCTGCTCTTGAAAGCCTTGCGATTCAGGATCTCGTCAACGAATACAGGGAAACCCTCGAGGAGTTGGTTCCTTCACGAGAGCCCTCGTTGGTGGTGAAATACCTCCATGCCCTCATGCGCGTCAGAGGGCGGACGGCCGACCAGCTGATTATGGAGAATATTTATGCCATGTCTGATGATAGGAAGGAAAATGTTGAAATTTGGTCGTCAGCTCGTAACCTTGCTGATGCGAAGGCTCGATTGCGGGTAAGCTTATGATCATTCCAAGGGGGACTTGTGTATTCACGATATTCCTGTCAGTCCTACTAGGTGGACGGGGTATACATGAAAGAGCAGTGCCGGGCATAGAATTGTGTAGGATATGTATTTAGATCTTGATACGGACTCGGCCAAAATTCTCAATGAAAAGACATGCAGATTGGTGATATATCTCTAGCTCGAATGACAGGGAGTCTTGCGAAGATTAGAAAGTTGGCCTGAACACACAAAGGCACGGGTGGCCAGGATAGAAAGAACTGGGAGTGATAGATTGGTAATTAGGTGGGGCTCCTGCCATCGGATCGTAAGAGGGAATGAGTATCAACTATGAATGCCAGGAATGAGAAGATTATAGCCATAACGGCAATGCATGACGTAGATGAAGAAATACTAGGTAGTACAGCAAGCAGATCGTCAGGAGAGTACGCAGAAATAAGTTGTACATAGAACAGAAACGAAAAAAGGGATGACGTTTCGCGCTGGTAATAACCACGGCAGTGGGGGACAACCTTCAGGCAATCTGCGGCTCGCGTGCGCCATCACCTCGACTTGATGCGAGAATGCCGCGGGCGTGCACGACGAAGATTGCAAAAGTTACGAGAACCCTAATAAGAATACGAACAAGGAAGCGATATTAATGGATATGTATCAGTGATTCCGTGATACATACAAAATAACCCAAGCGAAGACATCTAGCGCGATAAGTTGACCGCTGTACACGAAAAGGCTTTGGGCACTAAAAAGGTACAAGGAGAACGATGAGTAATAGGAAGATGTACCAACTTGCGATTCAGTTGTCCACTAAGAGCTGCAGTTAAACTTGCAGCGCCCACGGCCCAGAAGACCCATGTTAGACACAGGCTATAGCGAGTTGGTCAGCAATTTTGACTCGCTCCAAAGGAGGTCTACGTACAAGAGAATATGAACAACCATACTACCCAAGATACTGTCTGGAGGAGGCAAGAAGAAAAAAATGCGGTAACTAGAGTATATGAGCGTCCATGTTGAAGTGAACAATAGAAAATAAGTGCAGTCTCGTCCAGCTAGACTGAAGTAGTTATGATGGACATCAAATTGTGATGTGAGCCAGGTTGATATCGCGAACTGCCATAAGGGGTTATTATTTAGCCATTGAAATAAGAAGTGGATATACCTCGATGATATCGACGAAAATAATCAATGAGAAGGCGACTGAGGAATACAAATACAGCAACTGAGTAAAGTACGATAGTACAGAGGACAGGGACTCACTATTGTGTTCCCTTCGTATGTGGGTATCCAAATCCACTGCACGAGGAGATTGAATTGGCTGAGGGATGAGGAGATTGTTGGTGTTAGAGCATCGAGGCTGAGATTTTACAAGGATTTCCAGCTGAGAATGCAATCGTGACAGCTACGAGGACGCAACGTAAGTCAAACATGAATGCCGCTCAATCAAATGATCACCTCTCTACAGAGAACTTATTTTAGAATATACTCGCTTGCTCACAAGCGGAGACTCACAGAGCATGTTCATTCTCTATTTTCTGAATCCTAGAAAGCAGACCTTCTTCAACTATGCGAGATGTTTTAGAGTCGAGATCTGCGTAAAGTTTGCAGGTACGAAGCTTGTCACGAAGGCGACAACATTCTGCTTTTTCGCGCTCGATCTGGTCTTGAAGATCTTTGATTCGCTGAAGGGAGGCTACCGCAGCTCGTAGTGGGATATGCTAAAAGTGCTGTATGTGAGAAATTGGCAGCAAACGTTGCCTTGGCGGTGCGCCCGCACAATGAAAAGGACTCACAGAATTTGGATTACCCGATTGAGATTTCAGCCATTCTTGCACCTCGGTGACTACTCTGACAGCTTCTGCGTCGGGCGTGTCTTCGCCTGAGACTAGAGACATACGATGCAAAAGGAGGCCAGCATGCCGATCATCGTTAGTATCTTGTTCAGCATCTTGTTCAGCATCGTCTTGTTTGGATGGATTGGCGAGGTAGAGTTTCTTGACACGATCTGGCCGGAAAGGTTCGCGGCAGAGAGGACATGCACTTAGGGGCAAGGAGCGAAGGCATCTGGGATTGAAGGGTCGCATACAAGAGGAGAAACATGATTGCTGGGAGTAACATAACTTGGAGTAGGAACGCACGTGAGACAGAATATGTGGCCACAGGCAATTGCATGTGGAGAATGAGCAGTTTCTGAGGAGATGGAATAGGGATCAAGGCAGACATCACAGCAACTTGCAGGATGAACAACAAGCATACCTAGCTCACAAGAGAACTGTACTACTTACCACCAGGCTCCCCACCACTGCTTCGAATGTGTGGAGCGTACCGTGAGGCGTTGAGCAGGTGTGGACTTTAATTAGAACCAGTGCAAGTTTCAAACCCCGCACAACGTTATACCCCTCACGCGGCTGGCCCAGAACTGTGCAAAAGCCACTCGACTGTGACGATTTTAACCCTATCTATTCGGAAATCTGTGGATGAGCATCCACCATGCAGTCATTACTGATACAGATATCAAAGGACTCCTACTCATGTTTTCGGTAAGTCTACTTCTTCTTTTCTTGACTAACTGGGTGGGGTGTCACGAAGTGAATCGCTGGTGCTGAGTCCACCGAGGTAAGATAGAGGCTGGTGATGCGGCGACGGTCATCATTTTCATCTGCCTGAACGGTAGAATCTTCTAGAGGTTCCACCCTAGAGTTAAAATGTGAGGGACAGCAGGGTTATAAGCAATTTAAATCATACCTTGCACTGAAGTTGATGTGAGTCAGACGCTCAGCAGGAGCGGCGCGAACGCGGAACATCATGCTACGAGTGACGATTAAAGTTCCGGCAACCACCGAGGGCTATCAAGATTCAATAGGCGATTGATAGCGATACCATAATGTTGGGCACGATGACTCACTTCGTCCGGACGATTACCAGTGGAGATAATATTCTCCCAAGAGAGTGCAACTCCTCTGGCGGCGGCTTTGCGCGATGAGACGCTATCCCTCAAAGCATCAAGTGTCGAAAATGCATGGTTCACACGGACCTCGCAAGCGGGGGAGAATGCAGTATCGAAGGCGTTAGCAAATACCTCGTCCTCTCGCGCTTCGTAGAGGGCGCCGAGGTGGGATTGCGTCCAGGATATGAAGTCGGGCTTAGACATAGATGGTGATTGTTGTGAATTCGAGCCCAACACTGCGCTTTTGTGATACAAAGCGCGATTGTGGAAGAGATTGGCTGTAGCTGCTGAAAGAGTCGAGCGTGTGGAAGTCTGGAGAATTTGACCTAAGATGATGATGGAGCAGGTACAAAATCGGATCATGTTCTGAGGTTTGGAGTAGAAGTGGCTCCTTTCCAAACTTACAATAAAAATCCCGATCAGTGTGTTCACGTTCAACCTGATCCTTCAACTAGTACTGACCTTCAAGCAAACAGTGTATAGGCAATTGAACGTACTGTGGACCAGGTTTGTATCATTAATTGCTGATCATCATGATTGTGAGTGCTGAAGCGAGGAGTGTTCAACTATTCGGAAATAGACTCAAACGTGACAGCGGTACTGTCCCACGTTGCTCCGAAACGTCCATGTCAGATTCTGACCAGAAGGAAACATAAAAACCAAGTGACCTGTTTGCATTAGGCTGGAAGCTCGAAGAAGATATGTTCCGTTCTACTGATACATCTGACCCCTTTCCCATGACCCAGTTGGCATTGATTGTGTATACGATGAAACCGGATTTCCTTTACAAGATCATCTCGACCTGGAGGGTCCTGCCACAGTCCTGATCAACTCCCACTGGCAACCTAACCACGTGCCGCTTGTTCCTCATGAACGTGTGTACGTTCGATCAGAACCGTGCCTTTCTTCTTCGCGTTCTCACCTGCCGGCCATCCATTCGCACACTGAATGTACTTAAAGACATATTATCCCTCTCTTGGGAAGAAGATAGAGGGGGACCTGGGAGGAGGATCGTTCGAGCACAAGAACAAAACACCTTACGATGGTCTGTTGTAAACTTTTATGGAAATTAGTCTCCAGCGGGCAAACAGGATGTGCTTTGTGACATGCTCAACCTTTGATCAGCTAGGTGAGTGCGTGTACATGCGTCGTTTCCTTTATGTATTCTGATACCCTGCACGGAGCCTGTGGTGAAATCTTGCGGACTAGGCTGGTTCCTCTAGCGAGACGTTAATTTTGATTATAACCCCCTCGATTGATGAACGCGAGGATCTAGAAGCGTTTACGGCTACGTGCGGTTGCGTCGAATGAAGATCCCCAAGGGGAGGGACTTTCGATGCATGATCCCTATCATCGTTGCCGCAAGCGACCCTTTCGAAGATTTGAAATGCACAGCTGGATGAGACGAGCAGCTTTACGAGGATGGCCTGACTCATTGGTTCGGAATTTTTTGAAGTACCGTTTCAGTATCATAATGGAAGCAACTAATGACTAAACCATCGTTTCGAACTATATGCCATCGAAGCCGCTAGACCGCTTGAATTTTCTGTTGATCGTTTTTCTCGTGTATCGATCACGAGGCATGCTGAATTCTCTGGTGACCTCCGTTTGTGCGTTAGAAATTTTCTCTCTGCGTTGGGTTCGAGATGCACTGGTACTGTCTTTGCTTGGCTAACTGTTAGGAGTGTATGTGTTTTTGTGCACGTTGTACTGCGCAAGTGCTCACGACACACTCTGTATAGCCTTTGAACGTGTTTCGGGTGGAAGGGGGCGTTGAGGTTGACGGAAAGGGGTAAATCCGAGGGCTTTAGAGCCTAGTCTCGTGCCATGGAGTCTGGAGCTCTTGGCTCAGAAGAAACAATCTATTGCGGTTCCAGAAGGCATGGAACCGATTTTTTTCTGCTTCGACTGTAATAGCACTGGCGGCAGAGCTAGCTAGCTATAGCTCCCCAGACTAAATATTTTTTGCGGCCCTGAATTCATTTCCAGGACTTAGTTCTCGCAAATCTCCTTTCCTGGCTATTTAGCGTCATTACCTCCAAATGACGTAATTCCAACCCGGACTGCACGGTTGAACTGCGCTTGAACTGCGCGTACTGTAAGAAACTGTTCGGGCACTGAAACACACTTCATGATCAGTACCATCATGAACTACAATCCAACTCAACTAATTGCTGTTTTTCTCTGCCTGTCATCCTCTGCGTATGCGCAGACTTCTGATACGTATAGCTACAATTGGAGTGGACGGATCGCTGGGATTGTAGTCGGTGAGATATTCTTGACCGTTATCAAGAGCATTAACCGAACGATAGGGATAATTTTAATCTACAGGCATCGTGTTTTTATTCTTATTACTCATAATATGCTGTGTGACTATGAATCGACGTCGACGTCGTTCAATGCCTTTCGTCAGCAAGCCGCCGACGAATGCTCAACCAGGTCCGCCTTACTCACTTCCAATATGGCAAGGGGCGCAGACATATGCACCTCCACCTCGACCTGGTCACCCGGCCAATACCGCAAATATGAATCCATACGACAATGAGTATCCTGGATCACAGCCCCCTCCCCCTCCCTATGTGAAAGGAGAAGGACCCAACATGCCGCAGGAAACACATTACTCCTCGGTAAGTAGTAGCATCTCCATCAACCATGCTCCACGCTCATGCCATGCCGCTACCCATAGCCCCCAGGTCCCCCGCCGGCTGCACATACGGTGAGCCAATAATATTAAAGGGAAAAGGTTTTAAGCTTATCACGTTTTTGAGCAGAGAGAGAACAATCATTTTGTATGAGGTCTCACTACCCAGGAACGGGTGAATTGCGGAATAGTTCCGCGGCATCTATTCTTGCTTCAGACAATACAGATATTATGATCCCCCTACTCGGAATGGTCAACGTTAACCCTTCCTTGTGTATATGTCTTCTTACTGCATAGTACTGACTCAGCTATTTGTGTATCTAAACCTAATCACACCTTTAGTTCAGTCATACGACCCTTAGTATGCATTCACACAATTTATCCTACCTACCCAGTCCGGATGGGCTTCGCGGGTGCTAGTGTGTAAAATACCACCCGGCGGTCATTGATCAGTCATCTCCAAGTAATTGGCCTCCGCCGCGGGCTCATCGAACAACAGTAACGTCATGACTACAGTGCCAAGGCGTTAACTCCCATATCCCTGAGCGTTAACTCCCATTTCCCTGAGTTTCCCCCCGGAAAGCCGACCGATGCAAAGGCAAATCAACACTATTTATCGGTGGCCGCGAGAGCCTGCACTAACGAGGCACGTGAATCGAAGCGGCCAGACTCTTCTCATGCGGCCTTCTATCGGCCAATGAATCTCGTTTCAGCCAAAGTGTCATGATGCAACCACAGGAACCGCTTCATTGTCAAACTCTATTGGGTCAAGCTTTCGAAGGCCATCATCTGCGTGCAACCTGTGCGAACTACGAGGTTACATACTCATGACAGAGAAGCGTCCATGGGGCGAGGCTAGACAATAGATCGCCAAGACGTGCCCCCATCGTTTCCACGTCTCGCTTCCCGGGAACGGGCCGGGACAGTGGTGGTAGCCCTTTGCCAAATCTCCATCATGGTTAGAGGTATGCGGAACATGTTAGGGCAAAGAATGGTTCCCAATTTTCCAATCCTGATAGCATCAATCAGAACATTCCCGTGTGCTTGATCGTGGCGTCCATCATGGCGACACCTGAAACATTGTCAAGATAGGAGCGGCTTTGCGACACGGCGATTGATCGGCCAAACATCGCATGTGATCGTAAAGTTCCTAGTGGACCATATGGCAATAGAAGATATCTCATGAGTTTAGGGATTGGTGGGAGATCAGGGTGGAGTCAGGAGCTTCGAACACATGTGTAAGGATCTCCACATAGGACGATCCTCCGAGCAGGCAATCACCGAATGGATGTTGTGAAACATTGCGCGTACCATGTGACCGGATCGTATTGGTTGGATAGCCTCGATCTTGAGAGTAGATGGATAACTAACATATTGCGGGATTCCATATGTTCGTCACGGCATGCCTTTTGGAGAGAGAGATATGACAGAAGACAGCACAACAAAAGACAGTACGACAAGAGGCAGGAAGCCTCAAGGAAGACAGGAGATCACCGGGATATCTCCGTGGCAAGAGATAAGAAGATTACGTTGTCTGCCGTTCGTATGACGGGCAGGCGCCTGTACGGAAGTCCGAGGGAGTAAGACAGCTCGGGTTTCGTGTGTGAGAGCAAACAGGACAGTCACTGACACGAGCCACATGTTCAGGAGATCGTGAATATGCCATCGACACAGAGGATATCGAATAAAGGAAATTGTAAGGTATCATTAGGGTTGTGGAGTGGGTAAGCAACGAACTTTGCCACCTTTGATTGACCCCATGGCATGCCGCCGGCATCTCGGAACGAAGACGGAGTAAATCAGCGAAGCTACTGAGGATTGGGCAAGTTGCTGAATAATTCATGTCGGACATAGGAAATAGGGATTTGTACGGGGAGAAATTTGGGGGTATGCGGGTTCAGTTTGCGATAACAGACTCCTGCACGCTTTTGAAAGGCCATCCGATGTGCCCTAATCAACGGCTATAGCAAACAAATTATTGCTCGCTGAGTTATCGCGACAAAAATAATTATCGCTAACCGTATGGAACACTAGGCTAGGTGCTCTGAGCTTGAAGAGAGTGATCGAGGAGTTGGATCCTGAAATATCTGAGGGGGGGGGAAAGGTCGCTTCGCATTCGTCGACACGGTGCTTTTCGAGAATCTGGGTGAGAGTGAAATGTCTATATTAGAACATACGGTAGCAATTGGGATCAGATGGGCTATAGATGAAGCTGCGGATGGCGAGAAGACTTACGGGAAGACCGGGAATGATGGAGACGCGAGGCAGACAAACAAGCGCATAGGATATGGTACTTAGTAGGCGTGGAAGTATATTGCACGGCGGCCTGGTAAGGATTGCGTGATTATCACACACTATGCGACATGGAACACACAGGGGCGCCGTTTGAACGCGCCAGGGTTCTGCAGTAGCATCGGTTCGTTGTTGGGCGAGTGTTGTAGTATGCTACATTGACAAACTTCAGAGGGGGCAAATTAATGGACAGAAATACGCACATGAATATGAATGTTCCAAAGATAACAAGCTAGCTTGTTATTTTGGGCGATATCATAATTTTGGGTTATTCAGCGATCATAAATTCGGTTTGCAGGCAGTGACGTCGCTTCGCAGCTGAGTATCACTCAAACTCGATCAGGTACGACAGTCCGGCCGACTTGGTATGAATGCCGGTTAAAATTCGGTTCACTGGCCAAAAGTCAGCTGGCTGGGATGAAGAGACGGACGTCCTTGTATCCGAACCTGGAGTGAGTCAGAAGACCTATGTAGAAGGCACGATCACTGACGAAACCAGGGGTGTGAAGATGAGACTTGTAAGATCGGTTGCAGTGTCAGTTGAAGTGTTGGAGAGACGTACTGCGCAGATAGTAACTAGTATTACTACGCGGACATGAAAAGGTGTGCCTCCGAGGGGCTCGACTCTCGCTGGGTTGAATCGAGGTTAGGCTGCGGAGATGCGGGATGGTGAGTTAGTGTGAGAAAAAGGGTAGACATGGATGATTCATAGGAAGCTTACTATTGGATGAATCAGACTGACATTTCAACGAAAGATGTTTAACCAAATTTGGTATTTTAGCTTGATCTTTTCATGAACTTTACTGCCTAATTTAGATAAAATGATAGAATCCGGTGAAATCCGGAACTGTGGGTTTAATCCCGATCTCTGAATCTGATGAGCGCCGTTTGCAGTTGCTTGGGTTTCGGCACCCGTTCGCGGAATTACTTGCCGCCAGTGAAAGATCCAAACTTCAAAGACAAGGCTCCCATCCTCTCGCCCACTGCCATCTCTCTTCTGTACTCCCATCATCTCTCCCTTCATCGTCTCTTCATCCCTTTCGATAGCAAAATGGGCAGGAGAAAAATTGAGATCCAACCGATCACCGTAAGTTTCATTTTTATTATCCAGTTGGCCTGCTGCTATTCTCGGTCGCGGTTGTGCCAGCGCGCTTTACTCCAATTTTACTTGACCTCCTCTTGATCCATCATTAACGACCCTCTCTGTAATTCTTAAACATAGCACGAGCGTAATCGTTCAGTAACTTTTTTAAAGGTAAGCCTTTGGCTATTTTTGCCATTAATAGCTTGGCAGCTGATAACTTATTATTATCCTCACCTCCTTACAGCGTAAGAATGGTCTCTTCAAAAAGGCCTATGAACTTGGTGTCCTCTGCTCTGTTGACGTCGCCGTCGTCATCTTTGGCGAGTTTTTTCATATCCCATATCCGTGTCCTTCCTAACATGAACATCACCACCATCAGAGGAACGTGCGGGTCATCACTTGAAACTTTATCAATACTGTTCTGGCGACATCCATGATATCATTCAGCGTCACGTTCGCGTAAGTAATTTCTTTTTCTTTTTGATCTGTTCTTTACCGACTTTTTTCCTGGTTCAGTACGATGGAGAGAAGGACACCCGCACTCCCCACGATTTCGCGAACAACGCCAATGCCAAACTTCATCATGATGCCGATATCGACGATGACGAGGGTGACGACGACGACGACCCAGATTCTATTCCCACACGTGGAAGCAAGAGGCGCCACGAGCCCAAGTTCAAAGCGGAATACAGCAACAACGCGAAACTTCTGATTCCTTCAGGAGGTGAAATGGGTCTAAACGTTGACGTGAGATCGCCATTTGATCTTTTTCTTCTCATTTCACTCACTCTGAAACAGATGGCTGATTATCACCGTCCTATGACCATCCCTCCCCCTCCCATGCCCCTTCATCACTCATCACAGCTTCCATCATCTGGTGGTGGATCTGCACTTCCTATTTCCACAGAACGCCATTCGTCTTCCGGTCGGTTGCTCCCTCCAAACGGTCAAATTAGCTCTCAAAAGAAGCCCCGTCTAGCGCCCAACGTTCATGGAGGCAGTGGCTCCAAGCTTTCGGGGGACGAGTCTATGTACAATGGTGGTTATCTCCCTTCACCCACATCGGCTCATTCTACTGCATATCGATCGAACGGTCCATCGTCTCACCAACTTCCGTATAACGGATATATGGGAGTCTCAAACAGTCCCCCGCAGTCCTTCCTGCCTTCGACTTTTGACTTCCCGTCCTCGTCGTCCCGAGGCACTAATTTACCGCGTAATAATAGCTACAGCAGCCAACGGTCATCGTATTCTCAACCTCAGGACCCCCAATTACAGGGAATGTATCACCAGCTAATGCGGCACAATCATTCGCCAAGTCAACACACCCACTCAAGCGGTTTGCATTCTCAGCAGCCTCCAGACTCCTTGTTATCCACATTTTTAGACAACGATGAGCATCGGCAGCCGCAAAGCACAGGCCCACAATATGCGCCGCTCGATTGGCCTTCCCATGGACCATCACAGCCGCCGCTGCCACCTCCCTCGCAACCTCCACAGCAAGAATCAGGTATGTTTTACATTTCTCTTCCAGTGGAAATATCCTTAGACCATAATAGGGCCTCCTGGGGACCCTAGCTGGCTCGATTTCCTGTCGCAGAATGCATCTCAGTCAGGCGCTCAACAGCTCCATATGACACTACCCCCCGCTAATGGGCGAGATGGTCTCTCATGGGAACGAGATCGCGATGCGGAGCATTACTCCGCTGAACGCGGTGGTGACCTTCATCCGGATAAGTCTTCTAATGGAGGAACACTGATGTCGCCGCGTTCATCACGCAAACGGCCGCGTGCTGACTCAAGTGCTGCGGATGAGAAACGCTCATCGCCCAGCGCACGAGCTGTTTCAGGACAGGATAAGATGCATGACCCTGGCAGCAGCAGTGGAATAGACAAACAAGACAAGTGACCAGGGCTATAATTTTTGAACAGTTTCTGTATGCATATGTTTATCTTGGACTCTGATTTTCTTGCGCAGCGATGTTAACGTACTTCATGACGTATGGGCTTGTCTGGACATGCCGGGATTAATGCCACCTTGTTATCGATATGTTCCCATGCACCGCGATTCGTGGCAGGCTTGCATATGATCATATTATTATGATGGCTACTTAGACTTTTGGGACTGTTGGTGGATAATACCTGGATGATTTCAATATTACACTAGGATGTCTATTGACCCAGTGGAACGACGTGTCTTGCAGGCGCATCGTTTCAAGGAAAATCCCTGGAAAATCGTGATCGGTTCACGAGATCACCGCAGTACTACGTAATCACTGGTATGGAGACCGATCACTTCATTTGCCCACTATGCAATTTCGGTCCCTTGCTCGGGCGGCTAGTCGTCACTTGTTCAGCTCGTCCGAGCTTGTCCTTTCCGGTTAGTTTGATAGTCACACGTCAACCATGCTGAGTCTGGGTTTGGTCTGGAGCTGTGGATACTATACAACTTGGCAGCATCATGATGTGGTCAGTACTTGCATCGGGAAAGCGTCGGGCCAAGGAAAGGCGAAGGCCTTTGTTGTTCAACACCCCACGACATGGACCTCTCCTCCTGCCTTCAAGTTGCCGCGACTTCGCTACTTTTACCCAGAGGAAATATTGGCCGATCGATAAATACGTAACGAGAGGGATGTTAAAATGATTTTACCAGCCTAGTACGCGACCTCAGACAACAGACTCTCAGTAACATTGGTGATAGCCAAGTTTTGAACCATGTCTACCTGGTTTCTGGCGGCCTTGGTGTCGTCTTGTGCGGCACTCAATGCTGAGCTTCTCATTTCAAACGCCATTGTCGCTCCCGACGGTTTTTCAATGAAGTATGTTTATTGACACGCGGTTGGTTGATTTCTCATGCTCAACAAACATCTCCAGCGCCATCGTGGTCAACGGCCAAACTCCTGGACCAGTCCTCACTGCACAGAAGGTAGTGGTCTATTTATATGACTGTCCCTACCAGGAAGATTTACTTCATTAAGGGCGAACGCTTCCAAGTGAACGTCACGAATTTGTTGGTGGACGACTCGATGAACAAGAGCACGACCGTTGTTAGTATTTTCTTGTATTCTGGGACAGCGCTGACCTCGTTTCAGCACTGGCATGGAATCAATCAGCACGAGTCGGCTGAGATGGATGGAGCACCCATGGTGACTCAGTGCCCCATCGCGTCTGGGCGTTCGTTCTTGTATGAATTCACGCCACAGGACCAGAGCGGCTCATTTTGGTGAGGGATTTCATTTTACCTTGCATTCATTTATTCACCGGTGTCTCAGGTATCATTCACATTTCCAGCTCCAGTACTGTTGGTGATCTCATTCTTCACTGGTGCAACAAATCTCACCGTTCGTGCAGGTGAAGGTATGAGAGGAGCCTTGATCATCTATGACCCAGAGGATCCTTACCTGGGCATGTATGACGTTGACGACGGTCAGTCTAAACCTTGACTACATGCGTAATTGAATGTGCTAACGATAATATAGAATCGACCATCATTAGTATCATAGATTGGTAAGATCATCAGCACCTTTACTGCTTTGATTAAACATTCTGGTCAAAGGTACCACGTCAACGCCTACAACCTCGCCCTTGGTGATACTCCCGCTTCGACTCTCATTAATGGTGTGGGACGCTATCCAGGTGGACCAGCGCTACCTCTTTCTGTCATACACGTCGTGCCAGGAAAACGCTACCGTATTCGGTTGATGAATATGGCATGCAGACCAAACTACGTGTTTACGATTGACAACCACGTTTTCACAGTCATCGAGGCGGACAGTGAATATACGACGCCTCTGGAAGTCGACTCGATCCAAATTATGGCCGGGCAACGGTACTCTTTCATCCTGATTGCAGACCAGCCGATCGACAGCTACTGGATTCATGCGATGCCCAATTATGATACGAGTTTTGCAGGAGGTCTCAACTCTGCGATACTTAAATATGATGGAGCTCCGGCAGTAGACCCCATCCCCAGAAATTGGACCATGACCAACCCTTTGAGCGAAGAGAACTTGCATGCGCTGGTAAACCCATCAGCCCCCGGTGTCGCGGAGTCCGGTGGCGCGGACGTGTCGATAAATCTAGAAGCCGTATGGGATGGCCACATGAGTTATCTCATCAATGGCTACAGTTATACCTCGCCTCCGACTCCGGTCTTATTGCAAATTTTAAACGGAAATTTTGACGTTTCTGAGCTAAAACCCAACGGATCGGTTTACACTTTGCCTGCCAACAAAACCATCGAGGTGTCTATACCTGGCGGACAGCCTGAGGGACCGGTAGGCAAATCTAATACCTCCTTACCTTACGCTTCTCATGCACCATTATTCTAGCATCCTTTTCACTTACACGGAGTGAGTATCCCTTGCTATATCCTGTTGGCACTCTGATTCATGTATCGCACAGCACCCCTTCTCCGTTGTAAGAAGCTCTGGAAGTGAAGTCTACAACTACGTCAATCCTGTACGCCGGGATACGACGAGCAATGGCAGATCGGGTGACAACGTGACAATTCGCTTTAGAACCGATAATCCAGGGCCATGGTTTCTGCACTGGTACGATCTCGATACTGTTCTTGTGCCTGGCTAATTCAAATGACATCTTCCAGCCACATCGACTTCCACATGGAAGAGTAGGTGTTGTCTTGCCACCATGTGATCAATCTGATTCAACTTCTTTAGGGGTATGGCTGTGATCTTCGCAGAGGATACCACTGGTGCTGCATCAACCCTAAACGTAACAAGTAAGGCTCAGAACCGATATATTATATCGTTACCTCATTTATGGCTTCCGTAGGCACATGGAAGCAGTTATGCTCCACCGACGACCCCTCCTCAATAACGGAACGAACAGTGGAGCAGCATCGCCGACGTCATATGAATCATCGAATTGGACATTAATTTTTGTGCAGCTTGCGGCGACCAGCATACTTAATTTGAATTGCGCCAGTGTGAATTAACTTGTCTTTTATAATTCGTGTTCTCCGTAGCACTTCAAATTGATAATGTTCCTGCTGTCGAGTATGTCCGAGGATATTGGCTGCTTATGTTTCGGTGCTTTGCTGCTACCTGGTCACCTATTCTTTCAATGCTTCGTAGGTAATAAATAATGCATGTTTCTATGCTCTCCCTGACCACAGCATTAGTGGGAGGAGGTCTTGTCAGATCCAAATCTGCAGGTACCTATACTCTGATGCATGAGAATGCTTGAAAACAATAATCATACAGTTGATTGATGATGGCATCAATGATGAACTTGAATAATGAATAACTAGATGACTTTCAATGGGCAAAATAATCCAGAATAGAACATACTGGAGTCTCAAAAACATTACCAATACTGATGTGTTTATCTATCTACATATCATAAGTACAGAACAGTTGATCCTGTGGAACAAATTTGTGTTGACACCATGTGTGCACTCTGCTTGAGCTCCTGTTAGGCAAGAGCACGGGTTGGGGTAACCCGTGCGGGTGGCAGGTGCGGGTACCCTTTGGGTATGGGTGTGGGTCTGCCATTGGGCTACCCACACCCTCACTCACATCCTCGCTCGGGTTCTACCATCAAAACATTGTATATTAGTACCTGATCGAGAACTCCGCTGCATGTATAGTATCTACACAGATTGAAACCTTAACAAAGCCACAATATTATTTTCATTCAAGTTTTACCTGCCCTACTTAAAAACTAGCCATGCACCCAAACATATTCACGGCCACTGCAAAACATGTCACGAAGCTAACAGACAAGGCTAAGGCAGCAATCAAAGACAGGCTCAAAGCTGTTGGCCCATCCAAGAAGCAGAAGGCAGATCCCAAGAGTGCGAGTGTCGCCTTGAACCACCCGAAGAAGACAAAACAAAACCCTCCCACTGGTACACCTGAAGATTCACCAAGCTCCAAGGATTTGACATCTCCACCCAACGTGGGAACAGCCCCGGAACCTGGCAAGAGCTGTTGTGCTGTTGTTTGGACTGAGGAAGAGGAAGCAGCACTATATGACGATGACATTGTTGCTGATGAGAGCGAACACAACGAGTTGCACAACCCAAGTCCGAGTCCAAGTCCAGCTCCAGAGAGTGCTGAGGACAAGCAAAGTATGATTCTATTATACAAAAAAACACTACTAATTAGCTGCGCAACAGAACGGCTCATGAAGGAATGGGGTATCACCTGTTTATGCATTTTTTGAGCCCACCCCCCACATTGTTGAGCTTGATGGACAGTGTGCACATGAGTTCAAATGCTATGCATGAGGATGCAAAGCCACGATTCATTGATTCCTTGACAAAAAGTATGCAAGGTCCACTGGCAACATGTGAAAGCATGTTAAATCTTGCTGGGGTGATGAAGTCTTGCAAGCAGCCGATCAAGCAAAGAATGCTGCTGAGGTTCGGGTGAAGGTCATTGGTGGAATCCTACGAAATGGTTCAATTACGGCGTCATTCGAGAGAAAGGGAAAGGGAACAGTGATGTACTCACATCGACAGCACACCTGGAATGAGACAAAGTATGATAACAGTATTTTTGATATTTTTGATGGCTGATACAGTAGTATTCAGGGCTGAAATTGTTTGTTGGATGTCAGAAAGTCTGCGTCCATATGAAATTGTGCAGGACAGGGGATTTCAGTCACTCATGAAGACGGTGTAGCACTCAAGCTCACGCTAGGCTTGTATTCAGCTGATTCACGATTTATGTCCAATGCCTGTTGCACGATAATCACTTCCCGTTCAACCTGACACTTTGACATCGGACCCGACACTTTGACTAGTGGACCCGACGTTTCGGCCACAGCAGACCCCATATTTTCCCGTGCACTTGTCCTATCCGTGTCCTGTCCTGTCTTGCTAGCCCCACTAGGTGCGTAGTTCATTATTTCGCACATTACTCATGTCGTAGCAAGCACTATTACATGTTTTCCCATAGTCCGCAGCGCCTCGTGTTTGTTTACATGTACTTTGGATCCGAAATACTCCACCGCTACTTTCACCTATGAGTTCCGCATTTCTACGTACTTACATATATATTGGACTGACCTCTAGCATTATTCAGGATCCAAGTAGTGGGAAGTTGTTCCCCGACACTTTGTGGTCAAACCCGATATTTCATAGTTCTTAGTTGACATTGTGAATATTACCGCTCTTTCTATCTGAAAACACCCGTCATTATCAATATTCTGCATACTGCTCGCTTTCCCGACACTCGCTATCGCCATTCTCTGTAATCCACTGAACCTGCACCCGAAACCTGCTAGTCTGCTAACCCGAAAACATCAGACCCGACGCTTTGGCGTTGGACTCATGATTATACCTTTGGACTTTGTTTCCTGCACTCAGACTTTTGATCACTTGACATTCCACCACTTACAGACTAATACCAGATATCTAACCCCTCAGGTCGAACGCACTTGTCTACAAGTATAGCAGACTAGGCCACGCAAGACCACATCATTTTATATTGCTGAATACTTACTTCGTGTAGTGACCAGCCATTGTTGTCTTGTTACAGCGGATTGAAGGAATAAGTTTTGAGTCCATATCACCGGGATCAGCAGCATCACCCTTGTCCCCCATGTCTCCGATATCACTTGCATCATCATCCGAACCATATTCGAGCATGTCATCATTTTTGACCTGTTTTGCATCAAACTCACAGAGAATAGATTTCGCAACCAAATTCACGGTATGGAGGAAGCATTGGGTGTGACCCACACGTCCACCAAAATTCAGGAGCTCCATAGCGAGCTCATCAATCATCCTATTGTTGTTGGATGCATTATTGCATGTGATGCAGAGGACCTTCGTGTTATTGGTAAGTCAAATTTCTTTGTATGAAATTGTCAGCTGAGAGCTCACTTTGTCTGTTATTCCAAACTCTTCAAGGATACCTTCAAATGCATGTGAGAGCTCCTCCCCGGTATGTGACTATTATAATATCAGCAATGCATCATCTTTGGTTTATGTGAGTGATTTTTGTACCTTAGCTACTTCGACAACATCTAATGGAAAGCTTAGCACCATGCCGTTATGTTCTAAGTGGACCAACAAAGCAACAAAGGCACGATGGTTGGGGGACGTCCAAGCATCCGTTGAGAAGTTCAGTATCCCTAGTACGTGTTTTTTTTGTTTCAATTCATGTCCAGACAATACTAATCAAACTAACCTTTATCATCCTAGCAATTCGCTGGTGCATTTGCACAAAAATGAGTTGCACATCCCTTGAGACAGTCGACTTTGACGGTATGTAATATTCAGGCCTACCCGTTGTAACGAGACAACAATTGCTGGTCACTACACAAAGTAAGTAATTGTTAAGAACGTGCTCAAGGGTTGGATCCGAAGGGCTTGGCTTCAGCTCGTGCGCTGCGCCCCTTACCCGAGTACGTGCCCCTAACTTCCGAGGGTTGTTGAACGATGTCCGAAGGTTACCGGACGATGTCCGATGCGCGGGAATTCCAGCGGACGTTCGGAAACAAGAGATAAGACTAATCCGGACGAAGTCCGAACTAGAAAGGAAACAGCGGAGGACTACCAGAGGTAGAGGCGGAGGTGACAAGTCTATAGGAGTCGATCCTAAGACGAGCGGAGGTCAATGAGAGAGAAACTCAAGTCGGACGGAGGAGGGAATGAGCAGAGTCTAAGATGATATTCGAACTCAGGAAACTACAGAGATTGTACAGGGGTTTATATACTACTGAGGACATAACAGAGAACAGTAAGTGCAGTGCGAAGCTATGTAAAGCTATGAAGAAAACATATGGGACGACTATCACTAGTCTATCGGAACTTAGTAAAATGAAGACAGAAATGAATAAGGGACGGAAAATAAAGCGTACTAACTGATAAGGGAAATACCAAAGGGATAAGGCACGGAAGTTAGACACGGGTCGGATCCGGACGATACATAGAAGTCGGCCGGATCCGGAAATCCGGAAATGATGAGTGTGATAGGTCCGGGTCCGGAACACGGGATATGACACTGGGGGTCAAATCTGAAGGGCTTGGCTTCAGCTCGTGCGCTGCACCCCTTACCCGAGTATGTGCCCCTAACTTCCGAGGGCTGTTGAACAATGTCCGAAGGTTGTCGGACGATGTCCAGAGTCCGATGTCCAATGCGCGGGAATTCCAGCAGACGTTTGGGAACAAGTGATGAGACTAATCCGGACGAAGTCCGAACTAGAAAGGAAACAGCGGAGGACTACCAAAGGTAGAGGCAGAGGTGTTAAGTCTATAGGAGTCAATCCTAAGACTATCAGAGGATGACGAGAGGAGAAACTCAAGTCGGACGGAGGAGGGAATGAGCAGAGTCTAAGATAATATTTGAACTAAGGAACTACAGAGACTGTACAGGGTTTATATACTACTGAGGACATAACAGAGAAACAGTCAGTGCAGTGCGAGGCTATGCAAGGCTATGAACAGAACATGTGGGACGACTATCACTAGTCTATCGGAACTTAGTAAAATGAAGATGGAAATGAATAAGGGACAGAAAATAAAGCATACTAACTGATAAGGGAAATACCAAAGGGAAAAGGCATGGAAGATAGGAGCTGACCGGATCCGGAAGTCCAGAAGTCTGGAGATGATTGCATGATTGGTCCGGGTCCGGAATGCGGGATATGACACTGAGTCACTATGAGTCATATTTCCTTATTTAGAAAGTTACACAGCCACATTTAGAGTAGTATATAAGGGACTCTGTTTCCCCTCTGAATAATAGATTCCCCCTTCTTGAGAGATTCCCTTTTGAGAAGGAAGGAGGATTTGAGTATCTTCTTAAGTTTCTCACCCTATATTTGTGTAAACATCTGAGTGAATATTAGTTCATTCCCTCCATTCATTTATCATCATTTCTCACAATATACTGATCTTCTGAGGCCTACCTTGAGCCAATCCTTAAATTACACTAGCTGGTACACGGTTATCAGTCATCTAGTATAGTTTCAACATTCTCTTTATGACACAGGATATCTTTTCTGTGGGGAGAATTCACGTATTTCTTAATGATTAGGAAGGATGACAAATAAGACTAGCACTTTACTCAACAATATTAGAAGCTTGGCTACTTTAAGACTACATCACGAGGATGTACTTTGTTCTGACCTGCATCATACTCATTGTGCAGTACCTGAGCAGCAGAGAAGTTAGTTTTGAAGCCACATATTTTGGTTGATTCAATTGTGTTAGAGGCTTAGTTTGATTTCCTCTGATTTTTGAGAATAGGGAGTGTTTATGAGATAATGCTCTGATTCCTTTGCATATTGTCATGATCTATATTCTTCATCTTATCTCATATCTTTGCGACCATCTTCTTGTCGCATCATCGCACTACATCAAGCCAGTTATTGATTTGGCTACACCATCAATCATTAATCCTTATCATCTGTGTCCTAAGTACTGCATCAAGCCAGTTAACGGATTAACAACCTTCAAATACCCAAGCACTGCATCAAGCCAGTTAATGGTTACTGTTCCTGAGATTTATCTTAATCTCATCCTTTTCAAAGTCATTAGGACATTTGCTTGCTTTGACAAACCCAACTTTTACACCTCCTCCCATGAATGACCATGTTATCAACTGTTGGTATTTGTCTGAACCGTTGACCATGGAGGATAGTGAGAACTGGTGATTTTATTGCCAATCACATCCTAGTAAGACAGTGGGAGTTATGTGCTCTTGACCATTCATATCCTCCCCCTGGGTGCTGTAACGATACAACAATTGCTGGGACACTACACAAAGTAAGTAACTAGCAATATAAAATGTTGTGGTCTAGCACAGCCTAGTCTGCTATACTTGCAAGACAAGTGCATTCAACCCAAGGGGTTCACTGTAGGGTATTAGAATAATTAGCTGTATGAAAAGGAAGATAGTCTGAGCACAGGAAACAAAGTCTGAAGGTATAATTACGAGTCCAAAGGTAAAAATGTTGGGTCCGAAGTTTTCGGGCTTTTGGATTAGTGGCTTTTGTCAGGTTATGTTGGATTAGCGTCAGGAATGTAACAAATGTTAGGGATAGTGAATGGCGGGTTACTGTCAGTGTTTTCGGAGTGTTTCGGATAATGAAAGGATGATATTGCAGAATTCAATGAAGAACTACAAATATCTAATGACCTCCGCCTACTCAGAGGTAGAAAGGTAAGATAAGTAAGTAGGAGGCATGTGAAATATAGTGTCTATGTAGAATTTTGGAGTGCTATAGGCAAAAGTAGTAGCAGTAATTTTCAGGTCTGATGTCCTATGTAATAAGACATGTGGTACTGCGGACATGTAATAATGTGGTCCACAGTGTTAGCGATGTGAAAACAGATAACTGTGCACCTAGTGGGGATAGATATGACAGGACAGGACATAGGGAGGACAAGTGCACAGGAAAATATTGGGTCTGATGTGCGGGAAACATTGGGTCCATCGGACTAGCATTGGACTATGTCAGATTAGTGGATAAACATTAGATTAAGTAGGTAAGTGTCAGATAACATCAGGAAGTGATTCGTGTGCAATGGGTGTTTGACATGCATTGGAAATTAGCTGAATACATGTTCAGCGCGAGGCTGAGTGCTACACTGCCCAGCAAAATAGTTGTTTTCACAATGCCCCTATGCTTCAGTCCACTCATGTAGCTTATGCTGATGAAGAAGTGCAACTCATCTGCTTTATTATGAGTTGCATATCTCAGAAAGTATATATTACCCTTCCTTTTGGACCTCAGCCTACTGGCAGGAAGCCTGTCTCCCATAGTGGTGGCCAGTACCATGTTTCTCTGACTAGCTCACAGCTGAAGGCATTTGCCATTCTTCAAGGTCAACTGGTATTGCAAAAGACTGACAATGATGACCTTCTTAGCACTCTAAACAATATATTAGAAATATTGTATATGCCATCAAATACCTTAGACATGTTTTAAGACTGGTATATCAACCACATGACAGTGTTTGTATGTCTGCATGCTGTTCATCCTGAAGGAGGATTCATAAATCCAGAGCACATCACATACACCACAGTTTGCATGCAGTTTGATATCAGACTCTTCATCCTGGACTTTCTACAAAGACAGTTTGCAGCCTATATCATGGCAATCACCTCCGAGTCTAACGATACCATTGAGTCCAATCAGCCTGCCAAGGGGCACCACTTAGGTATCTTAAGGTGGAGGCTGAACAATCCAGGGAATGACTTTGAAGAGTATGTTCTTTTTTCTTATACATAAAATAGAACTAATGTAACCTATCAAGATATTGTGAAAAGATTATTAATGAATGAGGAACTGAAATGCAAATCACTCCTTTCATCTTTGTGTGGGAGTGGGTCAAATCATTGAGCTGGATTGTCCACAAGACTCCAACCAAAGGAATGGTCACATGGCTGGAATGTGATGACATTTAATCCATCAGGCATTTTAACTACACAGTTAATATTGACCAGTACCACTCTGCCATCCAGTCAATCCTTAGAGACTGTTTTGCCCACATTTATTCCAAGGTTCTGTTCAACATCTCCCTCTCCAACTTCAGCTTACAGCTACCTGATAACCAGCAGGATGAGCTCACATGGAGCTATGGACTTTTTCATTAACCCTTGACTCCAATTGGAGGATTCTGGCACAGGAGCTACATCATCATTATCACTACTATGTTTACTTCTAGAGCTTGGGACTCTGTGTCACTTGGATGAGACTAGTCAAACAATCAGCTAGGATACTGTGCAATTAAACCAGTGGCTGGCCTATGTGTGCATGGCATGGAAGTATGTGTGTATCCTCATGCACCTCTTAGCTCTTCTGGCAAGAGGCACCGAAGAAGAGCTGTGACAACATGCCAATGGACCAGAGTCAGTCTTTTTTTCTTACATGCACTTCAGATGCTAGTAACCAAAAGTAATTATAACAAGACATCCTCCATCACCAGAATCTACAAACAATCATCTGAGTTATTCCCTACCAGATAGCTCAAGCTGTAACAATTTTACTTGGAAGTGTATACTCCATTGAATTGGTGGCCACTCTACAATTCCAATGCAGTTCACTAAGCTATGCTCAGGAGATCGCAGACCTCTATCAAATATGCCTCTTCATAACAATGAGGCAGCCATGTAATTTTGAATGTATGTCTCTTATGTTGCAATCTTGGTCCATGAAACACTTAAAGGTTCCCTTCAGCATGAGGCTACATCATCAGTTCGCTAAAGCACTGCAGAGGAAGTTTCTATCCTACCAGTTAAAGGACTCCGATTCACTGGTGGAGGATACCAATCTGGCTATGGGACATATGCAGCATGTGGCAGAGTTCTATTATGGCAAAGAGACTCAGAATATGGCAGTCTCTTTATTACTGCAGCAGAAGTTTGAGGTGATGGGTAGTGATTAGATTGAGTGGCATGGCATTCCTGCAACTAGAATTAGCACTGAAAAGAAGTAGCACAATTGCCATTTTAAGTACTAGTGTTTTGACTCAACTATGACAAAACTCAGGTGTTGCAAAGATGTTGAAATCTTGTCGAATGAGTGCAGTTTCATTAAGGTGAATCACTACACCAGGAATTTGGATAATTGGAGGTAGATCTTGTGCATTGGGTGCAAGAAAATGACATCATCGGGAGGTGGGAGCATGACAGAAATTTAAGACACAGAAAAATATACAAGAAGGCAAACATACTGATCAATGTATGCACACACCCAACCAAATGTGTTTGCGTCCACAAGACTTACTATCCGAACAACAGCATAGAGCTCCATGAATAAGTGTATGGCATCTGGCCTGGCATTGTGCCCTGGGAAGAACATGGCACATTCTAAGCTGAGAGTATGTAAGTCTTAGATAGTGCCAGGGACCGGAGCAGGCTTTGATTTAGGTGCATCTGAATCAGCTCCACTGCTGGTAGGGGAATTACTTCTTCAATATGCTCTGCCACTATTTTCACACTTTCCTCTTTTTCATCTTATTCTGACTTCAGGGAGTGGTGTTGCACCTTCACCTGCATTATGGTCAAAGATAAGGTCTCAAAGGCAATGTGGATAGTCACAACTTGGAGGGCAATGGTAGCAATGACATAATAAACAATTTGTGGAGTTAGTGTCGGAGAGGTGTTTGGTGGCAGCTTCCGTGATCTCATATGCCACATGTCATTTCAGCAGGAATGTCACTGTGCGGATGGCTGTGTTGACTGGAAGTGGGATCACTGATGACATCTGGATAATATGAAATAGAATGGTGGAGAGATGGGCCACTGAATATGGCCGCCCTTCTTGGCATAGAAGCTTGGTTGATAAAATTTTCTCTACACTCTCAGTGTCTATGATGCAGCTCTGTAGTGCTTCTATTTCTTCCACTGTGGTGGGGTTCCTGGTGGTTCTACAAGTATTGGGACCATTGGGTGGAGTTGGGGAGTGGGCTTTAGGTTGACTTGCTCCAGCAAGTGCCCTTAATTTCCAGGTGCTGGAAATGTTGTCTGAAGTTTCTGGAATATGACAAGGTTGAAATCCAGATGTCTGGTGTAATGATACAACAATTGCTGGACACTACACAAAATAAGTAACCAGCAATATAAAATGTTGTGGTCTAGCACAGCCTAGTCTGCTATACTTGCAAGACAAGTGTGTTCGACCCGAGGGGTTAGCTATCTAATTAGTCTGAAGTTAGTGAAAAGATAAATGATCAAAAGTCCAAGCGCAGGAAACAATGTCTGAAGGTATAATCCCAAGTCTGATGCCAAAGTGTTGGATCTGATGTTCTCGGGTTAGTGGGTTTCGGGTTCAGATTCAGCGGACTACAGAGAATAGTGATAGTGAATGTTGGGAAAGCGAGTGGTGTAAGACCTATGGTCTTTGCGGCCTCGTATAGGCCTTTTTGTGTTGTCCCTTTGGTTCTAATGCAGTGCATGCTACCCTGAGTATAGCGCGCAAGTCTTTCATTGTTAGCCGATGGCTGTGGCTCTCGCACATGCTTTGGCTAGTGTCGGCTTCTCTTCGGATCTGTTGCATGTCCTCCATCTGTCCTATCCATATCCCCCGCCGGTTCATTGGTGCGTATATTACTTGATTTACACTAGACTAACAACAATTCCCAAGCTATTCCATTTATATTTTCATTAAATGTGTCATGGACCCTACTTACATACATCTCGCTACCTACTCGGTTCCGAATATCGCTTAGGTGCGCATACATATATTGGATACTGAGAATTTTCATGTAACCTCTCTCTCCCATCAGAATTCATCACCCATTTACACGCAAAACTACAAGTCTTGACAAAGAATCTAAAAATCTTTGGTACTCTCTCGTGCGTGCACTTCTGTCAGCGACAATTGTCTTGTGTTCATGTGTCTAAAATATCCAACACTCTTGGCGCTTGTCATTGCTTGGCCCCGCCCTCGCATTTTGAGTACCTCTTTCGCATCTCATCTTCAGCTTAACTGCGCACTTCCGCATTTTGTCACATTGCAGCCGCTTGCGCTCGCATCACATCGCATCTTATTGGCGCTCCGCCTATGTGTATATCGCATCACATTTTTGGTGGCTCGCTCACACTCACATCGCTTCAGCTTCGGCTTTTGCATTCTCTTTAGTCTCAGTCACCCTTACTAGTTTCTACGTTTCCCCTCACACTTTTTACTTAGAGGAATCATTCTCAGTAGCAATCCCCTCAGGCCGAATCTATACTCATGTCCAGAGGTCTATTTGAGTTTTACCCCACTTCCCCCTTCCCCCGCATTTTCACCCCCTTCTCATCTAGCTATCATTCCTCGCACACAGCGGTATGCGGAGATATCTATAATGACGGGTATTTCAGATAGAAAGAGCGGTCCTATTCACAATGTCAACTAAGAACTACGAAATATCGGGTTTGACCACAAAGCATCGGGAAACAGCTCCCTACTACTTGGATGATGAATAATGCTTGAGGTCAGTCCAATATATATATAAGTACATAGAAATCTAGAACCTGTAGGCGAAAGTAGCAGCGGGATATTTCAGGTCCAAAGTACATGTAAACAAACACAAGGCGCTGAAGACTATGGGAAAAATATGTAATAATGCTTGCTGCAACATGAGTAATGTGCAAAATAATCAACTACGCACCTAGTGGGGCTAGCAAGACAGGACGGGACATGGAGAGTACAAGTACACAGGAAAATATTGGGCCCACTGCGGCCAAAATGTCAGGTCCACTAGTCAACATGTCGGGTTGAGCAGGAAGTGATTATCGTGTGATGGGTATTTGACATGAATCATCACATAACTGAATACGAGCCTAGCACGAGCTTGAGTGCTACACTGGTGAGTCAGTGGCATCAAACCAGGCAAAAGGAACAGGAGCCGATGTAGAAACAACTATTCAGATGGTGATTTACTGAACTATATGTTGGGTCTTGCTTGCCTAAGCTGCTATG